GGTTAATAACTGAGAGCTGAGAGAGCAAATAGCTGTGAGAGTTTGAAATTTTGAGTTGAGAATTGAAAGTTTATGTACATGTAAGTTCACGCAACTTTACTCAAAATTACATTTTAAGATCCCGAAATAGTACCATTCCTTCTTGAAGACCATAATTCTCCGCAACTTCATCATCGAATGCATCTGCATCAAATAATATACAATCTCTAGCGAACACGAAGAAAATAATCTCGTTAACGAATCGCGAAATAATATCAAAGACGGATTCTCGTGTCGTCTCTCATTTCGTTTTAAATATAGTCTCAAAAAAAAACAAATTCAAGACACGTATCAGGGTGTCTAGCCGTCTTACAAATCCTTAAAGTTCTTGAAATGTTCTTGAATTTTGTTTGTTCTTTAAAAATCCTGGAAATGTACTTAAATTTTTCGTAGATGCTTGATTTTTTCGTTGCTTCTAAAAATTGAGATTATTAGAGTAAAAAATATTTCATCTTATTTTGTGAATAATACAATATATTTTTTATTTAGGAGTCCAAAAATATGTGTTACGCATAAGTTATAGATTTGAAGTGTTCAAATATAATATAAGAGAATATGTATAGAATATTTGTAATATATTAATTTTCATGAACATGCAATTATATATCGACTTGATAAAGAAAATAAAGTTTTCAGTCTCTTGTACATCTTTATTATATACTATTGGAAAATCGTGCAAATTTCCTCGAAATGTCCTGGCAATGGTCTTAAATTTTATTTTCAAATTTTACTAGATACCCTGCGTATGTACTGTGCTCGTGTCCGCTTTTCATCTCGATGACGACGTGCCGGATTCAACGTCGCGCGATTTTATTCATTCCGCTCTTCAGCCTCGCGCTGATGGAACCGGCCAGAATTTCGCGAGCCGGTTTGGAGAACGAAGCGATCCCCAGGAAGCGACGCTCGTCAACGAGCGCTTGTCAGGAAGCAATAAATATCAACCGCTCGTAAATATCGCGGTTAGCAACAATAAATCCCGCGTTACTTTAGAATTTTCCACACACGAGACAAATCTCAAAGGACTGCGAACGCGCTACATTTTACGCTCTTGTTTCACGTTTGTTAATCTTATGTGGCCCAACAGATTTGAAGATTTAGCTTTTAAAAATAATACAAATCACACAAATTATTCAAACAGACAATTTTAATCGCTTAAAAATATATTTTGATCAAAAAAGTATATGATAAAGAATGTAAGAATTTATTTAAGTATTTGTGTATATGTATATTTAATTCAAGTGTGTTATGTTTTTAGAAATCGTATAAACAGATAAAAATATCTTTATAGTTGTGTTTTATTGTTTGTGAAATTTTTTATCTAATTATTTATTTCCTCAAAATATATATAAATTGTTTTTCAATAGGCAAGAAATTAAGAAATAGAAATAATAAATAAACTAATTGGGTCACTGAATATCAGTGACCCTTGGAGCTGAACTGTTGTTATGGACCTTGTCCAGTTTAGAAACTTTATTAAAGAAAAAAACACGGTGTAATATAAAGTTTAATATTATCATGGGAACACACACACAAACAACATGCATTCACGCTTGAAAATTTAAAGTGTGCATATCGCACAGTCGAGAAACTAGAATGTGGACAGACTACGAATATAATATATATATATATATATATATATATATATATATATACAAGATATTCCCTAGTTCGAGATAGTCCAAGTTTCAACAGCGTTTTCTAAAATTTTACAACAAAGATTTCCGACAAACACGAGTTGAAATTTCTTATATAACATATATTGCGTATTTTAAAATGTTGGTGTGATTTAAATTTTTTACATTAACATTAAAATGATTTTTTATTCATAAAATGAAATATTCAATTTTTAAATATCTTTTCTCATATTTCTCAGTTATTTAAATCGTAGGTATTTATCCAATATATACACACGTATATAATAATGTATGTATATGCGATCACGAATAATTATATACATTATCACTTTGTGGTGTTTGCACTCGATGTGCAATAAAATGTAATAATCTGTCAAAGCCTATAAGCACTTTGTTTTTTTAAAATTATTTACTAATATCGAAATCTTTTTTTCATTCGATCGATCAAAGCAAATAAATATCGAACATGTCCTTTCGAGAATGAAATCTATCCTCGACCCTATTTGCTCTCACTGGAATAGAATAATCATCATGTTGCACGTTACATGATACTTTTTTAATCAAATCGAGAAGGGAATTGTTATATTGTTCTACATTTACTGATGTTTAAATTGCTTCGAAAGAGCCGAACGGCAAAGGAAAAAAAATGAATATTCTATCGGTATCCTATCGATATTATCGAGTTAAACGTAATATAATACAGAATTTATCTCTCTAACTCACTTATTTTCCGCATTTTATAAAATGATTAAGAAATATATTTTTACCCACTTTAAATATTTATACAAAATTGTAAATAATACTTTTTTTTATAATAAGATAAATGCATTTAACAATAATCTGAACAAGATATATGTACATATATGTAATAAGCAATGTTTACGAAGAGACAAAGCTTTTCGTATTTATCAAACAGCACTTTCCAATATTTATTATTAAAAAGCGTTTGTAAAAAAACTATTTACACAAAAATTTTAATTAAAATCAGTTGCCTATAATACAAAATTTCTCTAACTCGCTTATTTTTCGCATTTCACGAAGTGATTAACAAATATACTTTTCACAGATTTTAAATATTTATACAAGATTGTAAATAATATCTTTCTTTATATAATAATACAAAATAATCTGAACAAGATATACATATGTAATAAGCAAAGTTTACGAAGAGACAGAGCTTTTCGTATACCAAACAGCACTTTTCAATATTTATTATTAAAAAGCGTTTATAAAAAAAAACAACTTACTAAAAATTAAAATTAAAATAACTCACGTTATCTCGTTATCAATCTTGTTCGATGGCGTAATCGTGTTGCATATATCGCCTGGAAAAACTGCCTTCTCTCTCTCTCTCCGGCGCAGAAACTCCCTCAAGCTTGGTGCACGCAGCGCTCCGGAGATTCGCATAAATCTCGCATAAGGTTCGAAAGTAAAACTACCTTATTAATGAACGTACACGTTTAATGTACAGCGCGTAAACTGGGCAAACACAGCCGGGGGTTTCCGCTTACATAGTTTTCCACGGAGGAACTCCTCGCTCTGCTTCGTCTCCCGTGAGATGCACCTTCGTACGTGACGACGTTTCTTGCATAATGAAGCTATATCGTTCGTGTCCCGCCCTCGGTTGCTGCAGAGGATCGAACGAACACGTAGCACATAGAGGGCTGCTTTCCAAGTTTCCGGATCTCCTTCTCTCAGTTGGCCTCTCCGTTCGATATATCGCGGAAGAAGGGAGATCTAATTGGATGGCGCATTTAATTTAACCCTTAATAGAAGTTTAAACGCTTTTCGCACGCAGAGAGGGAGAGAGAGAACGAGAGACTTTGGATGTAAAATTTCTCTCTCCTGAGAAATTCGACGAATTCGTCCTCGCGCGAAATGAAGCCCCGGAAAGCGCCTCGATTAATTCGCGGAAGATGCGACTTTGCTAGATTAATCGCCTCGTTAATTCCGTGTTACCATCCCCGGGCGACGCACAGCGTTATAATCCGCGTTGCGCGCAGTTTCCCTCTCGGTGTCTTATTGTCGGAATAACGTAATATCGCCGGGAGAGATCGTGTAAGTCGTCGGCGAGATATCGTCGTCGCGATGACGAAGCGCGAGAGAGCTAAGACGCCTTCCTCGTATACGACTTAACGACATTCTCGTGGCAGATTAGGTCGAGTGAGACCTAAGTAATTCGGGTATATACGGAGAGTGACGAGGTACGACACACCCGGGTAGGATTAACCGGAGTTCTCCGGCGAATCTTCAAGCTGCGCGAAGATGTTACGGATTCTGACTCTGACGTCGAACGAGGAATTTTCGCGGCTCTGCTATACATCGGTTTACGCGCGATTTAACGGAAGCATTAACTGTTCTTAGCTTTTAACATAGTGTAACATAGTTAGTCGGATAGATGATATGTAAAGTGCGTTTAAGCGCACCCTGATTGTAGCTGATACAAGTGTAGCTTATATAGGCGATGTGAAGCTAATGCTTGCATTTATTATTCAAGTTATGGATATGATTGGAAAAAGAATATATGTTTAATCAATTAATTATATGAAAATTAAGAAATACATTGTATTTTATAATTAAGAGCCAGTCGATTAAAACGTGGAGTTAGTCGGATAGATGATATGTAAAGTGCGTTTAAGCGCACCCTGATTGTAGCTGATACGAGTGTAGCTTATATAGGCGATGTGAAGCTAATGCTTGCATTTATCATTCAAGTTATTGATATGATTTGAAAAAGAATATATGTTTAATCTATTAATTATATGAAAATTTAAGAAATATATTGTATTTTATAATTAAGAGCCAGTCGATTAAAACGTGGAATTCATTCTTTTTGACGTTTCTTCGAAATCATTAATTTTTAATATTTCCTCTTGTCAAAGTAAAAGCAAATCAACTGTTTCAACATATATCATGGTAATCGTAGGACTATTGGTATTGGAAAAATTTCATGAGAGTTTCTTTGATTAACATTTGCCATATTAAAAAATATTATAATATGTACATAATAAAATTAATCGAACTTTGATATATCTTATTGTGGTAGATATTAATATTTTTTTATTAATCAAAGGAACTTTTGTAAAAATTCTTCCAATACCATATTGTCCTGCGATACGATTACCATGATTTTCAAGGTAAATTCTAAAAGAAAATTCTCTTTGTGCAGTATCAAGTAAGACATAACATACGGAAAATAAAAATAAAGATATTAAATTCGAAAATGATTATAGAAAACATTTTGAAATTGTATATATATTATATATACATTTTTTTTTAAATCAATTATTAAATTAAATTGTAATATAATTGATCTGCTTTTAACAGGAATCCGACAGCCTAGCGGTGTTCTCCGAGTTGCTGAGATACACGAGCGTGCGTGAACTGAGTCTGTGCAACGCACGTTTGCATTTAGCGGTGCACGAGGGTCCTCTCTCAAGATTAGGACGTCGCGACGATGCCGGCGCCGAGCTTCTCCGAGCTGCACCACCTCCAGCTTGTCCTGCGATCGTTTTCCTGAGACTAGCCGGATTCCAGGTGAGCGAGACTTATGGTTTTCTCGTATTACTCTGATAGTCGGTCGGAATATTGAAGATTATAATTGTCTTAAAAATTTCTTAAATGGAAATTTCTTAATTAATTTGATTAGGATGAAAACCATACAGCAATATTTTTTTATTTTTATAATTAGTTAAATCAAAGTATTCAAAAAATCTCAAAAGTTTATTTTTTTTATTATAAAGTTTCCACTTTAAACGCTTTCAGTATTCATGAATGTATTATTGACAATGAAGATCACGGTTTACATAGTAAAGTTAAGAAATTTGAATAAAATGATTATGAATTACTTTAAATAATATTATTCAAAATTGAAATATGTAAAATACATACGTATAATGAGAAGAGACTTCTTGTTTTCTTGTATTACTCTGAAAGTGATAATCGAAATATCGAAGAGTATAATTGTCTTTGTTTCTTAATTCATTTTTTGATCATAAAATTTCCACTTCAAACGCTTTCAATATTCGTGTATGTATTACTAACAATGAGAATATCATTATTGTTTATGCAGCGAAGTTAGGAGATTTGTATAAAATGACTATGAATTACTTTAAACAATATTATTCCAAATGGAATATGCAAAATATATATATATATATATATATATATATATAATAGAGAAAGGGAAGCCATTAAGTCTAACTCGCTTATAAACTCGCTTACAAATCTGGTCCCACAATATAACAACGCTGACGTTAATAACATATGCAATCCCATTATACTGGACTAACATACGAAGCTTGCCTATCCACTGATGCGGTTACATGTCTTCAAGTGCGGATGTCCGTATCGTTACGAGAAGATAACACACGTACACATATGGTATCATGGTGTCAGTTAGCGGAGGCCAGATGTAACTGTCCGTCTCTCTGCCCGAGTTCCGCCTGAATGTATATAAGGTTGTACAGCTATCGTGTTTCCGAGATCTCGTAGAATCCATTAGATACACCCGCGCCTCGATCTCCAGGGCAGAAACAGTTCCATGATCCGGGTTCATGTCTCACGGAGATGATCCGTTCCACTTGAAAAATGAATCTCCGCCGCGGTTCATGAAACACGTCACGAAGAAAATCGGTTCAGCCCACCGAAATACCAAATATATGGTTTTCCCGCGTCTAATATCATCTCTTCCTCTTCTTGATAATTTTGACCTTATTCAGGAAATTGTGAACGTGCTGAACTATATCCCGGATATTGTCTCCTCGCCTAATATCGTTGCCCTGGTAATCTGGTCGAGAAACTCTGATCCAGGCATCTCTGTCCAGGAATTCAACTAGGAAATTTTTTATAAGCTTGAAAAATGCAAGATGTGTCAGTTATATCATCAACGTAACTACCAGCATCTTTTATAAGGATAATACACGTGACTCGTAAATAAAATCTATAGAAATAATCATTTTTAATATTTAATGATGTTTGAATTATGACGTATACAATTTTTTCTACTTAATTTATTTCGATAAAAGATGAGAATCTGTGAAAAGAAGAGATATTGGACTAACTATCTTATTCACAGTTCGAAATGCTAATGCCAGGAATTCAGCTATTTTTATAAGCTTGAAAAATGCAAGATATGTCAATTATATCATCAACGTGTAGCCACCAGCTACACCTTTATAAGGATAATACACGTGACACGTCAATAGAAACAACCATTTTTAATATTTAATATTTGAATTATGACGTACACAATTTTTTCTACTTAGTTTATTTTGATAAAAGATGAGAACTCATCTGTAAAATTATAAAAAGAAGATTTATTGGAGTGACTTATCTTATTCACAGTTCAAAATGCCAATTCTACGCTCGTCAAATTTGGTCTGCTCTCCTTTCTTTATCTACGCAACTCATATATTTTCTATTACACGAGCAATTACAATCGGCTATGCCACGACGACGGTAAATAAAGAACGGTTTAGACCCTTTCGACATTCATCTTCGTTGTCCTCGCATTAAGCCGACTCCCGATTCTGCTTCCCTTCTCTTGTATACAGGGTGATCTTAGAATAAAACGCCAAACTTTGCAAGCGTTCTTCATTTTCGCGAATTTAGTCCAGTTTTTTTCTTACAAAAATGTCTTTGCCTGACGCGAGTTTTCAATTTTCAACGTTAAGTACCTTTGTTAATTAACTCTCTCCTTGAAGAACTTGATATAACAGTCATCTAACCCACTTTTGTTAAAAGCTTGAGAAGATTAAGCTAATTTAAATTCTCTCGACTTTAAGATTGATCTTCTCAAGCTCTTAAAAACTAAAAGATGTATACAGTTTCGTTAAAAAAAATCCTTAATTTAAAAACTTTTCTAAATTAAACTTTATTTAAGATATAAATTTTTCTTACCCTTTGAAGTTTATTTTCCATCAGTTGTCATTTAGAAAGACTAAGAAAAAAATGAAAAAAAAAATATATAAATATATTTAGAAAAAATGTTGGAAAATTTAAGGACGCCCTATACGTCCCTCTTTTTATCTCTCCCACCAAAAGCGAGCGAAACAAATTGCGACCGATAAGATTTACTGAGGTAATGATTTCTGATTGCAGGTGACAGTGAATGATCGTTTGGCGCTTCGCGGTCCGTTGCTGCTTCCTTTCCTGGCGGGTTTCACGTCTCTGAGCGAGCTCGACCTGTCGCTGGACAAGTCAACGATCGGCGGCAGCAGCGGCTCGCTGCTTTTCATCGACGACAAGATCCTGCAACAGTTCTTCTGCTGCCTAGCGGCGCACTTTCGCGGTCTGCAGTCGCTCCGGATCAACTTCTGGCGGATCACCTTGGAGGACAGCGACCGGACGATGCGGCAGATCGCCAAGTACTTCAAGCTGTGCGGCCTGAGCTTCCTCAGGGCGAACGGCCTGATCGTCACCGACAGCGCCAAGCGGGTGCAAATGGAGCACGTATTCGTCCAGACGATCCTCACGCATCTGCAATGCCTCACCTGGCTGTGCCTGGACGGCGTGGAGCTCACCGAGATGCAGGCCACCAGTATTGGCAAGTGCGTGCGCGATCGTTATCCGGGAACCGCCCTGGAAATTAGCGCCAAAGACGTGCACGTGAGATCGGTCAAGGCTCTGGTGACCGCGGCCGAGGAGGGTGGCAGAACGGAAGTGGTTTACACCGGCGGTCCTAATTGCCGCCTGAAGATCACGAAGATGCAGAAGGGCGGTCGGGGCAAGAAGAAATGAAGAGATCGCGAAGGTTTCGGGAAGAAGTTACCCTGGAATAATTGGTTCCGAGGCAAGAAGGAACGAAGAAGAAGAATCGTTCGTATGAAATGATTTGATCTCTTCTTGCGGATGAGACTGTGGGACTAAAAGAATTCAGAGAGAAAAGGCGAGATGAAGGATTAAAGTCGATAGAAGGAAGTACTCCGAAGGAAGATGTAGAGAATCAAACAAAGAATTAAAAAGGCGGTAGATAAACACAGAGATATAATACAGATTTTCTAGAAAGGAGATGAATATATCAGAGAATATATCGCGAGTATCAACGTCGATTTCAGTCGTGTGACGCACGGTGAAGAAGAGATGAAAATGTAGGAGAATATACAAGAGGAAATGCGGGTTAACTTTATGGATTTTTGTCTTACTGTGATTTCGTTTCCTGCGCGTGCGTTTCGGCGCGTTTATCTACAATATAGACTCTATAGATTATAGCGATTATTAGCTCTCGAGGACGATTCATTGCGACAATGGGACGTATTTTCGCTCATCTAACATTTTTAAAAAACTAATGGTATCAAAATAGTAAAATCAAATAAATTTATGCTATATAGAAAATGATTTTTATTAACAAAGTGAATATCATTGACCATTGATGATGGATTATATGAATTAAAAATCATGCCAATTGGCAACAGCAGACTTTTTTTAAAAGTAAAAATATAAAACAGAAACTTATCTTTCATTTTGAATAATCTTGCTCTTAGGCGAAGAACATGATTGTTTTAAAAATAATTCTCAAATAATCACCATTATTGATATTATAATAATCATTTAATATATATTTGTTTTATTTTTCATTGACTTTTTCGCATATTTTCTATTAATCTTTTGCAAACAAAGTTTTTATTTTTAGAAGCACAAATATTATTTTTATCATAAATTTCGAAATAAATAGAATTAAGCAAAATTGCGTTTTTTATTCATATTTTATTTATATAATTCATCATAGTTATGGATCGCAATGGATTCTTATGAATAAATCTCATTATTGTTAGAATCTTCAAAAAGTCGATTGGATGAGAGAAAGTTCAATGCCCCGTGAAAGAATCTCCTTTTTAATATTTTTGAAGAACGAGGGGAAACGGAAATACTTATCGCGAGGCGAGAAGAATATTTAAGCGGGAAAACAAGAGGCTGTTGCAATTACATAAGTACCGTTCGTTGTTGTTAGATGGAGATGTAAGATACAATTCAGAGTAATATATTATTTAGCGATATATAGATCACACGATCGTCACACGATTTATTATTAAATGTTACGACCGACTGTCATTTGTGATCGGCGTGAACGGTAACTTTACCGAAAGAATGGCGCGTTGTTGGGAATTTGAAGAAATTTTATAGAGTAAATTTTAAACAGTAGAACACACACGAAAACACATACACGTACGTACGTATTACGCGTTTTTTCCTCCGCGAAAGACGCGAAAGAGAAGAAAGTCGAACATTCGTAATTCTCTATAATAAGGAGTACACACATAGGCAAGCACCAATGCAAGCTATTGTTGTATAAAGTAATTAATTATTGTAATTAAGATGACTGCCAAATTATACTTGAAGATCCGTATTCTTCGCATGCTGCATTTAGCGCTAAACTTGATGTTAAAATATATATCGTTATCTAATAAAAAATCGCCTCCTAAATGTCATCGTGAATAGACATCCGATCATTTTTAGCGCTAGATGTGAGTAGCGAATGCTTTGATATCATTTATCAATGTCACGCAGACATTTTAGAAAGTCGTTCCTGCGATGCTACGAATCCAATAAAACGTATCTCATATGAACTGAATTGAATGATATTACGCAGCGTGATTTCGATTGATTTTCGATCGTGATCAATTGCACCAACGATAACTGCCATTCAACTGGAACCAGTAATAGAAATAAAAGAGAGCAATTGACGAAACGCGAGGGGAGTCTGTTGATTTTTGAGTTTCGCCTTATATAAAGCGCCGATCGAAAATCTGACATCAATTTTAACAAATACATAATATATACTATAAAGAAATAAATGTATTGAATCTTATAGAAATTTTTATTATAAATCGAAAATATATTTAAGAAACTATAAAAATAATATACAAAAATATTCTCTTAAATCTCTCAATTGGAAATTTCTATTATAATAATTGTACTAGAAAAAAGGACTTAATTTCGCCTTAAATTCAATTTCAACATATGTTAATTTCTTTAAAAAAAATTGTTACATTTTTTAAAATATATTCTATATATTAAAAGTCTGAAATTTGGAAAAAAACTGTGTCTTAAAAAATATTCTATAATTAATTGACTCTAGAGAATAATTAGCTCTGATATATTTACTAAGAACATTACAGCTTAAATATCAAAAACACAAGACTAAGATTGATTGACTTTTTGATTCATGATTTCGGATTTTGTCTGGCGCTTATAGAGAGGACAGTTACTCGTTGAGAATTTCCTCTCCCTTTTCGTGTTTTTCCAAGGACGTACAGCAGCATCCTGCGTAATCTTTTATTATCCGAAACTAGATATGTAAGTGCTCCCGCTCGAGCGCGTGTGTACGACGAATTTTGTCATTTTTGATAGTTTGCTATGTACATAAGAATCTCTTCGATTAAACCGCGCGGCGCGAAAGAGAAATTAAACCGCGCGATCTGTTGATATTTGTGAGCCCATTTTACGAAAAAACCAACACTCGGCAAGACTGAAGTTGATGGTCACATATACATATATATATATATATAATACACACCACACACAATTGCATACATTAATTACGTGGCTGAGCGATTAAGCCCGCGGCGACTTGAAGTGCCCGACATATTCGCACGTGCCGGGAATCAACTTGAATAATTTTATTATAAATATTTATGTATTTATATGTGTACACATATCCTCTCCAAATAAATGTAATATGTGTTTGAGAATTTTGTCTCGATAATCGTACACAATCCGTTTGATATGAATATGCGAAGCAAATTTGCAAAAAAAAAAAAAAAGAAATACGATATATGATGATAAAACTATCCAATTATTTAATATTATCATTATTATTAAGACAAGAAGACTGCATTCGATTCATTGTTAATTAGAAGTACAAATACGATTATTAAAAAGAATATAACATGCAGTGCAAGATTTTACAAAAATAGATGATATTGTTGATTAGCTAATAATATATTTATTAACATACATATATGTTAATAAATTAAACACGTAGCTTTTTTTATCATGAATTCTAAGAAATTCATGCTCTAGGATGTTTGCAAAGCGTCGATAATAAATAATCATTAATTGACAGGCATACGCAAGTTGTGAATTGTTAAAAGATCAAGAGCCTACTTGTGTAAGTACGTATCTTTATTATATTTACACGTTCCATTTTTTTAATAATAATCACACGCATTTGCGCATTCATAAATTTATACAAAGAAGCTATTGGAAAAAACATAACAAGACCTGCAAAGCATGATGCATTTCCTCATACGTTATACAAATATTCGATCTCATCGACATTTTATTTATATGGAAATAGAATACTAATTATCGCACCTCGTCGCGATACATAAATTGTCTCTGCATGAAATCAATAGCGATTGGAATAATTTTATTATGATATCCTACTATTTATATTTATAACATAATAATTAACGATTTGGCCTGCGTCACATCACACTTGGAAGTAATGTCTTGAATAATATATCTATGTATATTAACATGATATATGTGGAATATATGTGTAAATGTCGCGCTATTTCTATCTCTCTTCCTCGTGGAAAAATGCGATAAAATTGTCATTGTTAATCATTGCCATCTATCATCTTGTGAAATTAAATTTAAAGAAAAACATAGCATTTGATATTTTTTCTATTATCTAGGTTTTTAAAAACATTTTTTTAATTGTAATAAAAATCAAAGATGAAATATTTTCTAGGAAAGAAAAAAAACATGCTTTCTTTTAAATTCTTTGGATCCTGGCTTATACATGCCTTTAATCTTTCATCGTTAATTTAGTATTCTCTAATAAATATTTTATTCGACTACAATATCGATATAGGCTTCTAATAATTATATAATTATAAATTATATATAAATAACGTAAATTCAGCAATTGTATATTATGTATCAATCAATATTATTCAACAAATATTCCACACATGCTAAGTTACATATATTGATTCAACGTATCATTTTAACAAAGGAAGATAATACTTAGCATGGACGGGAAATACAAATTGCAACCTCTTGTTTTAGATCAATGTGTAAAATAATGGATTTTTGATGTAAAAGTATTTTTTTAGATAATCCATTATGTGTGTTATACTGTATGTACTTTCCACTGTTGCTTGCACAGCTTGACTAGCTTCTTACAGCTGTCCTCAGATTGCTATGGCCATTTTTATTACAAGCTTACAATAATTTAATTCTATGTAAAGAAGATCAGCGTACAAATTACATAAGATTCAATACACTCTTTTGTTTTGTCTTGGAGGTCTCGTTAAAAATATGTTTACAGACGCGTCTTAAGGTATCATTGCAAAAATAAAAAATCTAAGCAATGTTACTCTTATATTACGATACAACTAAATTAAACCTGAATCTGAAATGCTTAGTTAAACAAATAAGTTAGAAGTAAAAGTTCGTACAAACAGAGAGATAAGCCTTCACTCTGATAACAGTGAGATATCTGTATAAAGTTAAACAGCAATATTTGTTCCAGAAATTTTTGAATGAAAGAAATTTTTAATACCTAATGTGTTTGAATAAGAAATATAGTTTTGTTTTTCAATTGTATATCGCGTTTAAAAATGATTAAGCTAATAATTTGATTCGATTGGGTATACTCTTTTAGGAATTGTTTCTTCAATCAGTTCTCTGTCAGCAGAATTTCTCTGTAAGGCATATATATATAATTCTCAAATCATCTGTAGTCCAAGGCGAGATTGATCGCCATTCAAAAGTGTACAATCATCGACTTTCGACGCCGCGAAGACAATCCGTGGCACCGTCCTGTTTCTCGTCTCTTTACGGCAAAGCCCGCAGATGAATACACTTCTAGTACATTTGTAAGAATGTTCCACAACGCGCGTCGGACTTCTTGGAGATCATCACATGGGAGCATAATCCAGCTGGACTGTTAAGTGTCTCACGCCCCCGGCTTGGAAAATCTTTTGCGTCGTCATCACAACAGATTTGGGATCCACCTCCCTAGCTACCTCTAATTTCAGGCATCCAACGTACACGTCCGAGCACAGTGTCCAGAAGTGCGGTTCCTGTACGCTATACACCCCAGGTATCTGCGTCACCTTGTTGTAACACTGTGGTAGAATGTAATCCAGAGCTACCGGCTGTCTCTGCATAAGTATCTCCCACGATTCCTTCATTAACGAGGCTACACTTAACACTATCAATATTGCTATGAGCATGGAGCAGATCGGATCGGCAATCATCCAACCGAACATTTGCATCAGCACAGCTGATATGATTACGCCCACGGAACCGAGAGTATCCGCGAGTATGTGCAGGAATACGCCCTTCATGATTTGCGAGTTTGTCCCACTGAAGGACATCTCGACCTCGACGTGATGGTCATAATCGTGATTCAGGAGGGAATAGTGATTATCGTGACTGTGACCATGATGTCCTTTCGCACTATGATTATGACTGTGGCTGTGGCTGTGACCATGACCATGTCCGTGTCCATGGCCGTGTCCGTGCTTAAATGCATATATTCCTACTAAATTCACTAAGAGTCCCAAGACAGAAACCACAAATAGTCTCTCGTGTTTGATTTCTGGCGGCTCGATCGCCCTCTCCACCGCCTCCGACATAATGAACAGAGCTACGAATAATAGGAGCAGACCGTTTACAAAGCCGCCCAATACCTCGGCTCTAACGTATCCGTACGAGTATCTCTCGTTCGCCCTCCACTTTGTAATGACGGACGCCGCTAAACCGAACAGCAAACCGGTGCAGTCGAAGAACATGTGAAAGCTGTCGGAGATGAGGCCGAGGCTGTTGGTCCATATTCCGTATAGCAGTTCGACAAAAGCGAAAGACAGGTTGAGAATCAGAAACAGGAACAGATTCCGGGTATTCTGATCGGAAAAGATGAGACGCTTCCAACCCAACAGCTTCTCTTTTACGTTACTGAGGAAGTTGGAACGTGAATCACGTGGACTGTGCGAAAGCGGCAGCATTTTATAATCGCCCCGATGTCAATCTTACAAGTCTAATTCTTGTCCTACAAGAAAAAATTAACATATGAAGCCAAATGCAAAGAAAACACCAAAATAAGACTCGCATTGCATAATAATATATATAATATATATAATAGCTTTGCTAATAATATATTCATTATAAGTTTTTCAAAATATATATATATGTTTAATAATTATATATATATATATACACATATATATAACTATTTACAAAATTAAAAACGCATGTATATATATATATATATATATATATGTATATTGCCGTAGAATATTCCATTCTGTTACAAAGTAATTATTCAAGAACTTACAAAACTTTTAAAGATGATCAGCATGATCATACACCAATTATTAAACTATCCAACAATTTTCCTTATGAAGTAATCAAACAAAGTATTAATATTCTAATAAAATATAATTCAAATAATACACTCCACTATGTTTAACAGAACACGCAATCAAATCGAATCGATTGTGAATCAAGACATACAGTATTTCCAGCTGTTGACAATGCTATTAATTGGAGCAACACGTATACATACACGGCGCGTGTACATACCGCAAATGCGGTGACACGTCTACGAGAATGGTGGGTGACATAACCTGTACATTCACCTCCTTCGAAACTCACCTCGCTCGCGGCGGCGGACGATCCGAGTCACGTGGGAATTCAGTGACGTTCGGCGACGTTAATCACCGATCGTTTGACACATGCCGGCTGTCAGAGGCGCGGAAAATCGGATCGCGCACGAAATACGCGACGACGGAGCGCCATGCTTCGCAGCCACTCCTGACGGCTGGCGGGAGGAGGGGAGAGGAGGGAGGGGACGGAAAAGTGACAGATGACAGATGACAGATGAATCGACGCGTCACGTGTTGGAATAAGTTCGCGTGCGAACTGAAATTAGCGACGCGTCGAAATAATTTATCGAACATTATTGAAACGCTGCAACTTTTTTTGTCGCCATTTTAATCAACGTAGTACCGGATATCCGGTGTCGTGGATGGAGCCACTGTCGGCGTGATATTTGACATGGCGCTCTGTTAACTTCCGCTCTCTTTCTCATTCGACAGCCATCATGGTAAGGTTTCACATGTTGTAAATTGTACGATTTTTGTAGGAGTATTTTTACCGCGATCCTGCGATAGATTCGTAAATATTACATAAATTTTCATATAATGGTTAATTTTAATTGTAATACATTTCGGATGCGATTTTGTTTACGAATGAAAAATGTAACCTGTCTGTGACAAAGGTCCATGTGCTACACACAATTCATATATAGGTTTCTTTTATTTTGAATTTGAAAAAATATTTTTATAGTGAAGAAATAGCGATCCTATATCGGTGCTTAAAAGATGCAGTCGAAAAACAATTTAATTATATTGATAAGAATATAATGTTAAATATGCTCAGTACTTTCAGTGAAGCGTATCCACCTGTGTGTTAAAATTTCTATAAATTCTAAACAATTTTTTGTGTGATTAATATTAATGTAAAATATATAATATGCAAATCAATTTTAATATATAAATTAATACATATAATATCCTAGACAATATAAATATATTTTAGATGTTTTTTATTGTTTTCAAGTTTTAAGATATATTTATAAAAATTCCATCCCTATGATGACTAATTATTTTCTAGATAATTATGACAGTAAAACACTGATTTAATGAGTCTGACTACTCTTTTTGAAAGTAATCAAACTTTGTCACACTGTGAATATATCTTAATGTGTTTAATCTATCATTATAGCCGCCTAAGAAGGATACGAAGGGTTCTTCTAAACAACCGCAGAAAACCCAGAAAAAAAAGGAGGGTGGATCTGGTGGAAAAGCTAAAAAGAAGGTTTGTGAATTATTTATCATAATGGTTGCGATAGATTTCAAATAATTAATCTCATTTGATGTCCATATATCAACTTGACTAATTATGGAAGCAAAAGCTGATTTAATGAGTCTGATGAGATTCAAATTGTGTATTTGTAATGTTTTATTTTGTGATACTATAATTGTTTCAACACATTTTCCTTTTTATATTTGCAGAAGTGGTCCAAAGGAAAAGTACGTGACAAGTTAAACAATCAAGTACTCTTTGATAAACCAACATATGAAAAATTGTTGAAAGAAGTACCACAATACAAATTGATTACACCTTCAATCGTCAGCGAGAGGTTAAAGATTAGAGGATCTCTCGCCAGACGGGCACTCATAGAACTTCAACAAAAAGGCTTGATCAAGCAAGTTGTACAGCATCATGCGCAACTTATCTACACACGTACTACTAAGGGAGATGATCCAGCAGTATAATATGTATGTCAATTTAATAAAAAAACTTTAAGTTTAAAAAGTGCGAAATTTTAATTCTTTAATCTTACTCAATTAATATTTAACATAAAACAGATTATAAAGAGAACTAAAAACTTTAAATATAAATTGGTTAATTAGGTCAAACAATTTTCAATTATATAAATTTTATATTATTTAAAAAGTGGAGATGTAGGAAAAACAATATTTATAAATAAAATCGTCTTTATTATATCAGTAGAACATAGAAAATAATCTTATATATAAAACTACATAACAACTTATACATTATTACATACAAACTTATTGCTATTATATATTACAATTTGATAGTAAACAAAAGATATAACCCATCATTCGAGAAATATGAAAAAAAACAAAATGCTCATTAATATTTTCCAGTTTTGTATAAAATATTAGCAAATATGATTAATTTTTTCTACTTTGTTATTTGTACATTTTTATCATACAGAGTATTCTCTCCACTCTTTATATATTCAAAATATCTAATTCCACGTTTTGGCTTCTTATTTCGTATAAATGTTATATCTCATGCCAGGAACAATATATTTCATTTATTTCATATTATTTATACAATTTCCTGATAGTTTTACTTTTTAGTGGATAGTGATTAATATCACTGTTCTCAATATTATATCTTACCTGTTGTTGAGTAGTTTCCTTGGTTATAATTGACTTTATGTTGCATTTATGTTGCTAATGCATATTCCATATCCGTTTGATTTACAAACAATTCTGGTTTCGAGTCAATTAAATTTTGTATTTTATGTAAATCTATACTAACTTTAAGACCAGACTCGCTGTTATTGCATTTGAAACTGTCATCAATTACCAAGCATTGCCGAATAAACTTTACAGAGTCGGAGGCATCAATCTGCTTATTTAGAATACTATGTTCGTTAAACAAAATATTCGAAACACGAGTGGCACTCAAACTTTGAACTTTTGGTCTCATAACATTCATACTATCTAATTCTAAATGTTTATAACTATTCCGTAACGTCGCTTGAGAATCATCCGTATGATCGTTGCCAATTTTCCTATTGCTATCCCTATTGTGTCGATTTGTAGAAATAGTGATATCATTCTCTAATATTTTTTCAATGTTTTTATTCGTTTTAACAATATTGAAATCAAAATCATTGTGTACTATTCTGTTAGTTTCTTTATAAAACGATCGCGCAGTTCTCTCTTCTATAGGCGTCACTATATCGTATACTTGTTTATGTTGCTGTATATCTTCCCAATTAGCTTGCAAAATTTGGTTACGATCATTCGAAACAAACGCTACGTTATCTGTTACATTATCCTCCATATTTCTATTACAAATTGTTTTGTTTAATGTGCTTAAATTAGTATCACTTGAAACGAGACGCGTCTCATTGTCAGTCTCACCGCAGAAAGAATCCTGGACAGTCATTGTATCATCAATATCATTCACTAAATTATTATCAAATATGTTGTTACGCGAAAGCATTTTTGATCTAACGGGATCTAAATTCTCTTTTGCATCGTCCTTACCACGTACTATATACTTTGTTTTATCATTAATCAAATTCTCATTTTTCGAAGAGCAAGAAAACTTGAAGCGTTGTTCCGCAGCTTGAATATCCATGTACTCTGCACTGGACGAAGCTTCATCTCGTGCACTAGAACAATTCTTCGCGTGATAGAACAATTCTTTCAGTTCCCGTTGCGAAGCTCCATTCGCCGTTCGAATCTTACTTTCTTTGGAATTATTCACCGGGATATTTACAGAGAACGTATCATACAAAATCATCTGCGAAAATATAAATATGGTTAAACTCTTCGTTTTCTTGGTGAAAAATTAATAATATATATAATTCATTATATTATATAATTATAATTATTTATATAAAAAAAATATATATATATATAATTTATAATCAATTCACACGTGATACCTGAATATTATCTGGTTTGCAAATTCGAAACTTAAGATCGTGTAAATTCATATACTGTGGGATTAATCTAGGTTGATGACAGGTACTGTGGTTGTTTGTGACTCGGGGGAAGACGCTGCGGGTTGAGGCTGAATTCTGCGATTCGACGTCGCTGTCCATCCTATACATTAAAAGATTAATATTAATCTAGATGTATCATTTATATTAGTCTTATTCTTTCAGCATTTTATTTTTAGTTTCCTTTTTATCATGTATTTTTGTCATCCATGTACAAATAATATATTATATTAATATAAATTTTAATTAGTTTGTTTTACAATTATTTTTTTATAATTGGAATATCTTTTTCTCTCATTCTTTTATTTAAAAATCATTAATAAATATATTTATTTACAGCTCAAGTTGCAATAAGAATTAACGAATTTCTTATTAATATTTATTATTTTTTAAGAGATTTTGTATTTATATAAGACTCACCTCCCACAGGATTCACTTGATGGATTTGTCTTCTTTTGCCTAGTTGAGTCAAATTCAGCAAGACAGGTGCCTGCATCCCCGTCACACTGTTAGAATCGCAAGATATACACTGGCAGAGGAGAGGCGCGGGGATACTTGTTTATAAAACACATACTCCCCGCACCATATTTCTCACCAGAATCATAATATGCTCATTGTACATTTATTATACTTTGCAAAGTGTGAACACAGGGTTTACAAAAGTTTATTGCACAAAAATATTTTATTAAAAATATTTTATTAATAAAAAATTATAAAACTAATTATATTATTTACAAAATTTCTCAAATATCTTCCAGAATTTATCAAATATTTTAAAGATTGTTATACAATGATTGTACGTAATAAATGTTTGAATATAAGTTACTTACGAATATGTTGTTTGAAGAATTATCGCCAGGACTGGATACATTAGTAAATAATTTTTCCTCCATTAGGGCAGTTTTCTCGGTATTTAACATTTCTATCTGATTACCATTTACAACAATGGGCACAGTTGTATTTATCGATTGATTTAAAATGATAGTGCGAGGCTGATTAATCACAATGTTATTATTCATCACTGTTGGCACAATGTTGCTTGATGGTGCAGAGAATATATTTTCATTTGTGTTTTTTACTTCTTGACTAGTTGTAAGAACCGAATCTGGCATTAATCTGTAATAAGTGTCTTCCGAATAATTTTGATATTTGCGTTTGCTACTGGGTAAATATGTCCTTATCGGCTTCACCAAATTTTCATTCTTTTCTTTTACACTAATTAATGCGGCGTTTTCTTCCGAATTATTTGCTGCGACTTGACTCGTATCTTTTTCATCGTGAAATGTCTCATGAAATGACATAAACTTGGTAGGCAAAGCATTTTTTTGATTATCATACGAATTGGAAAGTTCGTTTACAGATGTATTTTTCAAGAGATTTTTATCTTCACAAGTTTTATTGGTTCTTATTGGAGACATTTTTCCATTTTGCTGCTCGTTTGCTTTAGATGCTACAGTATTGCAGGCCATTGAATTTTTTTCGCAAAACTTTTCCTCAAAATTGTTTCCTTTGAACTTCTTATAATTATTGACAAAATTACTCACTGAAAAATATAATATAATGTTATGTTATAGTAATTATTATACAGTAATGTATATAAACTTCGTATTTTCTTTTCTCAAATTACCTTTTTCGTACGTGCGTTTCAGAGGTGAAACAAACGCGCGAAACGTAACTAATTCTTCTAACGTTTTACTTGTCGTTTTGCTCGTCGAAGGAGACGAAGTATCGATGGAATTTTCATGTAGTGCAATGTCATTGCGTGTGGCGTCAGGCACACTTTCGAACACTTCGGGTGGTAGAGAAGTAACATTAGTAATCTTAATATTCATAACAGGACTTTTGTTTCTATCCTCTGTATCATTTAAATCATTATTATTTGAAACAATCAGATCTGGCGTAGATTTCTGCGATCTAGCTACATCAAATTGTTTGGAAACAGTAGTCGATTCATTTTCGTTTGAAATTTCTGGCTTTAATGCGACAGATTTATGCGAAACATTATTCCTTTCCAATAAATTAGTTGATGTTGCATTTAAACTTTTAGATGTTATTGAACAGTTCTGTACTGTGTTTAACGATAACTTATTGTCACTTGTATCTTTTGATGATGATACATGAGGTATATATGAACGAGATGTCAACTGTGATGGAGTTGAAAGAGATGTTCTTTGTGATAATGCAATAATCTGCAATAAAATAGAAAATATAATAATTGTACGAATAATGTATTTGATTTCAATTTTAAAAAATATAATATATTTAAAGGTATATATAAAACCAATATATTTTAATTACATTTACCTCTACTTCATTATCGTCATCGCTCTCGATTGTGATAACATCCGCTTCTTTTTTAATCGACTGAGATGTTACGTTCTTATTAGACTCCTGTTTTTCTTTTTGAGAATTATTTTCTTTACTTGTCAAAGATTTTTCTTTATCATCATTCTTTGGTGTTGATGTGTTGGTATCTTGGCTATTTTTAATAGTAATTACATCTTCTTCATCCTTTATAAGAGCATTGTGTGATTTGAACCTTTTAAATTGAACAAGAAGTTAATTGTGTTCTATTAAAATAGTCCATAACATTTAAAAGAAATTGTCACTGATGATTATTATTATAATTATGATTTCACCATTTATTCATTTTCTGCTCAAGCTGCTGTTGCAATTTAAAAGAACGTGGTCCAGGTCGTAATTTAATCTCCGAGATCGAATCTAAGGATATCGAAGATGAACTAGAATTAAAGCTGGGTGATGAATGATATGACACAGGAAAGTCAACTCCTACAGATATTTCTGTATCAGTGTTCGAATCTGAATCAGAATCTCTACTTGGACTAGAAATGGAGAAGCAAAAATTGTATTAAATATTGCTGTTATATAAAAATATTAATTATTTAATCATAGTAATTCGAGATAAATCTTTTAAAAAATTTTTTTTATAATTTATAAAATTAAAAAGTAAATTTAATACATACTGATCAGAACTATTGTTGGATTCTTCTTCTTCATTATTTTTAGAGTTATCTGTAAAGAAAAGAACACAATTATATAAATACCATAATATTTATAGCATTTTATAATATATTTTTGACAAATTGAGAAAATGCTTACTTAATATGGAAGTACATTCAGTGCATTCCCATATAGGATTGGCCCATTTTAAATGCCCACATGCCATATGAATACCTTGCGATCCACAAGTCTGACATAATGCTAATTCCCACTTACTGTAATATTTTACAATGATTTCATGATACACATATAAATAGAATATCAAATTTTAATACTGTTACAAGCAATTATTACTTTATTTACATATTTTACAATTACTTACGCATTACTGCTTACATGCTTCCTTCCCTTTGGACAGAGACATTTCACTGCATCACACTGATTATGTCTATACAAAAGCTCTTCAAATGCATTTGGTACCAATTCCCATGATGCATCCCTAATATTACATAAAAAATATGTATTTCTATTCTGTCATGTATGTATTAACTTATTAATGTTAACAGGATTAGTAATATTTTAATCTAGAAATAACTTTTAATTTTATACAGTCAATTAATATTCACACAAATTAAAGAATTCTGATAAAATGTATAATGAAAAAAGAGCTTCTATTTCTATACTTACTGACTCGGAATAAAAATCCCATATTGTAACATAGCATTTCGAAAATCTATCTTATTATTACATAAAGGACACTTGAAAAAATATCCTGCACTTGTAGCAAGTTGCTGAAACAAAAAATTGTTTTGAATATATATTTATAAGCATAGAAATATATTTAAGAAATTTGAATGCCATTGTAATTTAAAATTAATTAATTAGTACAAACTTTTCATGCATGAGGTACTATTATAACTAACCTGAACACATGTACGATGAAAAAATGCATTCTTTTTACAACATGGGGCCCATAAAGTTTCTACAAAGTCACTAGGATTTACCTTTTCATAACAGATATAACATAATATATTATCTAATGGGCTAATCTGCTTTAAAATATGTTCATCAATTGTTTGCTTTGGTCTATGATTTACACAATATGATCTGAAACATTCCAATTCAAATAGATTATTTAGTTACCCGTAATTTTTATGGTTTTATAACATCTGTAAAGAATAGTAATAATATGATATTTCCTTCTCACCTAAATTCACCAAAATATTGATGTAACGAACCAGCTTTCAAGCCACAAGGAAAATGAAATATCTTTTTACACCTTGTATTACAACAACCTAAAGTAGCACCAATCTTTTTGCAATATGAGCATACCTAAAAACATTTAGAATAAATTTATAATTTGTAGTGTTCAACATCAAAAAATTATATATACAATATATATTAAAAATATATAAAATACTTAGAACAATAAACAGAGAATATATAATGATTTTTAAAATGATATACCAATCGCTTTCCTCTGCGAATTTCCTTCTGTATATCTTCTGTCAAAAAACCGAGTATACCCTCATCGTCATTTCCTCTCTGCTCCATGTTTGACGAAAGAAGCTAAAAAAGGAATGCACATAATACTTTACACATAATATTAACACATAATATTAACAATATAATTTTGATAGATGTACTGTAATCTTTTTATATCTCAACTATATTCTTTAAATTCTATATTTAACAATGTTAGAGAAAAACAAGACAAATTCAAAACGACACTTTAAGATTACTTCGAAGAACGTGGAACCTACCAGGCAATAATAATGCGTGACAATTCCATTATATTCATGGATTTTGCCGTACTCCAGCTCGTTGTCCTCCGTCAGGTTGCAAAAACAGCAAGGCTTGCGAGAGGAGCTGCACCTGGCGGACATTATGGTTCCGCCTGAATGACAGAGGATCGCAAAAAGCTCGATCAGGACTGAAGAACGGAAACCTTCTGGAACGATATCAACCACGAGCACTTGATTTGCGAAATTCGGGCTCGATGTGCCATGACAAACGATCGCTGAGCAAATAATACTGCTGCAGTTTGACGGGCTGAAACACACGTCACAGAGGTGCTCGGATTCGCGATGGGGTCGTAAAATCACCTGGCTAAGGCGCGACGAGACGCTCGTCGTCGCGCGTAAAGGCCAAAAACACTGCGAGTATCAGCGAGAGCTAGGGCCGACTCTCCCGCGCGATTTTCTTATCGTTATTGTACGTCCGACATCATCGCGCCCGCATTTCATCCGAGTCACAAACACTTTTTAAATTGCGTCGGCACGTTTAATGTTCAGCGAAAACGTGCAGATTAAAGCGCGTCTAATCAGCGAGTCGCGCTCGAGGAATGAAAAGGCATCACCGATCATAATTTCACGCTTTTCATATTTATATCTGTGTTATATTATTAGTAAAATTTGTGTGAAAAACTTTCGAGGGTGTTATAAACGTTTCGTGTATCAATTCTATAGAATGTGTATGCACGTATGTTTTGCTTCCATTTGGAGGGAAAACGAAGTTCTTCGGTACTCGTCGATTGGTCGAATTGATATACTCTACATTTTCGAACACACCCTATTTATACTAAAGATCGTACCTCTCATTGGTCAGTTTGTAAATTAGTTGACCAATTGGTGGATTCGTTGCTAGGTTTGTTCTTAAATGTACTTTGTGTGTCAAAAAATTTAAATTGAAAAAATACGAGAATTTAAATATCTACAAGATAGAATTGTATACAGAAATCAAATGTATGCTGTACTTCATTAGTTCAAATTGAATTTATATTATACTTATTTATAATTATAAAAAATAACATTTTAGTTAATATTATATAAACAATTATATATATTACAATATTAACAATGTTACATATTACTCTGTGAAAAATTCATAATTTATCAAAAATAAAATAAAAATACTTTTAACAAAACAAATAAAAAAAATATATTTCAATCATTTTAGATAATGGATTTACTTTCATCAATACCATTCAGCAACTACATCCAAGCCTTTAATTCCATTGGAATTATTTCCATAAATAATGTTATTTATGTAAGAAACTTGTTTAAGCTCTTTACGAGCTTGAGACATTCGGTATAGAATGGGACAATCCAAAGATAAGCATTCTATGTCACCTAATCGTCCAATACAAGAATGACAGATCTACAAAGAGAAAATTCATTATGATTCAAATAGAGATTATTATACATAATTAAAGATAATTGATTAAAATTCGTGAATTAAAATGATTAAATGCACAAGCTTGCTCTTAATAAAATATATTCCCATATTTTTTTTCATTATCCTTACAGCAGCGATTTGTTGTTGATTTCTTTCCAGTTGTCTTATCTTCTGAAGAAGTACAAGAATAGTTCGGCTTGGTTGCGAAAGACATTCTGGGCAAACTTCTTTATTAGTTTGTTCCCCGCAAGCAACACATGCAACAGAACTGAAAAACTGACGAATAGTAGATTTTGTATTGTCTTCTCCTAAGTGTGCAATATTACTGAAACTTGTGCGATGAGATATTTCTTTATACCTGTAAAAGTATAATATATTATAATAAGTATAATATATTAAAGTGTTTCTCTTTCATAAATGTTACTGAATTAAATTGACGCAAAACATGTGACGTTATATAGTTGGAAATTATATTCTTCAAGTAGTTCCTATGAATTTAAGTTGAAAAATATATTCTTCTAGTAGTTATTATGCATTTACCATGTGTTGACGTCGATTCCGAATAGATTAAAGCAGCGATTGAGGGGCGGTATAATGACTTTTGTTATGTAATACACGGAATTCGGAATTAATCCCGGATCGGTAATAACTTCCAGCGGTGTGCGCACGCAGTGGATGAGCGGCTGATTAGGTGCACCAGCAACGATAATGTAGCGAACGCGTTCGCTGGTTCGTGGAACAGCGCGTGGATCTTTTCTGATCAATCTACGGGTTAATTCTAAAGCCGGCACGCAAGCATTTGCCTTGTATCCGCGTATCCCGCGAAACTCCTTCGCAAACGTCAAATCCTGTATGGACACGCGTCGCTGGAAGATCTTGTCGAACTGTCTGATGACATAAAGCTTCACCAACGAAATATCCTTTGTATCGAATAAAATCTTTAGGGCTTTCTCGAGTATCTGCAAAACGAAAAGATATTTAACTGTAAAATCAATCTTTTTCACGAGAAGAATTATTTTAGCGTAATTATTTAGTCATCCTGCTTACTTTGGAAACCGCAGGACATCCATCCCTGCGAACCGTCTCGATTCCTTTCGCCAGAAACTCAGGCTTCTCTTGATCGCGCGTTTCGTACATGTATCCGCAATATCGTTTTTTCGTCTGAAATAATACATTTGGCAATTTAATATATTATTAATTTTTTTACGTATAGTATTATCACTATGTGTATATTATGTATATTAATTACATATATTTGTTATTTCTTGATCTTACTTGTAAAATAGCGGGATGAAGAACTTTTTCAAATTTAAGTTTTACAGGCGGGGGATTAATCGCGGTTACAGCATCTGCGATCTCCTCGCCGATAGTGAATGCCTCTTCTCGAGATTTTCCAGGTAATAACACAAACATGGAATCTGTGTCCCCGTAAATCACTCGAGCGCCCCATCTTGGAGTAGATTCTACTAGTTTGATCGCTCGTTCCAACGTCTCTCGTCCTTTGCTGACTACACTATCCCCTATCTGTAAAAAAACCTCGTCAAATAAATACTTTCTACAAAAAATAGCATCGATATTAAAGCAGAGACTTAAAGAGATTTTCATCAAAATTTATGCGCATGTATGATTTTTAATTTTTTTTTTATGTAGCTTAAATATACATCATACCTCGATGCATGGCATTCTACCACTAAAATTGGCGGATGTATATCCATAAGTGACATTCGCGATTAACTTGAGACCCAACTGCTGCGAATGAAGAATGCGATGCAATGCGCGATTTTCTGCTGAGTGTAACTTCATAGATTCTTTCACCATCAAACGGGTATTTAAAATTTCCGCCAGCATACGCGGTAATATTCCCTGCCGTACTTCTTTCTTCACGAACGCTACTCCGCAAGGTGAAAAATTTATCTTGTCTTGCAGCTTTAATGCGGTGTTCTTCCTTATCCTTAATGTTGCTGCACCAAACTCGAAAGGACCGTATCTAACAAAGAAAAATATCGAATTAAATTTAATCTAATGTCTGATATTATCGATATTTATGTTAGATATATAAGATATACTTACTGTCCTATGTGTTCTATTCTTCCTAAACAGGTAGAGAAACAGTAATTATAAGCAATAATCATACTCGGATACAAGCTTTGGAAATCGAGTACGATCAATGGATCGGTATAAAATTCAGATTCGGGTTCCATGATCAACGGTATACATTCCGGGGCTCGCATTTTGGCCTTTTGATGTATGGATGGTGAGATTGGAATGTAATTCATGGGTTTTGCTAATCTTAACATCATGGACTCGACACGAAACTGCGAGCCTCGTGAGAAAACCTCGTAAAATTGTATACCAAAGAGACGAGCGTGTTCGCATGTGCGACCTACATAGAAAAGTTTAGAATAAAATAATGAATTTAAATATGTTTTAGAATAACTAATGATAGATATATTTAACACGTGAAAAAAAAAAATATAGAAAAATTTATATTATTAATCTTACCTATAATATCTAAGTGATTCAGAAGCTTAAGAGTGCCTACAACTCTGACGACGTAATGCTGTATAACTCTGCTTCTTATTATCATACTTTCATGCTTCCACCAGGTAGATAATGTTTTGAAGGAAGGGCATGGAATTCTTTCGTGTAAAACATGATGCATGACATTCTCAAAGCTGTACGTTAATAACGCTGGAAGAAATTAAGCAAAAATCTCTTTTTCATTTTGAATAAAAGAAATATATATATATTTATATATACAATATATATATATATAAATTGAATGAAAGAAATAAAAATTTATTTTAGAATATATAACTTACCTGCCTCGTGTCTCATGATTCTCCAAACATCTAGGATATTGCGACCAAATACTTTAATTTCATTCGCATCGTCCTTTTCAGACGTATGAGCATCGGACTTGGAAAATATCTGCATATGCGGAACCTTTGAAATTCTTAATGGAAAGTTATTAAGATTAAGATAAGATGCTCTCTGAAATACGTAGCCCCACGAAAAAGCTTCCACTTCCCAACCGAGTAGAACATCGGGATTGTACTGCTCGATCAATTTTACAAGACTATTGAAGATATCTTCTTCTGTTGCAACATACAATATTGGACACATTGCACTCGCAGAATGCATTTTAGTAAGTCTTGCACTTATAGAATTGGAATTTACAATTATAGCACCTAAAACAAAAATTATAAAATTATAATAATCTTTTGTTATATATAAAAAAATCTTTAATTCATAAAATCTTGTGAGAGTAATATTATAATACAAATTTTTTATATAACTTTGTTTTGATAATTACCATGTTCTATCTGCTCATTAGAATCCATCGAAACATCATTGTAAATCGCGTAAAATAATGCAGCGATAGAATCATATTCCGGATCAGGAAGAAGATCTTCTCGAGTAACAGTGTGTACTTCAAGAGACAGTAATGTCAGATATTGATGCTGTGGAAAATTTAAGATTAAAAAAATAAGTCTTGCATTCACATAAATAAAATTAAAGTAGCAAACTTACTGCAGTTATCGCTCTAGCGTTTTGAAGATTCTGACTCGAGACGCTGCCGAAGCTTTCCTTAGACGAGCATTCGATTTGACCGTACGAGACACCAAGCTGCTGCATCTTATTTTGTTTGTGTAACAACGGATTTTCTAATGCCCTTTTTAAGGAAGGATTTAAACTATTTCTTGACATTTGCAAATTATCCGAATTTTGTGTAAACTCGAATTTCCTGCTGTCATCGGATGTTTCGCTTCGTTGAAGGACCGATGAATCAGATTCTTTTACAGTTGAATTGTTACTTGAGTGATTAGAAATTCCCTGCTGGGGCTCATCTCTTTCATTGACAATATTAATTGACGAATGTTGTGCGTTTTGCACATTTAACTCCTTTCCTTTATTCTTTTCTTTGTTCAATAAATATCTTTTAGCTCTTATCCAATTTTTAACATCTTTGGAAGATGGTGGTGGTATGAGTGGTTTAATTGTTAATAGATTATATCCTGCAAGCGTCCGTTTGATATGATGTGTCTTTATACTCGCTCCAGAGGGATGAAATTCATTGACCTTCATTCTTCGCCAAAGCTTAATACTCGTAATATCTTCTAAACTAGATTTAAATGTAGGTACGTCAAAGCGCAGAGAATTCATGTTTGAGGATTCCTTTTGCTTCGAGAAATCAACTTTGTTACCGAAAAATGGCTTTTGCCATCTACACCTTGGAATACCATATAATGTCATACTTTCTAAAATCCTTTCAGTACTAGGAGGTTTATATTTTGTAGTAATCGTAATTAATGCATTTCTTCGTGATTGATGAATATTTCTCTCCAATGACAAACATTGACTGTCATTCTCTAGTTTTTCGTTGACATGTTGGGTGAAAGTTGTATTACATACTTCGTCTTCATCTTCATCAAGATCAGTTTCAGGAATAATATCATGAAGTGTCAAAGATGTTTTGGCCGAATTACGTATGCCTGACGCGTAGTTTCTCTCGGGTGACGTATCATTATTACTTTTCTCTGTCTGTTGACTGTTGAAAACACTATTGTCACTGTTTTCATTATTGAAAGAAATTGCAATTGGATCTTCACGTACTTGGTCAACAGAATGCTCAATCAAGTTTTCAGATCGGCTCGCGTGATGATCCGATTCTACAAGAGTACTTTCCATTTCATCATCATTTAAAAAAGATAATTTCTTACGAATCTCTTTGGTTTTTTTAACTAACAAATTTTCACTATTTTTCATTCTTTGTTCGTCTCTTATTGATTCGTCAACTGTTGTTACTTTAGTAATGTTTATAATACTTGTACAATTTTCACTATAAATATACAATAAATATTATTTCCTACTTATAAATATTTTTAAATTATGTGTAATATAAAAATCTTACAGAATATCTGTTTCATTAACTATTAACTTTTCTTGATCTTTCTTATCACTGTCGACAGTATTTTCTGAAAAAAGAAAAAGAAAAATAAATTAAGTCTAAAGCATTTAGTACACTATTTCTGCAAATAAATTCTTATAAATAAATTACTCAAATTACCTGAATCTATATTTGAAAGATTTGTTAGGCGTTTTTCACAAAGTAAATTCACACGTAACGAACGTGTCTTACGTTTTGGTGTAGTAGAAGTAGAAGGAACATCGGATATCGGTAGATATTGTTTTCTTTTCGAAGAATTGCATTGTCGTATAGGACTTCTACTAGTTTTCGGAGATGTGATAACAATATCAAGAGGCGAGTAGTTACCTGACAATTGTGGACTTCGGGACACTTTGCTTGGAGAATTATATTTTCTTTTTGGTGTTTTAACGATACTTTTTCGTTTACTAGGTGATTCGTGATCTTCAGCTTTGACTTCGCGCTTTCTTTTCTTCGGAGTGATCTGAACCATGTTTTGCGACACACTCTTTTTTCCAGATTTAAAAACACATATACATTCCTCTTGTCTGTCAATCGTAACATCAACTTCAGGTTCAGAATCGCTAGAGTCAGTAGCTGTGGCTCCATCAATATTCGATATTATAAATTTCGTTGAGACAGTATCCAGCTTATGATTGATATTAAAAATGTTTTGTTGAATGTATGAGTTTGACTCTTGCTTATAATTACATTTATCTTTCTCATAGCCTGCTATATAATATTGGTTAATGTGTTCTAAACACCCAAATGTTCCTATCTCATCTATATCATAAACATCTAAATCTCGATGGTCTGACTGTAATTGATATTGTGTAACACACAATTTTTTCTCTATTTCCTTATTATAGACAATTCTTCTTTCAATATTTTCTAAATAAAGCGTTTTTCTTATGATAGCACCGTCAATTTGTGAATGCATTAAAATCTGCAAATTCTTGCTAGTTTTCACAAATATATGAAAATAATATCTGTTTAAAAAGTTGTATAATTTTTTCTTTAAATATCTATCAGAATTATTTGCAATATACTTAATAATATCTACTAGATATAAATTTCTGTGTGAATTACACATTGCATAATCTTTTTTTATATTAATAACAGGTGCAACATGTTTATTATCTTCAGGAAGGCACTGAACTGTAGTACAATATGTTGTTGTATTGTCTTTAAATATCATATTTATATTACTGCAATCATTCTCTCTTTCATGGTCCAACATATTTCCACATAGATCATCAGTTCCATCAAGTTGGGGAAAATTCGTGAGCGTAACATCTCTACAACTTTCTCCAGTAACATCTATATCATTTGATTCAGTATTCTCCTTATTATTTGTAACTTCCACAATATTGCTATGCTGACTCGATCTCTTTTGCATTGATTCCCAAGAATTTAGATCATCTAAGTCTAAACTTGTAATATTTAAATCCTCAATTTCCTCTTCCTCTGGATCATCATTTTTAACTGGTTGGCTAGAGGTAGAGTACTGAGACCCTAGAACGCTATCATCATCTACATTACTTTTGACTTCATTTTCTTCCGCCAAGTCAGCCAACATTTCTACTAATTGTATATCATCTACATCCACTACACACAAAGCAATAAGTTACATATTTTACATAATTACTTTAACAAAAATATTTCATTCAGATTTAAAACAGAATGAACACATATAATAGTGAATAATATGGTACTTACAAATACTCATATCTGTTACATTACTTTGACTTTGATTTGCTTCTAAAGATGCTGATGAGACTACTTGCAGAAATTTATAATTATTAGATGTTTTCTCACTATTTTCTTCGCAGGAAAAAGATTCATTGTGATTTATAATACAAGATGCATTTAGGACATTTTCATCATCTGCTACTTCGATAGGATATGAAGATACAGTTGTATTTGAAATAATTGTTTCATTAGTCTGGAATAAATAAATTAAAATTATACATAAATATATATATACATGTACAAAACATACATTAGATAATTAATACAATGGAATAATAAAATGGAATACCTGTGATATAGTATTCAGTCTCTTCAATAATTGACTCATTTGATAAATATCACTGCTTGTTGGAGGAAGGATAATTTTACTAGGAGTTTTAGGATATAATAATTGAGATTTTGTATTTTCTAAACCAGCTGCAGCTCTCCTAGCTTTCTCTTCATCCCAGATTGCGGCAAGACCAGGATTCAATTCCAATTTTTCAGTAATATTTTGTCTATTTAGAATATCTGAAGCATGTGCATCCACTTCCAATTCGCACATACTTTGTCTCATTATAGATGTTGGCAGGTACATTTGTGAGTTTATCAAATCCATTGAAGATTTGTTTTGACTGTCTTCTTCAATTGTATGTCTTTGCAAAGAGCATCTATATTTTATACTGTTCAAATTTATCAAATTCATGCCATAGAGATCGTAATCCATCATAAATTGTAAAATATAGGGAATATGTGCTTCATATGGTTGAAAAGTTTGATTGAGAATAGCACCATTCTGAAAAAAATATGTTTGTCTTGATATATTCTTTCTATAAGAGGCATATAAAATTATATTTTGTATAGAAAAGCACTGTTACCTGTAGCAAATCTGCTGTTCTTTTAATTATAGCTGGATTATAAAAATATATCTTAAAAAATAAATGTTCTTTTTCATGATAACCATAAAAAGGTCTGTAAAGCAATATTATCATAATTAATAAATGTGTAGAAAAATATAAATGTAATTGTCATAAAAAAGATATTACTACAAATAATTAGTAGAAGCTCAATCTATTAACTTCTAATAAAAAATGTTCTTACATTCCTGATACTCGTTGAATTTTGTATACATGTTGATTGCTGGATGATGTAGAACCGAACGATGTATTCAAGGCAGAATCAATTGATGCAGCTAGTTGATAAGCATAACTATCTGTATTCTCCTGGACAGTGCATGGTACATACATATATGGGAAGACACCATGAATGTGTAAACATGTCTTTTTACCTAAAAATCCTTAAACTTTAGTAAAGTCTTTCAATAATGTAAAATGTTTTATTTATCGAGAGGTAAACCAAATTATTGATTTTATATTTTGTTCTTGCCTGTGACAGTTGATCCGAATATCCTAATTATCGGCACCTTCCTTATTTCTGAACCACGAAATTCGGAGAATGTCGTATCAAGTTCCGGTATCGGAGGTGCTTGATAACTATCGATATTTACCAAAGTTATAGAAAACATGTCGCCTGATTTCTGCAATAAAACTGATGCGTCTAACACTTATAAATATATAGTGACATTCAATTATAACAATAAGTTCTTATAGAAAATAAAAAAGGACACATTATCAAGACATCAAATGAGACAAACAAAAGTAGAAGCACAAATAGACTGAAGAATAAATATGGTCCTTTTTACTTGCACTCTTTTCTCACCTGAATAAAATAAATTAGATTTTAGATATGTAAAATTAGATATGTAACACTTGGTGCAAAACGAAAGAGAGAATGTAAACAATCAAGCATGCACCATGCATTCGGTATTTTGAATGAATCTACGCGTAAAGGTGCCATAATCATCATAACATTTATCGACCAATCACAGTCAAGCATTCTTACTACGTAGCAGAATTAAATGGCGGGTTTTTTTATAGTTGAGAAAGAATAGAATATAAAATAAAATAATATATATATATATATATAATAAAAATATATATATAAAATATATATATATATGTATTACATTATAATAAATAAATATACTATATATAATATATATAAATTATAGAAATTAAAGAGAAAGAAAAAAAAGAAGTTTAATTAACAATTTTTAGTTTACATATAAAGTTTTATATATAAAGAGACTGCACTACAAATGATGTTTATATCTAAAAGTTAAAAGAAATACAAATTTCTTTGTTTTGATTGATCAATTAAATAATTTAAAACATTTATGAAATCAGATGTGTAATTTATTATTAAAATGTTATAGGATAAAAATAACGAAAAATTGTATTTTCAATTATATATTTAATATTTTATTTGTTGTAAAAGCTTCTTTGGACATAACTTTTGATTGCTAGCTAAGCAATTCGGAATTCTAAAATCTTTTACGTTATTAATGCGTTCAATTAACTTGTCATACAACAAATAAAATATTATTTCTTAAGAATTATTTCCATAATGTTTAAGTTATTGTTTTATATTTGTATAAATGTAATTATATATATAAGATTAATTAGAAAAAGATACTGATAACATTTTTTTACATTACAGAGGATAATGAACAGCAATGAATAATGTCAATGTTCAGCCTGGCAACCTTCTAAGCTTAAAGATCGGGCCAGATTTCGTGCAACGCCTATTCGAAATATGGAAACTTTGTCTTGAAATTTCGGATCATCACCGTGAGCTTCCACACAGCGTAACAATTCGTAACAGTCATTGGACGAAAATATTACATCTTCTGCTTCTAATAGCGGTATAGCATCTGTGAGTAGAATAGACCAAAAACTGAGGGAAAAAAAGAAAATTACAATCCATGTAATTGTAAATATTCTTAATATGAATACTACAACTTACTATTTTGGTGTCAAATTCGAAACCAGAAGGGATACTAATAAACTTGCTGCTTCTCGAAATTCGCCCATTCCATACATATGATGAAATTCACAATATTTTCCTAAATGTAGTAAAAAAAAAATTAATTATATTAGTTATTATACTTATACAATATATTTGGTTACAAATAATTTATATATAATTCTATAAATATATAATTTTATATAATATATAATATATATTATATAAAAATAAAAATAGTATAAAAAATTTAAAAAACTTGTTAAAATTATGTAGAAATTATAATTTCTATGAATTATTTTCAGTTTCCTATTTATAGTTCTTTACCTAAAAATGTGAGTCTATCACTGGCCAACATGCAAGAACCCAAATTTTCCAGCAAATCGCGGCATTCTAATTCTCCGTGTTCCGCATAATGTTTTAAAAACTGATCCGCGATATATGTAGTGAAATTGCCATCGTGTGCTTTAAGTGCCCACATGAGAGCATTGCCCAATCTTCCTTGTCTTATGCTCTTCATCCCTTGAATCTTGCATATACTAGCAACTAAAACATTTCTGAATTATTATAGATATTATTTAAAGTCAAGGAAAAGATTAAAACTGAATTTTACCAACGTGCGGCATATTATTGTCCCGCGCGACATCGATAATCTTATTGATTCTCGCTTCTGTGCCTGTCGGTAACGATTGCAACAGAATCTCTAATCTGCCCAAACCTTGCTTCAGACAGTGTATCAAGTAACTCGCGCCACATTGCCACAACGAGTGATGACTCATTAATGTAGTGCCATACTCTAATATAAGAGATTCATGAAGCTGCGCAGTCACACTGTAAAAAATTCCGAATAAATATTTCAGTTCGTCGTCACAATGATTTATCTCGCATACTTACTTAGTCTTATCTTTGCTTAAAATATTTAATTTTCCACATTTGTACAACAAATCCATTAGATGAGCCGCAAACCAGCCGTTATCACTCATATATTGTATCTCTTTGATAACTTGATACAAATCATTTTCTATTAAAGCAAGAATTACACGATCCAAGTGTCTGTTAGCTTGCCATCTCTCAGCAACACTGTTTGCATAGCGTGAAAGTTCCAATTGTTTGCAACAAGGAGCCGAATAAAATAATTTTGCTGCCAATAATTCATACCATGCTTCTGTATACATGGAATGTTCCCACAATACTGATTCATCTCCTGCTATTAACTGTAGTAACAAAATTTGTTGCAGTAAAATAAAAAAAAAAATATGTTAATATAATATATTTCACCAACCTTCATGAGCATCTCCAGATTACTATCTATAACAAAGTAATTAGTTTCTAGATTGGAGCAGAGATCCATTTGCCAGTGTTTCCACCGTATAATAAATTCATTTACGGAATATCCACCATATACATTGTATACTGGCATTGTTCTGATAATATTGTCTGCAGTAATAAACGCTGAATGATCTGCTTTGCTATGCAAAGCTAAAAGACGGCAAACTAAATTTAATTTTCCATGAAATGCACAACCCATCACAACTTCCCAATAATTCGAATTTTCTAAATCAGCACCAACATTTGTTTTCGACAAGATTTTTTGTGCTATTAGCTCCCTTGATGGAAAATGAAAACTGATCCAATCTAATAATTGTGGTAGAACAACATCACCTAAACACATGATACAATCAATTAAAAAAATGCAATATATTTAAGGCAAATATTATTTTCTAAGCAAGAATTTATAATTATATTTCATATACATATATATTTGTATCTCAATTTACCTGGTGCAGCATCCACATAGAGAATTTCTGTCAAATGCCAGATGCATTCCACCTGATAAAATATAGTGAGAAAATTTTCCAACATTGTTTTTTCTTCTGATAATGGCTCTTTTGGTAATATCTCTTGTAGATTTTCAACACAAGCTCTCAATATAGATCTATATTGTTTACTGTGTTTAATAAGTTCTGGTCTAATGTCACCAGAAGAAAAAGATTTAAGATTTTGTACTGACAGAAAAACACCATTGCTTTCATTAACTAATTTACGTAAAAGAGGTGAAAATAATATAATTTCTGGCCGAAGAAAATGCACTTTGGCTTCACAAGGTGCAAACTGACTTTTAGTATCTGAAACAAAAATGTATAAGAAAACAATAAACGTATATAGTATATAATTCTTGTTTATATAGTTAGAAATATATAAAATTCTTCTAACCTTGTGAAAACTTATCTACATGTTTGTATGCATGAATTCCAAATCTATTACTATTGATCCAGGTTGTTGCGATACCTGCTTTCCTACAAACATCATCTGCTATAACCTGCAAATTACAGAGACACAAATTATTATTACTTAGTAAGATTTAAACTTTTCAAATTTTTTTAGTTTTTTTCTTATCATTAATTGTTCCATAAAAACTCAAAATTTTAATATAAAAATATATAACGACACAAATCTGTAAATATAGATTGATGCAGAGAGGTTACATTAAATGAATTTACAATATTCATTAAATAATATTTTGATTAAAATAATTTAAAGTTTAGTGTTTTAAATTTTATTTTAAATAATTAACTTGAAGTTAATATTTATTAAGGTTTGCATTCAAAAGTTACAATAAATATTGCAATATGTAATTTTCATAAACTTAGTTTTTCTTATATATGTAAATAGTTTTGCACATATATTTCACTAACAACTATTTGAGCGTTGTCACTTTCGTCCATGGTTATTTGATTTATTATTAACAATATTTAACTTTGTTATTATGATAAATTTGTATAAAAATAAAAACGTTGGCGGACACCGGTTATAATCATTAAATATGATCGACATAGATGAGAAAAATAGATATTCATAAAGGAATCGTTCTTTGATACTTGTCCAAAGAATTGATTGGCTACTGAATAGGAACTTTTTAATACTATTGCAAAAGTAATACATAAATTGATAATTTAAAAAAATACTAAATTTTATCACTGAATATAAAAAATAATTTTATGTTACTAAAAATATATTATAAAAATTATTGTTTTTTTATATTATTCAGTGATAAGAGTCAGTATTTTTTAGATTAATTTATTTTGATACTTTTGCAATAGTATCAACAAGTCTCTACTTTAAATTATTTTAATCAAAATATTTATTAAATATTGTAAATTTATATACATATATATAAAACACGTACAAATATCGTTCTCATTTTATAATTTATTCAAAGAACATAAAAAAATTATAAAAATCTATTTTTACATTAACTGATAGAATTAATAATTTGCAAAATTCGTTGTTCATCAATTTGTTTCTATCTAAAATATATGATATATATAAACTATATTTTTTATCGAAATAAAGATATAAAATGTTCAAACATATGGGATAAATTTGATAAGTTACTGATATAATAAATGCATGTATATCTGCAGTTTGTATAAACGTTTATGAATAATATATAACGTATACTATATAAAGTTTGATATTAAAAGTAAAAAAGTACAAAAATATTTTATAGTATTTTTCATATATCGGAACATTATAATAGAAAGAAATCTTCTTTTTGAAATATATCATATAAAAGTAGCAACAGTGTTAATTTGTACTCCAGATCTAATGATGGAACAAACGGAAACCAGTGTGAACCAGCACTATTTCATGATCATTGCAAGCTTCTATTACTGCTGAATCATTTGTAGAGCCAGCAGGACTTGCGATATACTTGACGCCACTCTGTAATAAAAATAAGATCATTAAAGCAATATACATATAAATGTTTATATCTACGAGAACAAATCAGTCAAGCAATTTATGATACAATTTAAATTATTTAAATAATTATATCACAGAAATATCACATAATATAAATGATACATACGAGTCTAGCTCTATCAATATTGTCTCTGAATGGAAAAAAAGCATCGCTACTCAAAACGACATTATTCAATTTTCTAATCCACTCAGTTTTATTGCTTTCCGTTAGTTTTTCAGGTATCTCTTCGTACATGGCGGCCCATGTAGCTTCATCCATATCTTTTCCTATGGATCCATTAACATAATTGTCAATAGCATTGGAAATTTCCGCTCTCTTTACGCCTTTTTTGAATTTCATTCCTATCACTTTCGGATGCTGACGAAGCCACCTGTGTGTGTAAAAGAAAGTATATTTAAAAATATATAAATTAAAAAATATACTATATTCATATTTTTTCTGCATACATATACAATTATATAAAAGAATATAACGAACCAATTATCGGCCTTGTCTCCAGCAAGCCTAGTGCAATGAATTCTAGATTGTTGTCCTGCACCAGTGCCTATCACTTGTCCCTCTTTCGCATAACAGACAGAATTGCTTTGCGTATATTTGACAGTAATAGTAGCTACGATTAGATCGCGGATAGCATCTTCCGACAAAACCTTCGATTTTGTCGTTACAACATTCTTAAATGTCGACTTGTTAATAATAGCATCGTTACGTTTTTGTTCCATGACCAAACCATACAGAGTTTTACGTTCCAATGCCGATGGTTCATAAGAAGGATCAATTTGAAGTATATTATATCCACCATTCTTCTTCTTCTTTAATATCTCAAGAGCTTCCTCCGAATAGCCTGGAGCAATAATACCATCTGATACTTCTCTCAATATAATTTTTGCTGTTATAACGTCACACGGGTCGGACAATGCAATAAAATCGCCGAAACTGGACATGCGATCGGCGCCTCGCGCACGAGCGTAGGCAGTCGCTAGAGGAGTGAGTTGATGATATAGATCCTCCACTTGGCACAGCTTCGCCTGCACATTATCCAAAGGAACACCAACCGCAGCGCCAGCCGGACTAACATGTTTGAAAGAAGTTGCCGCTGGCAAATTTAGCGCAGACTTCAATTCCTTCACCAACTGATAACCATTCAATGCATCACATAGATTGATGAAACCTGGTGATCCGTTCACTATAGTCAATGGCAATTTTTCTAAAGTAGTAAATATCTGTGCAGGTTTTTGATGCGGATTCATGCCATAACGGAGAGTGAGTTGAGAAAGTCCAGAGCTATATTGCTTGCGGAAGTAATCTGAGATAGCGTTGTCATACTCTGCGGTATGAGTAAATGCTTTTAAAGCTAAAGTTTGCCTAGAAGTTATAAAAATGTTAAATAATAATCTCAATATAATAATCTATAAGATATACAAATTTATATGGTAATTTGCATTGTTGTATAAAAATGTTACAAATTTAATTATTTATATTAATTAATAATAATAATTTATATTATCACGAAAGCTCACCTAGTCTGTAAAGAAGTATCTTTATCTTCAGTTTTATCCATCTCATTAATAACCTTTTCATAATCATTGGGGTCACAAATTACTGTTACCCTTGTATGGTTTTTGGCAGCAGCACGCAACAAAGTTACACCTCCAATATCTATGTTTTCTATTGCATCTTCAACTGTCACATTCTCTTTCGAAATAGTATTTACAAAAGGATATAGATTGCAAACTACTACTTGAATAAGATCATAATTTTGTTTCTGAAGATCTTGAGCATCAGAATCGGTCAGTCTAGCAAGAATACCTATAAATGTACAAATAAGAATGTTAAACTTGTAAATATTGATTTATTATAATTATATATTAAATATTTATGTATATATTAAATATATTTGTCAGATAAATCTTCAAATAACACTTTAATAAAAGAAATTAATTTTTTTACCAGCATGAATAGCAGGATGAAGAGTTTTCACACGCCCACTAAGCATTTCAGGTGCTCCAGTAACCTCAGAAACATCTTTTACAGGTAGATTAGCATTTCTCAATGCCTGTGCAGTACCTCCAGAAGCAATCAATGTTAATCCAAACTCATGCAGTTTTTTTGCCAATGGCAATAAACCAGTCTTATCAGATACACTTAGAAGAGCTGAAAATTTAATAAAATTATAAAAATTTTCTATCATATAATTATTTACAAATTATGACATAAAAATGCAAGAAAGAATAATTTAAATTTAAAAAATTGAAAAAATTATAAAATATCTATATATACATTTAAAAAAAAAACAGGTAAAAATTTATATTTCTACTATTTGTATAAATAAATTTATGTAATTTTCACATATATAATTATGTAATTACATAACATGTAACAGATGTTAACATTCTGTTACATACAATGTAACAGAAAATTATGAAGATAATTCAGGGTGGCAAAAATATGATTTATTTATATATCTAGATGAAAAATAATTGATCCAAAATCTGTTGATAACATTATATTAACAAAAACACAGAATAAAATAATAAAATGTAGATGAAGCAAACCTTATTAAAAATTAATTCATTGCCTTCACCTTTATTTTATCAGTTTTGTACGAAATATAAACTTACCTAATTTATTAGTCGACATTTTCATGCGTTATTAGAGCTGGACAAAATGTAGAGAAGTTCTCACACAAATCTATCTTTTTGAATTAAAGTAGAATCAGATCCTAACTTTCTCTTACGAATTCAGGCACGTAATTCGCAGAGGCAATGAACAGCAATGAAGTGATTGTGTCACGAAAGGGCATGTAATATATATCAGACAGGATATAATTGTGCAAACAGATCTCCAGCAGCGACCACGTCAACATGTGGAAGATAACGTCTCACATGACGTCTAACACATCTCGCAATAATAATGAGTCGACCGGTCAAATGTCATCTTATATGCAGATAATAAACTCGGATTTAAATAATATACGATCGTTAATCGTCTTTTTAATTTATAATATTTTTGCAAATATAGATAGATGTAGAAAATAACCGACTTTGTTAATTAAAATAATTACGATGAATGATGAATATTTTCATATATAAAATAATTTAGTTTTTTTATTTTTATGTATTTATTTATTTTTTTTTTTTTTTAGGAACTGTTGAGGAAAATTTTTGAAAGTTTATAAATAATTTTATATATATATATATATATATATATATATATATATATATATTTTCACTATATATATTTTTTTCTTTTTCTCTAATGAGGAAAAGAAAAAGAGAGAAAGTCTTTATAAAATTATTCATAAACTTTCAAAAATGGTACATATAATATAGGGAAAGAATTTTTCACAATATTTAATTTGAAACTTTTAACATACTTGTTATATATATATATATATAATATATATATATATATATAACGAGTATGTTAAAAATTTCAAATTATATTCATAACTTATTTTATTCAATAAGGCGCATAAGCGTAAGCATAATAATCTTGATTGGTCTATAAATGCGTGCATAAGAAATTCAACCTATCGAATTTCTCACTTTTGCATATGCTTATGCGCTAAAAGTGTGTGCTCCCCGCTTCATCTTTACGCTTATGCGCCTATGCAAAAGTGTGTTCTTTATGGATTGCGGTATTTTGTTTATCTAGTGACTTTAATTCCCTAGGAAGCTATAGCCTAGTTCTTTTTTTCTAGCCATACAGCGAAGAAAAAGATGGCACTTGCAGAGATAAACAAAGATGCTTTTAGGTTAAGTACGTTTTTGGAAAACATTCCTTTTTTGATTCAATTGTGATATAAAATTGGATAATATCAAAGAATGGCCGATCCAACATTACAGACCTTTTGTTGTCATCATACAAACAGAACGGATCAGGCCATAGCAGTAATGCAAGAATTTAATACGGACGCATACAATATAGTGTGTATGATTTCATCGACAATGGGAATGATAGGCGCGATTTACCAGGTAAATTTAATAATAATCTGTAAAGGACAGCTAAACATCTTATCGATTTCTTTTTGTACCATTTTTACAATATTATATGACTACAATATTATATTGTATAGAACAACAATATTTTTTAAAAATATATATTATCTTGTATTATATACAGAATTAAAAAGCATTCTCTAATTAGAAATAATATATATTTAATATAAAAAATCGAATTGGTGCCGAAACGTCAATAAACATTTCATCGAAGAACAAGTGTTTTTCTTCCTTTTAATTTTTAATCACGGGTTCCATCTGCATTAGCCCTTATATGCCTTTTTATATTATTTTAAGTGATTAATATAATATAAAATTTATATAATAATATGTAATAATTATATAATAATATAATATATAATATAAAATTATATAGTATAGTATAAACATTTTTTGCAGATATTACCCCGAGAAGATTTAAATATTTCTCAACGATGGAGAAGCTTCTCTAGAGGGCGAGATATTATTGTATGGCTCGCTGTTGCTGATCTTTTAGCATCTTTAGGTCTAGTTTATCACAATTTGATTATGCCAATAACTTAGTTTATATTATATAAATTTCTACACCTTGTTGCAATTTGATTTCGTTAATTTTTGTCAGAGAATATGACAGTGTGATAGATACATGATATGTCTTATCTGATTGTTCCATACTTGATCAGGTGTTTTTGTGAGGTCGGCATTGTGGAAAAATTTCAAATCTATCATGCCATTGGAAACCGATATGTCGAGTGTTATCTTTTGTGCTTTATCATCGGTAATGTTGACACTTTTATGTTTGATACAAGTACATGTAGAACTTTGCGAGAAGAATTGTTGCTTATAGGCATGGATACAATATTTCTACATGGCTACTTGGATATGGACATTATGTTATGCAGTGGACATGAAGTTATTGTTAGGCGATAAAAATGGACATTCTATTTATTATCATGTTTTAGCTTGGGTACTTCCAGCCATTCTTACCTCATTTGGACTGATCATCTTATACATTCCAGATGCAAAGTTAGATTTTTACAAGTATCACAATTATCTTCGTATACACATTTAAAGTAATTATAATAAGTACAAGTTATCTTGCAGTTGTCACAATTTGACATCATTATCCAGTGCCGTATTGCGTATTCTTCCAAACTATTGTGCTACATATGTACTATTGGCAATAGTCATGATTGCAAATCCTATTTTGTACGTCGCATCAACTCGAGATCTTGAAACAGCAGTTTTACATAGCATGGCTCAGATGACTGGAAGGGAGCGAAGATTAATACAAACAGTTAGATTAAAATTTGCTCTCATTAATTTAGTCTATTATGTATGCTGGATACCAAATTTAATCAATGGAATATTATTATGGACTTTATGGTTTAAGTTGCCAATTAAAGCGATTATCACTTTATGGTATATAATGGTATGTTTGGATGTAATTCTAATTATATGTGTATATACTGTAAATTTAGAAAAGTGATAAAGAAATTTTTACTTGACAGGCTGTAACAAATCCTCTTCAAGCATTCTTTAATGCAATCGTTTATCAATCATGGACTAGAAGAGAAAAGTTGCGGTTTGAATGTTGTCAAGATTTCAAGTTGAGTGCCAATATACATTTAAATGCGATTGATAAAAGAAGTACTCATTTTTCCGAATCATCTCCACTATTGAATCCACGACGAGAATACAAACAGAACGTACCGCATATCAGCATAAACGGATCTTCGTCTCTGTGATAATTTTTTTACTGCCAATCTAGAAATAGATATATATATATATAGATATATACACATATATATACTACTCTATTGTTAGAGAAAATAATTTTAATATAAAATGATTAAAAGTACACATATCGTAAAGTCAAATTTAATGTGTATGAAACTCTTTTAAAATCTCAAAAAATTAAAGTCTCGATAAGGGTAACAAAATTTTTTAGAAAGTCTTGTGATATAAAAGTTATTGTAGAATAAAAATATAGTTTTAATATATTACAAAGAAATTTTATAGAAAATATAATTTTTTATATCTATTACATTTAATATAATATAAACATTAAAATGTGAACATAAATTAATATTATTTGCTTATTATTTACAAAGAATCGAGTTTTTCTTAAAATAAAACAGAAATATAGGAATAAAGAGAAAATTTATATAATTTACAAATTTTTTAAAAAAGATCGAATTTTTGATACAGCTGCAATGTACAATGAATTGTTCAATTATTTTTCATAAAAAAGTGCTAATACTATTTTTTTATGCATTTGTGTATGGTATTATAAATGAAAATATATAACAAAATAGAAATAGAGTATATGTATATAATAAGGATTTCATTATTAATAACATTTTGTACTTAATATTATATATATGCTAAATACTGTGTTAAAATATATCTTTTTCTATATCATAATATCACGATCAACAGCGGTCATACATTGTATATACATATATATTATTATCATGTTTGACATCAATGTATCATTATATAAATTGGCAATAAAAGAAAATACAAAATCTTATATTTTAAGAATATTTGTCAATTTTTATATTAGCCATCTCATTAGAAGCGAAAACACTAATGCGATATTAGCAAGTTGTATATACAAATCCAAAATAACTAGAAATCACTAAAATAGTTAATAAAATTTTTTAAATATAATCAAAGATTAGGAAATAAATATTATCAATTATTTCATAATGCATAAATTTTAATGTATCTTGAAATTATTTTCAAAAAAGTTCCTTTGATAGCCATAAATTATGAGATTTTCACACTTTAAGTTAAATCATAATTATCAACAAAAAAATTTAGAATCATAAATAAATTGTTTATATTCCATATTATTGTTCTCTGCTTAGCGAGTATTTTATAATAAATTAGGAGAATTCTTAATAGTCATGACAATTTGAAATAATGCTGCTTATAAGATCTTTCTAAATTTTTTATATGTAATGAATTTGTGTAATGTATATATATTTCACTTATAAAAAGTTATTTACATTAATAAAAAATTCAAGTAAAATTATCGATTGTAAATTTGTTTTGCTAATTATACTAAATATATTTGCTAATAATATTGAAATATAAAAGTATAAAACAGAAATATAAAAAAAGACATTTTTTTCTACATATTATCTGTACTTCCTTTTTAAAATATATTAAAAAACGTTTAATTAAAATTTTTTTATTTATATTGATCTGTTTGGCACTTTGGCAAATTTGCAGCATTATTTCACTAACATTTAAAACAAAGAGACAAGATATTTATACATACTATAAAATATTTTATACTTAAAAAAAACTTAAGCCTCAAATTCGTCATGTCAAATTTACCATCAAGAGGGAAGATTCGAAGCTCCAAGTGTCAAAGACGTAATTTCACGAATGATCATCTCAGCAATTCTCCATGCTAAATCTTCTTTAGCCTGCCAAATAATTAATTAAATTATAGTACATAATATATGAATAAATAATTATTGCTATCAGCATGCAAATTATTTTAATAATAAATAATTAATATTTAAATAATAAAAAATGCAAATATAAAAGATTTACCTTATCTTGTTCTATATTTACAAATCGTTTTACAACTCGAGTTAGACGAGATTCTGAAATTTGCATACGTAATTTTATACAATTTTATATATGTATGTGTTGATTGAATATTTAAAAAATTTTTATTTCTACTTACCATATTTTCTATGAGGATCTGGCTCTATTTCGGTAACAAACCTGCCTAAATTGTCAACGTAACCAATGCTTAAACTGGAAAGTATATTAATTATTTTATGAGTTATAAATTAGAGTTGATATAAAATGCATCCATGTCAAAATACCGATATTTATTACGTCGCCATAAGGAATCTGGATCATAAAGTTGCCTGGTATCGATATTCAGGTGACTGTTAATGTTCTTTTTATTATTACATAATTTACTGCCATGGTTTCCTGCTTGAGAAGTACTTGGCATACTAGTACACACAGAGCTCACTTCACTACTACAATCTGAACCTGTAGACATTTTGAAAATATATTAAATCTTATTTATATTATATTATATTATATTTCTTATTTATATATTATTTATATATTTATATCTTAATAAAATTTTATTTATATATTATATCAAAATATTATTTATTAAAAAATACAGGATTTTTCATAATATTTTACAAGAATTGTTATTATATTATTGAACTTATCAGTTGATACCTGTTCTCCTTATCTTGGAATGTAAACTCGGACACGGGCTGCTCTGAATCGTGCTGATTAGCTCCGATAAGTATTTATAATACAGTTGTGAAGATAAGAACACCGGCAGATAATGCTAAAAAGAGAAAATGTAACGCCATACTGGCTTTTCATTGGATTACTTTTAATAAGAAGAACTTATGTAACAAATATGAATGTGTAGTAAGTAAATTTGTGTGATAAGTGTGTGATGTACCTTATTGAGGAAGTTATATACAATTTTACTGGGTTTATCAAAACAATCGGGCTGTGTACCTCCCTCGCCCTCGCAACAAATGTTCTGTTCTACGTGGAAGCGAATTTTATCGCTAAACCCGAGAGGCATGGTCGCTTGTAAACTAAAATACCTGCAAAAAATAAGTAATATACATAACGATTTTTTTGTTTTCTCTTTTAAATGTTTTTTATATAGCTTTACAATTAATGTATTTTCTATATATAGGTTTAGGGTATTACTTCTCATAAATAATAACGGCATCGGCCTGTGCTTCTTCGGGATCGATTGCACCTTGCTTCTCCAAGAGATTTTGTTTGTAACTTATAGTTGACATCCAAAAATCTAACAATTCTCGCTTATTCTCAAGTTCCATGAACTATATAAAATGAAAAACATGAAAATATTTTTAACTGAAATTTTTGCTATAAAAGTAATAATTGGTAAAAAGATACAAACCTCCATGAAGTAAAAGAATGCTGTCTCATTATACAATATATCTGCTAACTGTACATTACCGCTGGTGAGCACATCAATTTGATGTTTACAGTGAAATTGGCTTCGTAGAAAATCGTTAATATATCTGTTAAATAAAATGTTTAGATGCATAAATTAATTATTTACATAGCATGATAATGTTATATATTAATGAATGTATGTGTCTCTCACTCACTCTTTCTCTAATATATCATATACTATGCTTTGAACAGCAGATAGGCACTGTAATATAGGCTCATTGTTTTCCTGTGTAACAGCTTTCTCCATTTCCAGTTTTAATTCTTCAGATATTTGACTTATACCCAGAGTTTCATTGAGAATGTATTTCTTGTAAATTCTCAAAGCATCTTGTCTAGTTGTTGTCATGTCGTGTCTCTTACAATCATGATTTGATTGTTGCGCTTTACTTATCGTTTGACTAGTCTTTGGCATACCATTTAACAAGGATGTCATGTTGTCACTATTCTCATCACATGGTATTTCATTGCTCGTTTGAGTATCTACATTATTAGAGAATACATTGCAACTAAAGTTTTCGTTATCATCTAAGGAATTAGGCAAAGTTTCTAACAGTTCCTTTTGATTTGAGTGTCTAACTTTCTCCGTATCTTCACTGGACGTGCCAGATGCACTGCACAAGCATTCCACTTCTAGCCAGAACTTTATGAGAGCTATCCTTTTTCTGGTTTCCATAAACTGAATGAAATAACCAAGGGCACTCTTGTCCATAAGTACTTCTGGTAGAGCTTTAGACAACCGAGAGCTAAAGGTGTATGCTTCTTTACTGTCATTACTGAGAATTTCTTCCTCCTCTTTTTCCTCAAGACTGCATAATACACCCAAGGGTGTTTGAATGGATGATGTGTTACTATCAAATGCATCTGTCAGAAAGTTTCCTGAGCTCGTTGACTTTGCAGGTGAAGTTTCTAACAATCCCAGCTTATCCTTTTGTCCTGTAAACATTGTGTGCACAACTTTATTACAATAGAAAATAAATTCGTATATTAATTTTCAAGTATATATATATATATATATATACATAAGATAATTTAACTAATTTCTGACTTCAAATATACAAATGACAGTAGTTTTATGACATATTACAAAATTAAGTTTAAATTTGATGTTAAAATATCATTTTTCCAAGTCCTATTTTAATTTCGATAGAAATAAAATACTAGAGGGAAGATGAGAGTGAAAGGAAAAAAAGGAAGACATAAACCCGCGTGCTGTGTAAATGTCAAAGGGTCAGAGCGAGGAACAATGAGGTTATACAAGAACAGAAAAGAAGTAAGTCTCTTTCTTATCGTTCGCTCGATGTAAAGCAATAAACGCGTGTAATTACCAATCTTCTTAAAAAATTGGAGCATCGTTCGTGTCAGCGCGTAACATGATCAGAGTCGCCGATGATGTACATACGTGGGGCAGAGAGGGGGTTGCGGGGGTCGGAGGGGGAGTCACGAAAACAATAAATATAGCTACGGGTGCAACTACGAACGTATTTCACGGAAGATGAATGGAACGCATCGGTTTCGCCGAACTGTCAAACTGTGTCGCGCGCTCGGGCTCGCAAGCCAGTTGACAGATCGAATCTCGCGTGGCTCCTGATGCCGATGATGATGACGATCCGCACCCCGGTTACCCGCGAACGCGGCGATGCGCGACATTTCGCGTTGGCGTCATTACGGAACGTCAAGTGACAGATTACTGGTGTTTGCATCGCCGATTACGACAGATCGTGGGTGCAGGGTGCAGGTGCAGCAAGCGGGCTGACAAAATCTACTCGGTAAGATTTTACAGAACGCAGATTCGGAAGAAGAACGAATTCATACTAGAGAGATGCATCTTTTACATTCAAAGCGACATGTAAATATCGACATGCCTTCGCCGAGGGAAAGATGAGAAACCGAGAGGGTGTAGAAAGTGCATATGTCACGAATGCGCGCGTTTTCCACATACGCTATACGCTCTCTCTTTCTCTCTCCCTCTTTAATTTGACATTTAATGCAATATGGCGCTGCGGTATTATTGTGAGGTAATTTTATGACATTTTACTGTATATACACATATATATATATATACTCAGTTTTACTTATAAATAATTGAAAGTTTAATTATGTTTGTTCAAATAAGATGATCTTTTATATTTTTATAATAATATTTATATATATATTATTTATATGTAATAAATATAAATTATGTATATATGTATCAGAGAATTGAATGTATATATCAGTTCTTTCTCTAGAAAAGGGAATTAAAATATATAATAATAATTAAATTAATTTTTTTAGATTTCTCTGTGGTGTTGTATGATCTCCAGGTAGCATCATGTCCAAAATGCACCCATAAGACATCTTTAAGATGTTTTCAAGATGTCTTTGGGATATCATATCATAAGATTTCTTAAGGATGTCTTAAAGATTTCTTAATGATGCGTGCATTTTAGACATGGTGCTATCTGGGTCTTTCACTGAATCTCGTTATATATCTATAACAATTAGGAGATCATGTTTTATTCAAGGTAAACATATATATATTACTAAATTCATTTTCATCTTTATATCATGATAATTATAAGTACACATACAATATAAACAATATAAATTATAAAATCATGAAAAGATATGTGAAAGTCTCGCGATTCTTTCTCTTATTTTTTTTATATATTTTTCCCGCATATATATATATATATATATATATATATATATATCTATATATATAAAAAAATTCTTTTACATTATTTATATTTTACAGAGGTGCAGATCTCCTGCTAGGATAAATTTCTGGAACGTATGCCAAGATATCGTATGGACGATATCGAAAAATCATTCGGTTGGAGAGTCAGATCGCGCATGTACAAGCACTTAAGCACGACCACCGAAGTGAACGTGAGGATAAAAATACACGCGAGGCAGAGATCCGATTGCGAATGTTGTACACTTCGAAGACCGGCTGTCAAGATAGAATGCGTAGCATGAGAGGGCAACGGCCGGGCATCGTACTTGAAAGATCGCGGGGCGAAGCGAAGGCTAAAAGGTGACGGAGACGAGGACGAAGATAGGGAGACGCTTGCGAGCTGTCCACGTTTTGTACCGGTTTGTCCACGCGCGTCAACATGCCCCGGCGATCGTCATGAATAAACCGGCTGTGGGATGATGTGGCTCCCCGCCGAGAATCGGACAAAACGAGGCCCCGTAGCTTCCAGGCAGCGTCGTCAAGCATTTTTCAGTCGTATCTATCGTAAGACCACGCCAAGACGACGATCATCATGTCGCTGCTCGTCCTCCTTGTTATCGCTACCTGCGGCTTTATCGCCGCGACTCCCGCACCGAGAAAAGCTATTTACAACCAGAGGCAGACTGGTGATTTGAACGTGGAGATAGCGGTCAAGGACCTGCGTGTCGTCGCGCTGCTCGATTCCGAACTCCTGGACGATTACACGGTAAATTAATCCTCCATAGGAAGTCAGGCGATTTTTTCTCCTCTTCGATGGATATATCTATTTCTATTGTCAGAATATCAGTCTTTTATCTTCTTTTTTTCCACTTTCTCTCTTAATTTACTTTATAGTTTTGTGCTGAAATTTAGAAAGAAATTTTAGAAATTATATAAAATATAAAATAAATATATATAATCTATAAATATTAAAATATATAAATGTATAATTTTTACAATTTGTTTTAGAAATAATTTATATAAAAATATAAACTAAATTTTAAATTATGATCTATTTAAAAAAATATATTTTTGCTATTGATAGCTTCTCTCTTTTCAGTCTGTAATTATGTCGTATGTAATATTTTATTGTAAAATTTATACTTAAAATAGATTCTGATAATTTCGCATTCTTTACTGAATAATACAAATGAAATTGCTTTAAAGATCATTAATAAATATTGTTGTAATATTCATTATTTATCAATGTCGCATTATATCTTTGCAGGATTACGATTATTTCTACGATTATAACGATTTTACCGTCAAACCGGGCGGCAACAGGCCCACCCCAAGTTCTACCACAAAGAAAAACGATATTACCGAGATTTCCGAGCCTCTTTTGTCGCCAAATTCGACTGTCTCAACGTCTCTTGATAATATAAATTCGACCGAATATAATACAACGTTACCGAATACCGAAGAAATACCGAATGCTGATTCGTCGAACGGAATCACGAACTCGACATTGAATGCAGATAACGATAAGAGCCAATCGAGCGAAGAGAATAAAGAATTCGAAGCAACAGTCGCTTCTTCATCGATAAGCAGACCTGCTCTACGATCACAAAAGCGTTGTAAATCTGGATATATTCCGAATGGTAATGGACGTTGTCGACGAGCAAGTCGGCCGTGGTTTTCCTTGTTGCCGTGAGTACAATCAAGGAACAACAAATCTTCCGATCGACCGAATTTAGATTGCATAATCACTAGAAGCTAAGCTAGATCGAAACTGTAATAAATAAATCTTTTAGAAATGTATCAAGTTTCAATCATATTTGCTTTTGCGCGATGAAATAAATTCTTTTGTTTAATTATATAATTATATAATATAAATGTAATTATAATTTTTTACCAATTTATTATTACAATTATAAATATTATAATATAAATATATTATATATTATATAATTATATATTATAATAGTTAAAAGTTGTATTTTCTATGTAAACTTCTTTTTACTTCACTTGTATTTTGAATTTTAATACTGGCAATGAATTCGTACAAAATATGTTGTTAAAAGATAATTTTCGAGAGAAATTTCAATCTCGTAGAAGCTTGCAATTTTTCTTCCGATTATTTTGACTCTCGACTTCTAGAGCCAATTGTTTATTACAGGATTCTTTTATCTAAACTTTAGAATATCTGTTTATATTACATTAAATGCGCTTTGCTCTCTTTCTCATCATGCTGGATCCCACGGCAATTTACACGTGAGGTCTTAATCCAATAGCGAGATGGGTCCCCCTATCATACAGATTCCGTGTACCGGTTCGCGCGACGAATCACAAGCACGGCGAGGAGCCGCTATTCGCGCGATCGTCGCAGTTGCGAAAAGGATCCCGTTCGTTTCGCTCGTGTTGCCGAAGAGCGATACGGCGAAGGTCAGCGAAGAACAGCGTCACTTACCTTTCGTCACTCGCGTACTTGTCTATATACCGTACGTGCATATATCAGTCCATATATACATATACATATCACGAGGATGGCGATGTCATTCCGGATGTTACTCTTCTTCGGTACGACGTTCTTCGCGCTTCTCAAGGTCAACGCTGCTCCGGCGAGATACAATCAGCGACAGCAGGGTGAATTCAACCTGCAGGCCAAGCTGGAGAACATTCTCTTCGTCGTGGCCATCCCCAGTAACAATGGAGCTCTCGCCGATCTGGCGTTACAGGCTCTCGAGTTGAAGCATTTGGTTTCCTCGCCGAAGGAAGAAGAAGAATCCATCAAATCCGAAGATTTGAACGAAGAGACTCATGGCGTGGAGCCTTATTCTGTGGAAATTATACAGATAAATGAAAATCATTCGAATAAAGGAAGTTTGGTGCACGACACAGGAAAAAGTAAAGAAATGGCAAACATTTCGAATACTCAGACGACCTTTTCAATCAATCATAAGCACGAGTTACAGGAGGGTTTCGACAGGACTGCGAAAAATGTGAAAGCTTTCGAATTTCCCAAGAGTCGCGAAGAACCGGCTATTATGGCATACTTTGTAGACGCGAGAAAAATACTTGAATCCAAGATCGAGGACGATGGACGGGCCCGAAATGTCGTTGAGAACGTTTGGAATCTCGATGCCGAATCGGGAACGTCATTGAAGAAGCAGTTGTTGCTTCGGCGAAAAGAGGATGTCACGCTACCTTCATCGAATACTGATAAAAATGATGTGGCTTCATTATCCGAGGATAAACAACAGAATGAACTGAGATTGCTGGGCGACGGTATCGAGAACTGCGGTCCAGGAAGACATCGCGACGCATCCGGCATCTGTCAGTTTGACGAGTCGGCCAGTGCTCTTCTTTAGCTTCAAAAGTTCCGATAATTATAGTTTTTAAATATTGAGATACGCTACTTATTATCGTGATTATCTCTCTTGGTGCAATACTTTATTTCCCTCTTTATTTAGCAATTATTATATCAGACCTATATTATATATTATATATCGATCTCAAGAAGTTCGTTAATTTTCTTTTGTTTATTAGTGTAAGAATTATGTAGAAGGAAAGAGTAACGAATTTTTTGCTTAATTTAATGCTTAGAACGCGCTAAAATGCGAAATAATTGTCGTTTTATATAAACCAGTGTATGCGTGAAAGTTACACTGCATGTATTCTATCAGGCTTCGAATAAAATATTTAAACAACAATAACAACATGCATTTAAATCTCTATCAAATCAGTAATTTATGCAAAACAAAAAGTTGCTAATTTCTATTTTTCCCTTCTTTATATTTTTTTTCTAATTATAATGTAGCTATAGTATTAATATTAAATGAATCCTTACCCTGAAACTCCTTGAAACACGATCTCACTAATCAGGGGCAGAGATAGCCGTACAAGATGTATGATCTGGTAAGGTCGTTTCCAAAAGCGGTGGCGATTCTGCGACGATGTTTATTCCCAGCACAAGACGGAAGAGAAAGAGAGAGCAAGGGCAAGGTTACGGTAATAGGTGCCAAGAGCCGTGGGATGGGGAAACGAACTCGTGGCGAACGGCCACGATAGGACATTGCCCTTTACAAAGATCGGTTGCTATATAGATGCGCACACTCCTGTATACTTATACATACATACATACATACATACATATATATATATATATATATATATATATATATATATATATCTGCACGTTGTATCGTCGTGCTATAACTATTACGCTTTTATCTTTGGCATCATCTTGCCTCCTTTCCTCTTGCTCCTTTTTCTCTTGAATGAAACCGGTTACTGCCGTAAGGGACACTTGAACGCGATTGATACATCGTTGATGAGGATCAGCCTCAGCACTTCCGCGTTTCAATATTCGAATACTATGTTGTATTGATATTATCGAATTTGTTTCTTCTCTTTTCAAGGATGGTTTTGAATTTTTAACTCCAGTAGAGACAGGAGAATATTATAAATTATTTCAGATCCTGCATATCTTCTCCAAATCAAATGTATGCACAATTTGTCGCAAGATGAATGATTCTTGAGTGACTGGAAATAAAAATGACAATCTTGTTAGTTTTATTTTTTTAATATCAAGTAAATTTATAATAATAATAATAAAATATAATATATATATAATGATAATATAATAATAATTCATAAACTTAAAAGAAGATTTAAAAAATCATCGATTCTTTATGACAATTTACCATTGAATTACAAAGAAGCATGATAAAGTACGAGTCTAATCGGGTTCTTTCCTCAAATCTTCGTGTAAATTACAAGTGATTTATAGCATATCAACAGTGCCGTGACGATACGTGCCGTTAGCGGCAGGCCGCTGTCAGCTCCGCGGAGGTTCTTGAACTTTTCCAGGGATCCGTTTCCAGAACCGACCGAAGGAAGGCTCACTCAGGTTCGAATCGCCCAGGTGGGGATCGGAATCGTCTTCTGGTATACGAGACATCGCCCGGTCGTCACACTTCGAGCATCCTCCGTGTTGTCCGGACACGTCGTTCTCCAACACATCTTCTCGTTGCACTCCAGAGATACCGGTCCTGTCCGATCGCATTATAAAAGTTGCAAAAAGTGGTCGTCCGGTCCCGAGTTGACGTTCGTCGAGCCGGAAATAACTTAGCGAATTCGGCGATCGCATAAAGATTTGGAATTTCTGGAGCTGGTCCAGGTTCCCAACTATCAAAGTTAAATAGAAAATAATTTTTTAATTTACAAAAAAAGAAATCGAAAAGAGTTTGGGGATCCAATGTTATCGATCAACATGCGTATATTCAAGACTGTGTTGCTCATCGTTTCCTTCGGGGCGAGCGTTCGGTGTTTACCCATCGCCGAGGAATCGTCTACGACTGAAGCTTCCTCGGTGATTTCGCAGGAGATAACGACAGCGTTATCGCCGTCCGATACCACCGATTATTACGATCAGAGCCAGAATGGTACCGAGAACTATCGCATCCACGTAGACGGTGTGGTGTTTGTATTCGCCCCTGTCGAGGCGATGCTTCTGGCTGGTGCGACCGATTCTAATCTACCAATTTCCAACGGTGGATCTCAGTCTGCTGGTGACAAACCTAATATTCACAATAAAACCGAATCGATGTTCTCGAAAACAATACAAAAGTAAGAGTTTCAGATTCCAGCTACTTTATATTCTTTTAATAATTATGTTATAATAAATCATTTTAATTATAATCATTAATGTTAATTGTTGTAATCTCTTATTGTATGACTAATATTATAATACATACAGTTTTAGATTTTTTAATTATAAAAATAATTTTGTCGACGATACCGCACACTTTTTGATTCCAGACCAGCTTCACGATTGGCGAGCTTCTTGGCGCCCTTAATACGTCGCATACATCATGAACGAGGCACGAGCGTGCACTAAAACGGCTCTTCAATATTCGCAGCTTCAATATGTAGTGTTTCGCATAAAACATATATTAGAAAAACTGTATTTTTCTCTCTTTCCTCTCGATATCTTACGGATTCTATCCTTCTTTCTCTCTCTCTCTACATTTAATTTCATAATTATTTAAAATACAATTAAAAAAAAATCATGTATTATAGAGATAGAATATCTGCATCTACATGGATGATAGAGTACTCATATAAATATAACATATATGATGATTGATGATAGTCTTATGCATTTATAGAGTATCAATAAAGAAATGCACTGATTACCTAGTTTATGAACTCTTATTTCAATGACATCATTCACATAATGTAAATGTAAAGCAATTGATTCAGTATCCACATATGTATTTAGATGTTGATATTTAATTTTGATGATTCCTATTTTGAGATAATGGAATTGCAATACAATTGTTAATTAACTGTTTATAAATGAAGTGGATATGTTAATGACTTATGAAGGATTCTCATGTTGATAATCATAAATTGTCTAAATATGATTATGTGATAATACTTATGTCTGTTGTGTACAACATATTATAATTGTATTATAATGCATTTGTTTTCTTGATTATATGAAAATTTATTTGATTGAACATTAAAATACATATGTGTTATATACTTTTTGATATATTATCACAATGTTTCAATGAAGATGTTTAAAGCTATATGGTTATAGATTCTGCGTTTCTAAAATATTTGATTGAAAAGAGTCTTGTCTAAATTTTTACAATAATATATATCAACTTTGGTTTCACTTTAAGCAAAAATCTTTGAGACCTATCATAAACAAACATAAAGGCTATAAACGTTAATATACATATACATTCCTATTAATTAAAAAAAAAGAGAAATTGCATGCACACAAGTATGATAACTTGAAACTCTTTTTAGTCTTCATCTATTAAGACATTATTTTTATATCTTTGATTTGATACAAAATATTTTGCTATTTATTTTCTTAGTTTCTTTATACAGTAATGCTAATATAGAAGTGATGCATGATCATGATACATATACAATAAAAGATACTAAAATTCCATATTTTTTTTTCATTTTAAATGATTTTATCTTGCATCCGTTATATTCTTCATTAAATGCTAATGTTTTTATTATCATAATAGGAAGATACCCTGTTTATTTCGTCATGAAAATTATAGTATCCATATTTCAATTATAGTATTCATATTCCATTCAGTCTAGAGAGTCTAGAGATCTTAACTGTTTTCTCTAAAGAGTTATTAATTTTTATACGTCAAAAATAAAATTATACAAGATAAACTATATTCGGTGGGAATCAGTATTGGGTTAAATATACCTTACTACGAATAATGATAAATACGATTTACAATTATATATCTTCATAGCAAATATATTGGCGTATTATATACAATGTATTTTTTTTATTATATAAATTTTAATAACATTAATTGTGTATTTTATATATACACTCATATATTTATAAATACATCTTTAGAATCATCATCTATTATTCGTGTACTTTACCCAACACTGATAAGAAAATAATGTAATACAAAATCAGTAAAATTATAAATATTCTTTGATATCCTTCTGTAGGCTATATAGTAGTCACAATTGAACATAATTTCAACTACAATTATTTATTTTTTTTAATTATTATTAAATATATAATTATTTTCAAAACAGTGGCGAGTTTATAGTCATCCAAATTTGACTTAATCAATTATTTTTTTCTTTTTTCGATTTCGATAAATAATATTATATATGCATATTCACTTCAATTCTCGAAATTAAATAATAAAAGCGAAAATATAATAGAGATATGAATATAGACAAAATATAATAAATAGAAAAAAAGATGTGATTTAAATACATGTCATCACAAAATTTTCTGAAAATTTCGTTTGTGTCAAAATTGGAAGTTTTAGTAGAGTTTTCGCGATTAATAATGAATCATTCGTCAATATATACTTAATGTTAATCTCAATACTAATTCAGACTATCGAAATTGACATTCTTAAAACTTTAAATCATTCATAATGTTATACATTTTTAAGGCAAATATTTATGAAGTTAATAAGATATTAAAGAGACGTTAAATGGAAGTTGCGCTTCGTTTGCATTGAGATCTTCACAGTTTACTTCACCGGGACCGCTATTAATAGCAAGTACAGCCTCGTCAAATTTTAATTCCTCCTTACCCGCCTACAGTGGAATTATTTCATTTGATATTTTTTCAGAAAGAAATTAATAATTTATGTTAAAGATATGGCAGTAGCTCGTGGAAGAAGCACATTATAAAAATGTATCGGCAACATCGCCGGCTATTACCTCTTTGAGCAGAATCCGACAATTTTCCACGACGCTACGTCGCCGATCCGACACGTTGTTCAGAACCTCTTCTGGCGACTGATGCAGATTATCAACAATTTTGCGAAGCTCGTTCAACTCTGTCACAGTAGCTTCTAATTTCATCTCCAAATTAGACCTGCAAATAACGATGTTTATATAATAATAATTAAAATTAGAATAAATAAAAATAAAAATAATAATAATTAAACTAATTAAAATTAATTTCTGAATAAAAACGTAGATATTTGAGAATCGCCAGACAGAATTTAAAAAAGTAAAATTCTTCTCTCGACCGTACTGGCAAATATTATTTATTAAATCACAACGTTTTGACCCTTCTTTGAGTCCTTATCAAGTGATTTGTGAAAATAAAAATAAAATTATAATTTTAGATGTCAAGAACAAATATAGTGTCGGTTTGACAACACGTCAAGACTCTTAGACGAGTTATGAGAGACTGACTATGGAGTTTCTTGATCTCTATCTATAACGTTGTGATTTAATAAATAATATTTGCCAGTACGGTCGAGAAAAGAGTTTTACTTTTTTAATTTCTGAATGATTCAATAAATTTAAAATTCTCAAAACGTAACTTACTTGTCTTCTTTCAATTCCTGTATACATGTATCGTTATCAAGCTGTATGATGCGTAGCACCTTCAAAAGTTTGGTAACGAGATTATCCACCTCGATCACTTGATCGACCAAATCCACATGACAATAATCCATCAACACAGGACCGTCATTAGTTCCGGTGTCAGATTCGCTTACGGAATCGCAATCGTCATCACCCTCATCTTCCACCTGTGAATCAGCACCAAATTTTAGATCGATTGTTAAATTACACTTTTATGAAACATCAAGGATTCGATTTACTTTAGATACTTGCCTTACGACGATGTAAAATCGCTTGAGTAAGATTCATGAGACTAGTACAGTCGTCGCCTATCTTCGTCTTCCTTATGTTATGTTCGTCTGTCGTTTCGGGAAAACTCAAAGCTCTGCGAAGAGAATCGCTACTCGATACCATGTTGTGAGAGTACGTGTCGGGCAAAGGTACGTCTTCCAGAACGCTTTCCATCATCAGACATGGCTCGGTTTCAAAATCGAGCAAGTCAGATGATGATTCCATGCTTAAGTCTATGCAAAAGACAAAATACTTAACAATTACGAACTCGTGATCCATATATCGTTACATATCTTACTAATATTCTATTACCTTTGTAAATTTGTTTGGACAAATCTAGATTGGACTTTGAGTCGATGTTGGTTCTCGTCGCGAATGGATGTGTCGCGGCGTTCCGAATCGCACTAATTACCGCGGAAACAAAAGATCCACTCTTTGGACTCGGTGTGCGTTCCTTTAAACTCTGCTTAGAGTTAACGGGACTAGATTCCACGCTACTATTGCTTCTGCTGTACGCTTCGTTATGATATATGACGTCCTGAAAAAATAACGATATAATTAAACTTTCTAATAATAATCGTAAAGAGAAAATAATCTCTTGATTATTGATTTTATTTAAAAAAATTATATTTATATGTTAGGACATTAACCTTCCACTTTCATCTATATTTGTACTATTATCATAAATATTTACCTCAAGATCCTTTACCGAAATATTATAAGAAGCAATTAATTGATCTATTAATCCTTCTAATCTAGTGCTGAGTCCGGAGAGAGCAACAGCCGCTCCGGACATGGCAGCGCCTTGAGTTAATAAAAGTTCCCTACTTCTTCGTTCGACGGCGTTCAACTTCATACTCATTGATAAATTCTCCTGCCTAAATATGGATAAAAGCAAATGAGCTTTAAGATATAATTCAAAATGTTGAAAAAAAGCTTTTTAAGAAATGTGTACCTTCGTTGTTCGCTAATTCGTACTAGGTGTTTACACTCCTCTATTTGTCTTTCTAATTCCGCTTGTCGTTGAATTATAGTTTCTTCCTTTTTCTTGTTCTGTAAAAAGCAAAAAAGTGTGAGTTAGAATGATACATCGTACTTTAAGAGAAGCGGATTTAGAAGAAACGAACCTCCAATTCGGCGTCTTTAAGCGCATCCACCAGAGTAGCTTTTTCTTCTTGAAGAAAATCTTGCATTTCGACTGATTCAGCCTCCAATTCTTGCTGCTGTTGTAACAAGGCCTTTTGTGCGGCTAGACTTTTCTCTAAATCCTTTAACAAAAACATCGTATAAGAAATTATGTCTCTACATCGATAATTTACATATTTTTAATATTTATTGTTGATACGTTATTCTTACCTTGCTTAATATACGACAAAGCGATTGCAAATCAGCTATTTCGACTTGTTGATTAGCGACAACTTGTCCCGAGGACTGTATGTGACATTCGAGCTCGAGGAAGCTATCACTACCTCCTGAAAAGAATTTTTACAGACAATGTAACTTCTATCTTATAAAATTTTATCACATGCAAAGCATGCACGCAGTAATCTTACTTTATAAATAAAGTCATCTTTGCATTGTGTCGTTTGTTGAATTACCTGCGTGTTCTGATTGCGGAGTGCCTAGCATCGCCAATACTCGCTGCGCATTTCTGTCGAGTTCTTGACGTGCAAACGCGTGATCGGCTCGTTCCTCTTCTAAAAGACGCTTTACTTCGGCTAATTCAAGCTTCAGTTTCTCATTCTCTTGCCGTTGACTATTGTTCTCCTCGTTCAATCGTTTCAAGTTATCCTGCAAAGTTTGCACATCGCTCCACACGTCTTCCGTTTGGCAACTCTTGTGCAATCTCTCGATCACCTCAGATCCGACAATGGCGCTTGGTTGACCGGACATCGCATTCTCGATATCTTGCCCGGTCAAGCCGGTTTGCGCGCTAGTCTCATGATAGATACGAGTCTTTTCGACAATTCTTTGTCTAGGATACGGCGGTAAGCTTTTATAATTAACGGAGGTCGAGTCCTTTCCGCCGCTGGTTTTCTTATCAATGGATCTGCTGAGACTAGCGTCGCGACTACCGGGTCTACTTCTAGTCGTCTTGTCCGTCCTTTCTCCGGCTTTCGAGATCGTCAGTTTATTTCTATTCCTACGTGGCAACGTTGCGTACGTGTCCAACGCTTTGTTATCCTGACCGACAGCTTTATTATCGGAGCTATGCAAAGCGGTATTTTTGCCGCAGAGAAGTCGAGGATTCGGCAAAGATGGTACTTTCTTTCTCGTTTCCTCGGACGGCGTGGATACTGGCGTGCGAATTCCTCGCGTACTAGAGGCTGTCCTCGACCTCGAGGAATCGCTTCTAACGGTCCGTCCGCTACGTTGCGCGAGATCCTTGTTGATCTCCGTGGTAAGCGCGGATGGTAGTGAGTCAGGCAACGCTCTCGTCCTTGTCCTGGAAACGGAGGATGAAGTCGGAGTTGATGCTAAATTGGACGTGGCGTTGCTGCTGGATCGGCAACCGTACTGCGCCGTACCGCGAGCACCAACAGGTGTCTTGGTGACCTCCGCAACAAGCGATTCACGGACGGTCAGTTTCTCTCTCGATCGTGGACGGTCTCGTTCTCGCTCTCTGCTCGTGCCTTGCGTTTTGGCCAGAATATTTCTAGGAGTCGCCGTTCGCGACTTGGATCGCGGTGTCACCGCACCCAGACTCGTGCCCGAGGAGGTTGTACTCATTGGTTTCGTGCGAGCGCTCTTCTGCGAAGCCTCGGTAGCGCTCGAGGTTTTCTTCTTTGATACGCTAGAAGCGGTCGTGGTCCTCTTCACATTCATACGACTCGTTCGTACGGACACGCTGCCAGCGATGGACGAGCTCTCGCTGCCACCCTCGCTTGTTCCTTCTCCACCGGTTGTGCCCAGTCGAACGTCATCCGGCAACGTAGATCCACATGGATCCTCATATACCGAGCAACAACTAACAAGACTAGAATCGCAAGAAGCCTCGTCCAAGCCACCACAACTACTCGCGTAGTCCATACTATTCCTGCGTACCTGGAAGGAAAATTGAAATTTAGATAAATAACTGCTTATATAAATATATTATTAGTATATGTACATGTAAAAATATTTTCAATTTTAAGTTTTGTGTGCGTGTGGAAAAATTTGAAAATATTTTTGTTATAAACAAGAGAGTTAGAACTCACTCTTGGAGCTTCTGTTGCGCAACCCTCGACTCCGCTGTCGCTGCCGTCCTTGCTGTCCTTATTTTCGGCCAGCGATTTCTCGTTTATTTTCCCGTTCTGCGACTCGGTGATATGAATCACCGTGATATTACATTCGCTATTCATAGTGAGATCCGGATCTTCCTCTCCGTTGAGTGTCTGCGCCTCGTCGTTGATGGGCGACGCGAGATCCTCCGGTACCCCCGAGTCCTGTCGCGCCACGTTTTGCATCGTCGAGGATACCTTCAGACAATTCTCCGATTCGAGGCATGAGGTCTCCATTGTCACGATATTGAGCGAATCACTCATTTTGATCTTGTCATCCTGCCACTGAAAAATACGATTGAATGTAGAGAAAGAAAAATAGCAATTTTAAAGCAAAAAAAATCAATCTTTTTATTTTTATTGCGCTTTTTTCTGGTGAATAAATCTTTTGAAAAATATTTATTTTATATTCATTATATTTTATAATTAAATATAGAATTAAATGTAGATATACTATAAATACAGTTGAGATGATAGCTAGCTAAATATATTTTCAGCTATCATAAATCTAACTCGCTGGTCTTCTGTTTGGCATTCCAAGGGTCGATTCGACCCCATACAACGTTCCATGTTAACATGGACAGAAGCTTTTTGCTACACAGAGAGAATTTTCTCTTCACATTTATCCTGAAATTCATGGTAATCGTACTATGATATTGGAAGAATTTTGTAAGAATTTCTCTGATTAATATTTATCACAATAAAACATATTAATATCTATCACAATAAGATATAAAATATGTTTAATTAATTTTACTAAAATATATAGTAAAATTTCAATAATTTTAAAATATATTTAAAAAAATCTATATTAAATACTTATGATTCTTTAAATGTTTTAAGTAGAATAGATGGCAAAAAGTGATAAACATTAAAAATATTTTATATACATTTTACAATGCAGCATAATATTTTCAAGCTTAACCATTCATGATAATTTTAACAATTTTCGGTTTATTACCAAACGTGATAAAATTTTTGCGGTAAAATATAAAAATTCTCTCCAAATACGTTCAATTTCGAAAACGATAGACGATTGTCGCGAGCATAGAATAAATTGTATGACAAAAACTTTTTATTTTTTTTTTAAACTGGTTGAGAAAGATCATCTGTATGGAATCAACAATTTACTTAATGGATTGAGGATGCAGACAGGAGCAATTAGCTCGCACGACGCCGAGTCGATGAAGCTATTTCATTTCGAAATCAAATTATGGCATCCCAATCAAGGTCATATTGAATTAGTCGAATGGTATGAACGTCTCGTGCAAAGGAAGTTATTTCGAATGAATTCCGGACACATATAGAGGTCCTGGAAACGTTTTTCCAATTTACGGAAACAAGAAAGATCTCACCAAATGATGATTTAGCAGACAATGTCAATGCTGGTCAGTTTTCTCTTAGAATTTACCCTGAAAATCATAATAATCGTGGGACGAAATAATATTGTAAGAATTTTATATAAAAGTTTCACTGATTAATATTTTTCATAATAAAACATTAATATATCTACCAAAATAAGATATAAACAATATGTTCGATTAATTTTGCTATGTATACATATCAATATTTTTTATTGTGGTAAATATCAGAGAAATTCCTATAAAATTCTTCCAATCATTGTCTTATAATTACCATGATTTTAAGGGTAAATTCTAAAAGAGTTCTCTATGCGTATAACAAATAAAATTTAATTTTGGATTAACATTCCATCTGTCATTATCTTTGTGAAAGGTCAGTTAACGCTCTCATTCGTCAAGATCGGAGCTTTCTTCTCTCTTATTAATTTTTTTTATCTTTGCTCTCCTGACATTCTCGACGCACCTTCACATAAGACCGATAAAAATCACGTGATCACGCGAACGGGAATGCGGAGGTGATTCCCCTTCGGGTGCGTATTTGCGTGCTCGACACGGCTGTTATCTCGATTTAGATTAGCCACGCAGACGCTATCAAAGTTATATATTGAGTCACGAAATTACTTCTCGATTATATATCAGATGACACAGCGCAATTCATACGCGCAAATCGCAATTTACGAGGAAAATATTGAGTAATTGGTAGTGACACTGACAACTCGTGTCTCATGTGAGGTGTGTGCATAATAAAATCGTATGGTTAAATATAATTTGAAAGCTTCGCGAGAGAGAGCTTATTTTATTATTAAAACTTTTGCTCGGAAGAAAATGAGATTCCATGTACGTCAAACGAACCTTCTATTTTAAGCTTTCGGTATGCATATTTTGGCGCGTCTCCTCGCGGTTGCATGGTGCATGGAATCTGCGACACATACACAGACGCAAATGCTATTTAAAAATCTCATGGAATCTCACACAGCGTCCATTTTTGCAGTCTAAGAATTTTTTTATTGTACTGTGCAAATATATTTTTAACTAATGCTAAAGAGTTCGAGAAAGAAAATAAAATTTTTCAATTCATACTTTCTTGTTAGAAATATCTTTTTAGTAATATGTAATTGGGGGAAAATCGTTAAAAAAACAAAATTTATATGTAAAATAATTTTGAAATATATAAATAAAATTGTAAAACTGATTAGGATTTTATGTTGAAAACTCGAAAGTTTAAGAACCCGGTTTGTTTAATGTATTAGTACTATAGGCTTTGTTCACAGACTTTGAATTGGCAAACCTATTCATCCTTCGCTTGGCCATGATAGATGATGGTGAGAGGAATGACGTGTTGAATTAAAGAGAGATGAAAAGGAAGAGCAGACTCGTAACTAGGAAGCAAATGCGGTTTCATTTCAATGTTCCTTATAATATCTATTTCGAATAATTAAAATTAAAATGTATATAATATATAAGATATGAATTCTAAAAATAAATTCCAAAATAGAAAATACATATTCTATGTTGCATAGTATAACAATAAAATAAATAGAATATTATACAATAGAATATTATACAATAGAATATTATATAATAGAATATTATATAAAAGATACAAAGCATAGAGATTAATATAAAAGCTTCAAGTATCGAGCATAATTAAAAATTAATAGAAAAGAACAAATACCTGAAATAAAATTATATATATTTTACAATTAATTTTCGCTTGATTTATAATATTCTAATTTAAAATTATTTTTAAAGATATACGATGTTTAGAATTCAAAAAGAGCGATAAGCATGATTAACTATGCACGACTATGCTAGCAGTTAATGACGTTTTCAATAGTAATTTTTTCCGAGTCCGAAATTTATTAAAAAATGAATAGTAAAAATTAAGCAAGAAATAGAAAAAATATCTTATAAATCTCTAGTTCTTTCTCTTCAACATATCTCAAAATATGTTATGAAATCTTTACACGCTTGTGACAAATACTATATGTATGTGTAAAAATAAGTCTACACGGAGAGAATTTCTTCTTATTATTAGAATTTATCCTGAAAATCATGGTAATTGTGAGACAATATGATATTGATAGAATTTTATAGTTTCTCTGATTACCTTTCAGGTATTACCTTTCAGGGTAAATTCTAAGACAAAATTCTTCCTGTGTAATAGTTCGCTAAAGGCGCCGCAATTCCTAGTTACGAGTCTGAGGACGATTATGCCAAACGCGTTCGCCGCTCCGGAAGACCTCGTGGGAAGTCCCCCGAGCGATGATAGCCGGGGCCGATTACTCGGTGAAGAACCCGTCGCCACCACCACCACCACCTTCGACCATATGCGTTCGTTATTACGCGACCATCGCGTAGGCATCGGAGTCGTGTCACGCCGTTCGCCATAACGTAAACAACTCGTGCTTGTGCACGCACGGCTGTTCTGTCTCTTCTCAGCTGGTATACACTCGTCCCTAAACGCGGGACATACCTTCTACATCTACAAGAAGAAGAAGAAGAAGCCTGATTAGTGGTTCGACAGCAAATTACTGTAACAAGTCGTCCAACAACGTTGGATAATAACAATTCGTGATAACCATTCGTGACACAGAAAATTGTGGAATCCTCTATTAGTGACGATTCACCAGTTCAGATGACGATCTCTCGCGTGGATGATCAACCAGAGTCAAAGAGAAAGGAACGCAAGAATAAAAGCGGTTCTATGAGATATTCCTCCGAAGACGATGATGATATCAAGCGATTCCACGGCGACGGACTCGTCGTCAGGATGCACTCGAATCATCGCGCCCTGGAAATCATGGGAGACGGTTGTCGGATCGTCCTGACGAAGAATTCCGGCAAAGTGCACATCTTCGGCGATGGTTGCAGCTTACGGGTGAATCATAACGTGGGCGATATTGAATATATTGGTGACGGTGGTCGAGTCCTCCTTGGATCGGACTCCTCTAAAGGGAAGGTGAAGTTCGTGGGCGACGGTGGGAAAGTAATTCTGGATTCCAATATGAGATCAGCAGGATCGAGAGGACGAAATAGAGAGGTCGATTGCGTGGAAAGAATTTCGTACTCGTGTAAGGAAATTGTCAGAGAGGTATCCTTGGGATATGAAGAGACTGATAGAACCTCGCATCGGGATCGGGAGGAACTGGACAATATCATGAACGATATGAAGGAGAAGAGTCAAGGGAAGTACGGGAAGCGTAACGAGGAAACACGGAAATCTACGCGGCATCCGACCGTTGCGAAGATCATCACGAAGATCCAAAGTGACGGTCAATGCGTGAGGAAACGCTTCGACGAGTCTTCGTTGATCGTTAATACCCACAATGACGAGCCTTCCGTAACGAAGAACCTGTCGAGAACTTCGGTCACAAATGTTAAGATCAAGTGACGTAATCGTCGGGACTTTTAGGAGCCGTTTTCTTAGGATATTGCCTGGATAATTCCTCGAAAAGATTCAACAATTGCAAGCGCAATCAAAATTTGCACAATTGTTCCTTCTTCTTTTCAAATATCGAACTGTTAGTGATTATATTAATTAATTTTGTTGTTATAAAGCTTTAAGCTCTCTTATATGTATGTACATAAAATGCGATCGCAATTAGTCGCGCGAAATTGATTGACAATTTTATAAATTATCGATAGTTAATTTAATTTTATTATTAATTTTGCGAATACTGCACGAAAAAATTGATTGAACTTGAACATATAAAAATATTTAAATAAAATATAATATATTAAATCCAATGAAACGTATACTTGATTTAAATATTAATATATGTTCAATTAACAACATAGTAATTTAGTTGAAAGATTTAGTCAAGTTAACAAATTTTTTTTCAATGTGTATTTCCTATTTTATTGTGATATTTTTATTTAATATTTAATAAATTAATTTTATGTATATGTAACACCACAAGCTTTCTATGCCATATATAGGCATATGTATATATTTTCCTATTGTTAAAAATAAATTATTGTAAATGATTTTTAAAAAATTAATTAATTTAAACATTATTTTTTGTGAGTTTTTATGAAATGTATAACAATGTTTTCCTTCCAGAATTATAAAATTAAAATATTATTAATAAGAAAATCATTCAAAAAAGATGGATTTCTAATTTTAAATAAAATGGATTGGAATTTAAAGATAGAATTTCTTATTTTAAATAAAAAATTAATATTGTATTAAATTGTTATTGAATATCACCAAATTGTTTTCATTAATTATTATTCTTTTACTTTAATTTTTCCAATATTTTCAAGTAATACATTTTTTGATATCAACATTCCGATAATTACTTTGATAACTCAATCGATTTTTCCTTTCTTACATATTTCTCTTATTATATAAAGCTGTTTGTGTTAAGGTGAGACTGTCTGCCTCTTGAAGTCGATATCAGAATGAAACGATCTACAAAATCCAATAAATAAGATATATCAAGATATCGATTCGCTCATTGTTAGACAAACACTTTTCAACATTGTATACTGATACGTATAAAATAAGTGTAGGAAACAGCGATGAGAGTAAACGTAGAGTCGATTTATATTTAGACGGGAATAACGCTAGCAACGACTTTCCTTAAGAACACTGTGTAATCGATAGATAGGATATATCGGTCGTAAACTATTCCTGGCAACCACATGCAAGACCCATATCTCGATAATTTCCTAGGAAATGGATTTGAAATTATGACAATCGATCTGAACTGGATTTATTAGACAGAGAGATGAAAGCTTCCCTCAACATTATCTATCTCTCAAAGATATAAAAATTAAATTATTTCTAATTTAATTTAATCAATTTTAATTTTTTCTATTTTAATTTGTTTAAATTCTAATTTCTGTCGATAAAAATCCGAATAAAAAATGCTAGTAGATAAATTAATTTTTTTCCTTCAAAAAGAATTTTGAATATAGTTTTTTGTTTTTTAATAAAACAATAAGATGTAAAATATGTTCGATAAATATTAATCAGAGAAACTCTTAATTTCTACCATGATTTTCAGGGTAAATTCTAAGAGAAAATTTTCTCCGTGATGTGGCAACCTCAACGTAAATTGCAGCGACTGCAACAAGGTGCAACAGTCACCGAGATATTTCAGTAAATAGGCGGTGAGTCGTATGGGGTGGCTGTGTGCTGAGAGAAAGATAATTCTATTTATGAACGACAGTAATCCTTAGTATACCCGAATATCACAGAAAAGGCGCAGTAAGAGATTAATCATGCTCGACTTACTAATTTTTTTTCTCAAATTTTACAGTATTATTTTAATATTTCAATATATCTACGTCGTAGAAGCTTCTTTAAAAATATAAAATATTATTTCCTAGATTAACATTCTTTTTTGTTTCTTAAAATTGTGTATATTTAAATATACAATAAATATTTTGATAATTTTTATGTATGTGCCAGTTTGATTTTTTCATATATAAAAAATAATTCTTCATAAAGATAATAAAAATCAATATTATATCGACAAATCTGGACCAATTGCAATGTTGCTCACGTTGCATGTCAAAGGAATCAACGCTCGTGAAAGCAAAGAGAGGTGAGAAACATTCCATTCGTTCTTTCTCTCTTATGAGATTCAAACTCAATTTGGATCTCTCTCTTTCCTTTTCTCCGAGGTTCATACCACGTGGATATATTTATCGTCTGTTTGCTAAATCACTCCAACTTGACCCAAGCAAAGCTTATCCAGCGCATTTGCATCCGCTACATATTGTGGACTCGCTCCTTTCAACACATTAAAATGTAAAAAATGCTGGTATTAATTCGTTCTTTTTTTATATATTCGTTCTTTTATTAAATAATAGAGATAAATATATGTGCTTCTTCTATTAGAAAAATTGCTTTAAACCCAACAAAATAAAAAATATAGATATACATGTGAAAATTTTATAGAGAGACTCTTCATCAAAGAGTTAAGAAAAAAAAATAATTTTGAAATTTTGTGTGTGCACACGCGTAAATTTCTCTAAAAGTCTCTTTTCAAGCGATATTTGATCGAGCAAACAATAATAATGGAAAATAAGGTTCACTTTATATTTCAATCACTAAAGTACATAAACACAGTGAACATTCCGTGCGATAATCATACAATTGCGTGAAATTACACGTATACATATCGTGGAAATTTGCTCTGGTAGCAAAACTATGTGAAAGTTGAAGGCCACCCGTTAATTGACCGAACTAATTATATCGAGTAAGAAATCCTCGTCACCGCGTACGGACTTGGACTAATTAATGAATTAATAGGCGAGCGGAAGCTCGCGATCGCATCAGCGTATAACAGCCATAAACGCCAGTTTCATTCACGCTTTCCTCGATTATAACATGTTTTCCTTCGTGCGCGGTCGCGAAAGTATAAGATACAATTTCATCCTACATCACGGGAGACGTGTGTATTTTTAACGAACAATATCGCGAGAGTATTATAGGCTCTCTAATCACGTCTCAGACTTCCATAATCGTCAATTAATTTCTTTCTTTTTTTTGTTTTATTCGCGCGAGATTTGCAATTCGTTTTCGCAAACGACTTTACGTCAAAATGACAAATAAGCCGGGGCCGCACTTTCTAGTTAAATTAAGCGCGTTCTCACATATTTAGTGATGAATTTGAAAGATAAGAAGATCGAGAGTTATTGTTCATAATTAACTTTCGTAACGCGGAACGTGAGAAAGATGAAAGGGGTCGAGATTCAAACAGCTGAAAAAGTTTTCAGTATTGCTTATCTATATCGACAATCACTTAGCATTTGCATTAAATTAATTAAAAGTTATATGCACTAAAAAAATTTATTAACTTGACTAAATATTGTATCTTTCAACTAAATATCATTTTGTTAATTGAACATGTAAAAATATTTAAATTAAATATAATTAAATATGTTTAAATTAAATATAATTGAATATATTTAAATTAAATATAATAAATTTAATAAAACGTATATTTGACTTAAATACTAATATATATTCAATTAACCAAATAGTGTAGTTGAAAAGTTTAGTCAAGTTAACAAATTTTTTTTCAGTGTACATATACAGAGTGTTAAGCTATTAGATCAACAAACCTTGAACAGAAAAAGAAGACTTCCAAATAAACATTGTTTAATAATACTAATTTTTCTACAACGTTTAATTTTAATCCTACATGATATGAGATATGAGTTTTGTGATTTTTCAATTTGTTACGTTTGTATCGAAGTTAATGGAATAATTTTGGAGCATTTACTGTAAAAAGAGTTGTATTTATTTACTGCAAACGAGATGTATTTATTTTCCGTGTTTAATTCAAAATTAAAATATAATTTAATTTTTCCATTTATATGTTTGTTTATTATTTAAATTACAAACTTCTATTTCATATCAAGTAATATAAAACTAAAAACGTAGAAAAAAATCGTATTTAATAAAAAAACATTTATTTTGAAGTCTTTTACTTCCCTTCAAAATTTGTAATTTGTAACGTTCACTTTGGATACATCACTTGTAAAATTGCAAAAGATTTGTAGACGTGATTTATTTTTGTTCTTAAATTTTTTATGTAAATCATAAGAAACTATCATTAAAAGCTATTTAAAAATGAAAAAAAAACAAGTATTAGCAGAAAATTACGCGAATGTTTTTACAAATGAAACAATAACGCTTATCTAACCTTCAGATTTGCAAATTAATATTTAATTTGACCGTAGCTAAGTCATTAATTTATCCATCAGTCTTTCTCGACAAGATAAACATGCGAATTTTTTTTTTTTGCAAGTCAATATCGTACTTAACGATCGTTTTAAACGTACCATAAACAGAATTAGTAACGGCTATAAATATATCCGTTTTGGTTGTCTTTTTTTATACTTTCTCTTTCTGCATTTAAAATCAAATAGATACATAGATTTCTTTTGAAAAAGAAAGAAGCCATAAATATTTTAGAATGCGTGAGGAAACAATAAAGCGTAAACAATGCATCTATAAACTATCCGGAACTAATATCCGGAACGAATATAACAATATATTAAGAATGAGAGAAAGTTTGAGAAATATTCCTATTTTTTATTTCATTTCCTAAGGAAGGAAATAATACCATTCGATCTTTTTAATTTATCAGTAATATCATTCGATCTCTTTAATTTATCACATAAGGAAAATATTAGATAATTAAATCCTTAGGCACTGACGCATATCTTCCCGATGCTAATGACGCTAATGACGCAGGATGTACGCAACATACTTCATTATGTCGAATATAAAAAAATATATATACATATAAGTATCTTATTTATATTAATGACGTATTTATACATAATGTCTCGTAATAGCTTTTAATGATATTTTAACGAAAGTTACATCGAGGAAACCTCTCACGTCGGTGCCCAGAAGTTAAAATAAGCTTCTGCGAGGGTGTTATTGCAAGAAACATCACCATCGACGTCATAACCTCTCGCAGAAGGGTGGATCCGAGGGCAATCACAGGAGCGAGTCCAAACACGAGATCGATAGCGCGAAAGTGAAAAAAAATGATGCTTACCTCGAGTTCGCCGGTGTAAGAATGATAACAATCCCTGATAACAGTGCGATCGGATTATCCCGGAAAATCGAGTGGTCTGATACACACAAGGGTGTGGGAGAGGGATTCCTCTTCGTTAAAAATGTCTGCGGTCCGGTGAAAACATTAGCGAGAATCAGCCGAGACTAGTCAAGGATATCAACATCCGGCGAGAGCGAAACGTCCGATTTGAAATCGAGTTCGGTTGCTCCCAGAATGGATGCGTGTGTGTGTGTATATATATATATATATATATATATACTCCGGTTTGTTTCTTCTCTTCTCCCTTCTTTCATCCGTATCGCGCGCGCACGTACGAATTTCTGAATCCGCGAAAGCGGGTTGAAGCCGTCAGCTGCTGCTCCGAAACGATACGAGTCGATCCGCACAACAGGCTATCTCGGACGGCGGAAGCGGAATAACGCGGGACAGATGGTGGCGGTCTGAACGTAGACGCAGGACACAGCGAAGCCTTCTCTCTGAAGGAGGTTTCTGGTGGTGGACAGGTTTCCGGCCTGCCAGCAACGAGCAGCGACAACTGGCGACGATCCCTCTCTCTAGATTGCCGATAATCGCAAAAGATATCTGCTGCAGATAACTTTGAGAATCTGAAAAAAAAAAATTAAAATCTTTTTAATTACAATCAAAAAATGTTCGAAAAAATAGTAACAAATTCGACGATATTATTTACCTTTTCTTTTCAATGGAATCTTTCCTTCCCTCACTTATTGTGAATCTTGATAATATTCTTTGTTTATTTTTCTTTACAAAAATTACCTGTGATTTTTCGATATAATATTAATTATGTAATAATTAATGTAACAAAATATTCTCTACATAAAAAGCATTATTTTATATGGTTTTATTTTTTTGCACTTGTAATATATAAACTTTTCACAAATTTTTAGATGAAAATGTTTATAAGAGGTTTCTTTTTCATGACGCGTATTTTATACAGTTTTATTTATTAAAAAAAAAATACAACGAAAAAGAGTAGTTATGCATAAAAAAGCTGATCTTATTTTTGATATGTAGATATACTATAATCAATTAAAATGTTGGTGTTTCAGGAGCTATCGAGAAACATTTATCTATTAAAAATAATTATAATTTTTACTTAATGTCTTTCATAGCAGGCGTCAAGGTCATCAAAGCTGTCTCCATTTCCTTTCTCTCAGCTTCTGTTCGTAATGTTAACCACACACGTTCCAGCTTCTTTTCTTGATATTTCTAAAAAACACGTTTCATAGTGATATCTTTTTCTTTAATTGCTTTTATACAAAATAGTCAAGGCATATATCGTATTCTTACTCTGATAAAAAGGAAACAATGTTTCATAGTTGCTCCAGTATATAAGATATTCGTTTTAACAAATCGTCCACCTATGTCGTTTATTAATGGAACAGCATGAAGTACAAATTTGTGAGGCCCATGTTTAATTCTTAGCAGTGCTATTTTCGTATATGTGTTGCAATATTTTGCTGTAACAGAAAATAAAAAAATAGAATAATTATATATCTTTTATTAGATGCACAATGGATAGTATTTATATGAGAGCTTATTATATATTAAACATTTAATTACCATCAAAGCCCTCTTTTATCGCTGCCACCCCAAAATCACCATATAATTGTTGAACCTTTTGTTGAACTGCATAAGATAGAGCTGTACTCTTCAACATTAATTGCTGATCATCTTTACTATGTGGTATTACTTCAAGAACAATGTACCTAAAAACAGAATTAATAAAGAAATGTATATTTTTTTGTTAAATATGGAAATTCTATGAATGATTATAAATTACCTATTTTTGAAGCGAACCATGTTTTAGGTTATTTTATACAACTTTAATAACGTCTTAGTCACAGATTTTTTTATTAAGTTCTCTCGAGCTTTAATATTACAATATTGATCTTAGTATTACAGGAGATTACCCCCACAAATTAAGTTGTACCTAAAACAAAGTAAAATCGTACCTTGCAGGCCTCAAAGTTTACCACGTGCGAATCTAGTTCTTTATTATATAATTTACAATATCAATTATAATTTTGAATATTATTGCCAAAATTCTATATAATACGAAAAATTTATGACAATATTTAACACTCACGGAATAAAGGATATGTAGCTTTAAATAAATATCCAGCAGACGAATTCACAGCTGCTGAACATTACACATATTGCGATCACGTGTTTAACTAAACAGGTATGGCTAGGTGACCTAGCTTAGATCGGTATAAAGCGTACAGCTTGGTACGAAGCACGTGCATACGTGTATATATGTGTATATACATAAAAAAATATGAAACAATTTTCGTGCAATTTATATGGCTTATTCTTTATGCCTGTGACGCATCGGTTTTTTACATATTTCTTGTCGCAATTAACAAATAATCTCACAATGTTGCTATTGCGGTGTCGTCGATTAAAATAACTAAACTAAAATGTATAGAATTTCTTATTTAAATATACATAAGCACAATAGAATAAATGTTACAGTTATATCTGTCGTATATAACTATAAACTCAAGGTAATTTATAAATATATACTACATATGATAATCATCATAAGTGATGAAATATGTTACCTAATCACATTCTTGTTTCTAATCATTTTTATCATTTAAAGTGTAAATACACATTGTATATTGCATATGCATTTTATATATTGCATTTTCAAAATTATTTTTGTAGCTATTATTAATTTGTAGAAAGCCAGCAACAAATCATATATAGAATTTGTGATCACCAATACATCATTTGTGTATGTTGCTGAATTAAAGAATTATTTACTGATAACATTACACATTCTCAATTTTTTATTCACTCTGTATCTCCGGAATTAATGTTATCTCAGGGTCAGGCCAGGGTCTGAATATATGTCAACGATTAATGCACGCAGTATGGTTGGCTGATAATTGTATTACTTCTTTCTTACAGCTCATGCCTAAGCACACAGCTTAGTTGACTTTACTTCATGTGAGACTACAGATGCCTGTCGACACTGTGACAATCATGGATTTTTTTGTTGGTGTAGATGTGGGAACAGGAAGCGTTCGAGCAGCTCTAGTTACTTCGAATGGAAAGATAAAGAAGGTGGCTACATGTCCTCTTGAAATATTTCATCCTGCTCCAAACTTTTATGAACAATCCTCTGATAACATTTGGAGCGCTGTGTGTCATGTTGTCAAGGTAAACTGATATTTAATGCAATAATAATCAAATTATATAATTAAATTATAACTTTCGTCCTATTCACAGTCAGTTGTCGCCGAAATTTCTGCAGAAGATGTTAAAGGGATTGGTTTTGATGCTACATGCTCTTTGGTGGCTATAGATAAAACAGGCTCACCAGTAACAGTCAGTCTTTCAGGTATAACGAAAAGAACAGAAGAGATATTTCGTTATCTTAACATTATATCAAAGTTATGTAATCATAGTATAATAATGTAATGTAATAAATTGATCTAATTGTTCAGGACAGGAAAAACAAAATGTCATACTATGGATGGATCACAGAGCGCACGAAGAAGCTGATTTCATCAATTCTATAGGTCATGACATATTGCAATACGTAGGCGGAAAAGTTTCTCTTGAGATGCAAACACCAAAGATGTTGTGGCTTAAAAAGAGTTTACCCACTTCTTGGAACTCTGCAGCATTGTTGTTTGACTTACCAGACTTTTTAACATGGAAGGCCACTGAATCGGAATCGCGGTATAAATCCTTGATGCTTTTAAATCCTTTAACAGGACAGTTGCAGTAATTAATGTTATTTCTTTCTTCTATTAGATCGTTGTGCTCGTTAGTGTGTAAGTGGAACTATAGCGCCAATCCCGATGGTAAGAACGGATGGAATGAAGACTTTTTTGAGCAACTTAATTTACGAGATCTGAAAAAAGACAATTGGAGAAAAATAGGTACATTGTATTAGATTATATTTAATGTCAAAAATTGTGAGAAGTTCTTATTTGTGAGAAGTAAATTTTAAATGTATAAGGATTTTTTGTATAAAAAATAATGAGAGATTGATGGGCTAGTTTCAATAATAAAAATAATTGTAAAAATAATTAAAATATTGTGTACACATGCAGATATATAAAATATGAATCAATTCTTATTTCCCTTTAATTATGATAAATATTAATGTCAAGGTAATGATGTAAGAGTGCCTGGAGATGCGATTGAGCCTGGATTATCGGCGAAAGCTGCGACAGAATTGGGCTTATTAAAAGGTACACCGGTTGGAACTTCACTGATCGATGCACATGCTGGTGGCCTTGGCATGATTGGTTGTTACGCACCAGATGTCTCTCCAAATTTCTCCAGTCGATTAGGTACACAATATCAATGACAGTACATAGACAATACATGATGAGACACAATATAGATTTATCAAAAAGAAACCATTAACATGGATTTTCATGGATTATCTTATAATTTTAGCTTTGATTTGTGGTACTTCGACATGTCACATGGTAGTGAACGAGAATAAGATATTTGTAAACGGTGTCTGGGGCCCGTACTACAGTGCGATGGTGCCTGGTTTCTGGCTTAATGAAGGAGGTCAAAGTGCTACTGGAAAGCTGCTCGATCACGTTATCGATACACATCCCGCGACACCGGGAATTCTGAAGACTTTAGGCGGCAATAAGTGAGTTTATCGAAACATATATGAATTAATATTGTTACGATAAAAGTGGTTTATTTAATTGCAGACATATTCAACAATATCTGTCCGAATTGTTGTACGTTATGGCTGAGCAAAAAAATCTGCCAAACGTGTCTTATTTGACAAAGGATATACATGTGTGGCCTGATTTTCACGGCAATCGTTCGCCTCTTGCTGATCCCACTCTGAAAGGAATGGTATTGACATATACATTGCATTTTTTTGTTTGATTAAGTTTTGCAAAAATCGATACAGTTTTGTAATATTATTTATATTATTTCTTAGATATCTGGATTATCCTTATCTGTAGACCAGGAGAACTTGGCATTATTATACTTAGCAGCATTGCAGGCACTAACGGTATGTCACAAATTAAAAATATCTCTAATTTATTGAAAATTTTTGTTACAAACTAAAGATATTCGATTATTTTTCCGAACAACTTTAATGCATCCGAATATATTTAATGCATTGAAAAGCTAAATCAAAGATTACTTAATATCAAAACGAATATTTTATTTATAACTAAACTTTGATTTCTTAAATATTAACAGATATTCATTTTTTTATTATTGTAATAAAAATATATTAATTTTTGACAGTACGGAACAAAATATATAATTGAAACCTTGACGGTTGCTGGTCATAATATCGAGACCATATTAGTTTGCGGTGGACTCAGCCAAAATCCACTGTTTATTCAAATACAAGCCGATGTGTTGGCGTTACCGGTTCTTTGTCCCGTAGAGCGAGAATCGGTTTTACTAGGTTCGGCAATTCTTGGAGCATGTGCCACGAAAAAATATTCTATACACGAAACTATCAAAAGAATGGCGGGATTGTCGAATATAATAAAACCTTCAAATGAATGTTATAAGTAAGTATATAGCTTTAATATAAATACACAAATTATATAGAGTGATTTCTAAAATATTGAGTTTATATTACTTAAAGTGATCATAAAAAGAGGTAAAAAAAAAAAAAAAGAAAAAACAAAACCGATTTTATCAAAATTGTTAAGCAACATATTTCTATTGTTATATCAAATTTATTGTATGTCATTTATTGCATATTTGTAACTATTTCAATATTATTATTTCAGATATCACCTTCGAAAATATCGTGTATTTAAAAAAATGATTCAGGATCAACAAAACTACAGAAAATTAATGAGCGAAGAATTATAGTCTATTTTTTTATCTCTTTAGCCTAAATGAATAATGATAATTGTAAGAATAAACTGTGCAATGAATGACTTGCACAATAGGTGTTTGAATGAAGGTAAATAAGATTTGTTCAGCAAATATTTGATAAATTTTTAGAAAGAATCTCTGCAATACTATGATTATAATGCAAATGTACAAATGTTAGAAATGGATTTATTATTATAAAAATTTAAGAATTTGATTTGAAAGTGTGGTTTATAAAGAAATGATACTTTATTGAAAAGTATCAATATCGTATACAAAGTATCTTTGATTTGTAGCCGTATGTAGCATGTCAAATTAATGGAAGACATTTACTGTGATGTTAATAGTAATATTAGTCCATATTCACCTGTACTATTGATGATTTAGAATAATGCTATTATACTGATATAATGACAGTTTAACATGGTGAAGAACTTTGTGGCGATAAACATTTTCTGCAGTTGAGCCTATCTTACGATCTGAAAAAAAGAAAGAACAGTGCTTTTATTATTATATATATTTTTATATTCACTTAATATTAGATCTATTTTGTAATATAAAAATAGAAAAATATAAGGGGATTTTTTTATATAGATAAATTGTTATATATCAGTCTAACTATTGTAGATAAATCTGCATTGTGCTTTATACTGTATGCATTTTTTTTTCATTTACAAATTATACTTTTTATTAACAAATCATACATTCTAGTACAAGTTATTTCTTGGCTTTTAAAGTAATTAACTTATTAATATCCGTTATCAGTTCCAGCATGACATGATGATAAAGCAATATAACAAAAAAAAAAAAAAAAGAATATTTTCTGATTAAAGATACAAGATTGTCTATAAAAATAAATTGTTATATAATAATATATTTTTTTAATTCTATAAATACGGTGTATTTGACACATGTGCATAAAATAAATCTTTATAAAAACTAATGTTGTTCTTTAAATATTAAATTATATCAAATATGACTTATCGTATTTAATTACCATTTCAATTGTTTCCAATTGTTAATAATAAAACATCCCGAATTTTATTTCTAGTCTTACAAACTGCGATCAGTTCGCTGCGCTTGGGTCGTTTTAAGTAGAGTTTCGAGAATCGCAATATCGAATTTATCGATATATTGGAAATATATTTATGAAAGTGTAAAATTTGACCGACCAATCGGAGGCCGAGGATCTTCGTTCTGATTGGTCAATCGAGCGCTTCGCCCTAGGTGAATATATTTCTGAACACAATCTAGAATGCTGCTGCCCTCTGGTGCACTTTTTCATTGTTCGATCACCATTTTCGCGCTCATCGTCGCTCCGCGAAAGTACGAGTGTGACTGTATTAATTAGTGTATCTTTACGTGTCGCTAATTATATCGATATAATCATCCTTTCATTATATCTGTATAAATTCAATCGCGTCGCCTGTCTTGACATTACGATCGCGATCGCACGAGATGAGAAATATTAACCTCGTCGGTCGGGAATTTCGTTCCTTGTGTCCTGACGGTACTCAGCGCCGACTCGAGTCGCCGGAATTTGCGCGCGCAAATTTACGACGGCGGGTCGCGAGAATTATTGCGCGCTTTTGGCGCGAAAATTTCTCGGGTTTTTCGACGTCGTCGATTGTACTCCAAGTGAGCGATTGCGCGTCTCCAATCACACTTTCGCGTCGTCGTGTCGAAGTATCGTTGCGTGACGAATTAATATCGTAATTTGCGTAAAAATCGCAGGTTGATTAACACTGGCAGGTCGCGCCGCCATATTGTTCTTAATTGTTATTTTCTTGCAAATCGGAGTCGGAAATATTTAGCAAAGCCGAGTGAGAAGTATATATATATATAATCGTATAATATTATCGAAATACTCGATCGCGAGTGTATGTGATGATGTTCGCCAATTCCGGAATATCGGCGACTCCTAGTGCGTCGCGGGGAAAGTCGACGTCGTCGTCGTCGTTCGATAAGTGGTCTTGAAAAAAGCGGCGACGTGAAAATGGAGTGTCGGTTTTATTCGCGCGCGATAAGCTCCCGCGATTCTCGCGTTTTACCGGAACGCGTTGAAAATGTGACAGCTAAAATCCGGACGTCGCCGCGCGTCGAAAAAATAAAATTACGCGAGTGCGAGTGTTTCGAAGCTTCTACGAGAGAAGGAAGAGGCCCGGGGTGGCATCGGGCAGCGGCCGAGCATCTATGTGGTGAGAAATTTATTTATTATTTACTATTACTATTTTTTTACTATTAAACTCAATATAGATAATTAATTTTATTTTTTTTAATATTTAATTATTTTAAATTTCATTATATAATTTTCATGTATTTATATTTTACAGGGTACAATATATACTTTGCTGCTGTGCATCGTATCGGTGAGTCTCATCAATTTTTAATGAAATTTTGGGTAATAATTTTGTGAAAACATTGTGTATTTTTGTGCGTGAAATACAAATCTCTAAATTAAAATCCACATAGAACCCACTGTGACTTTTTTCCTATTTAAGAGCGACAATTATTTTAATTTGTTTTACGTAGAGAAATACACAATATTGTAAAATTTTGGCAAAATTGCGGAGAAGTTTTCCTTCAGTCAAATTTTCAATCCACAATGTTTTGTATCTAATTATTCTAATTAATAAGCTATAAAGGAAATCTGGATATACGATTTATCATTGGAAGAATCACAACAATTTTTGAACATGCTGTATAGCATAGATATATATATATATATATTTTTTTTTTTATTCTACATGTCAAACTATCTGTATATATATTTAAAACATGGTATGAAATACTTATATTTATATTGACAGCCCTGTGGTACAATTTGAGCAAAAGCATTGTGCTTTACTATTTTATATCATCGTCTTACGCAAAAGTGAATGATCTCGCTAATGTTGTCTACTTTCGTTCTTACGTACTAGATCAATAATCCTGCAATCGCTGTCGACAGTCGTTGAATAAATTCTATATTAATTATTATTCCTCTTCACGTACAAAAAGTATATTGCAAACTTAATTTCTTAAACTTTATGGAATAATTTACTATATAATTTGCTTTCTTACATCTAAATTAACTTTTCAATTTTCGAATTTGTTTTATAATTCTGATCTCGTTTATTTTATATAAACGTTGATTTTTGTGTACAGAATATATATATGAAATGCAAAAATTGATAATAATAGGCCTATTTTTGACTAGTTCAAGTTAACATCAGATATTAATCCAATGTTTAAAAAAATAGCTCCAATTTATTGATTTGTTAAAGAATGTACTTCTGTTATATTTACCACATTTTACGTTGCATAATTAATCTTCGATTCATGATCTCGACTACATTGGATATTAGAAATTTTCTATGTGGCTATTCCAAAATTTTTGCTAATAATATTGACTAGCTTTTTTATACTTACGAACTAACTTATTAATTTTATCTATTCATTATTTATTCATTATTATATACATTTTATATATCGAAAATAAATAGAAATGAATCATTATCTAGGGCAAACTGACTATGAATAAATTACCGGAATAGCAGATTAAAATTTATACATTTTTTTAAACACAAAAAACACTACATATTGGCATGTTTTGAACAAAATTTTTTTTCTATAAAATATGATCAGATGGGATAGTACGTATGATTTTTGTCCGTAACAATTTTTTAATTATTACTCTTAATAATAATAATAATAATAATAATAATAATAATAATAATAATAATTGTGTTTATCATTTTACACATCTAACAATAAGTTAAAATATAAAAAAATATATTAATATTGCACTATTTTAGAAGAATACTGTATTGTAGAATATAATTTTAAAGAGCTAAAAATGAATAACGAGAAGAAAGTCAATAAAATCTATCATAAATAGTCTACTATTTCCATATATTCCAATTAAAATAAAGATATATAATTATATCAATTTTATATAAAATCGAAAAAAACTTATTTACGTATGAGCTAACTATATGTAATTTTTCTTACTTTTCGCGCACATTCGTTATTGTACATATTTATATAAATTTTATAATCTCTTCATTGCATATATGGAAGTGTCTCAGATATGATATTGATGATTATAAATAATTATTATATCAGAAAGAAATATTTTTATCGGCTCTTAATATTAAGAATATAAATATGATGTTTTTAAATCGGCCAACAGAGTTAAAGCACGAAAATTTAATTATTCGGAACTGTATCTCTTGGTTTGAGATAACTAAGTTCCATATATAAATTAATCCAGCGGACCTTTTCGGACCTATATTTTTCGCGCCTATTTCTCCATATGTAAGTTTCGAGATTAATTTATATATGGAACTTATTGTTAGTGATCTCAAACCAAGAGATACAGTTCCGAATAATTAAATTTTTGTGCTTTGACTCTGTTGGCCGATTTAAAAACATCATAATTATTATAATATATTATAATAATATAGGAAATATAGATATGTGGCGGTTTTTCGTAGAACTCTCGGACGGGAACCGTATACTGCTTATAATTTTAACAGATAGCATATATATAGTAATCATTTTTTCTGTTACTTTTATAATAATATGATATAAATCTAATATACTTAACAATTTTGTGTTTATACATTGCAACTCAATCTTATATAAATACTCGAATCTAGACAAAGTTATTTCACAAATAAGCAAACATAATAAGCAAACAAATTTCCATATATGTAGTTCTTACAGATATTATTTATCGGTATATTAAATTAATAATATATATTAAGAGAGAGTCTTTCGAAATTTAGAAGAAAAATTAAAGAAAATAAAAACAAAATTTGAGAAAACTTTTTTGCGAATACTATAATAACGCGTTCTGATGTAACTATGTATATGCATTTATCAGAGTTCAGATTGCAAATATATTCACACACGTGTGACAGATACTGTAAGTATTTAGATATATAATGAAAATTGACTTTCGTTTCGTTTTCCTGCTTACGATATGTATACGATATGTATACGATACGTGTAGGTTTTTAGTACCAGCCGAAATCCATCCCCGCCAATTGATAGAAGCGTTGATTGAAAGGCCGATAGAAATCTCGTAAACGTTGAATCGCCAGGGGATCGATGTATGGATGACTGCGTCCCTTGTTTTTCCCTAAAAAAATAAAATATTTTATAGTTAGAAAACGTTACACAAGTTCTACAATATTTTGCACAAACAAAAACTTTTACTATTAATTCCTATATTTTTCTTAAGAGAAATATTTTGTTTCAAATTTGAAGATACGAAAAAGAATATTTTATTTATAAATTTTTTTATGAAAACGTTTACTTTTGCAAATAATTGCAACAATAGTTACTCTTCTTTCTACAAAACCTTCTCTTCCACATAATTAATTTTATTTCTGAATAATTCTTGATTGTGTCCTACCGAGACAGTGCGGCGTCGCGCGATCTTCCGACTTGAGCAAGCAAGGGAAGCCTTTGGTGGCGTTGAAGTAGAAGTGTTTTTCGCTTATCACTCGTTTCAGTCCAAGGAAGTCCTGTACCCGGGTGATCTCCATCACCGGATCAGCGATCAGGCGTTCGCCCGACACGAATAAAAATTGCGACAGCGGGAAGTATTGCAACCATCTTTCGAGATGCCGCACGTAAACCCCGATCCTCAGTGGCACCCAGGAAGTGTCCACGATCCTTGATCCGTTCAAAAAAGCCAGATCCTCGAATCGCGGCATCTTGCGACGCTTGCTCTTCACCTGCGTGTAATCGGAAATCGCCCGGGTCACGGGATCTCTCACCACGACGATTAGCTTCATCCCCGGGTTCATGTGCTTCACCCTCTTCGGCACTTCGCTCGTCACGAAATATGACGGCGTCTTCTCCATGGTGATTTGACCGATTAGAGTCGGGGGCATTCTGCGTCTAATTGTTGACAGAAAAAGTAGGCAGATTTATAGTACACTGAAAAAAAAATCATTAAATTAATACGTATTTATTTCACTGCGAAATAAATCATTTATTTGAAACAAATAAATATTTATCTGTTTTGAAAAGGATTTATATCAAATAAATATTTTTCACATCAAATGAATAATATTAGTTTCAAATAAATGATTTATAAGGCAGTATTGAAATGAATATATTTATTCGAATTTAATAAATTTTTTCTTCAGTGTAGTGTTATACAGAGTCTTCAGTGAATCATCCGAAGCAGCAAAAATAGTCATTTTGACATTTTAACATCAAATTACGTCAAAATGATGTCAAAATGACTAATTTTGCTACCTGGGGATATACCGGCGAAGAGGTAATTTCTCATGTAAAAAAACAAATGTAAAAAGTTTTTTGAGATAAATCTTTTAAAGCTATTTACATGAAAAAATTAGTATTTATATGTAGAAAGTAAAAGAAAATGTATATAGTAGCAAATTTCTATTTCAAGAACTTTAAAATGTAAAATCTTCAGTAAATGGAGTGATGCACTGAAAAAAACCTTCAACCTTTCAATTAAATATTATTTTCTTAATTAAACATATAAAAATATTTAAATTGAATATAACAGATTAAATTTAACAAAACGTATATTTGACTTAAATACTAATATGTATATCCAATTAATAAAATAGTAATTTAGTTGAAAGATTTGATCAAGTTAATAATTTTTTTATTGTGCTATTATACTTCATAATTGAAATCGTAAATTATATTTATCATACGCACTTGTACCAACGAAATCCTTTAACATAATGATGATCAAAGAAATGGACCTCCGAGCCGGCAGCGCGAATTGCTGGATGCAATCTGAGGAATTCCAAAAGGGCTCTCGTTCCGCCTTTTTTCACCCCAATTATCAGAGCGGTCGGCAATTGTCGGCTTGGTATCAAACTTTGTTGCTTGAACGTCTGATATTTCAATGCGTTTCCTTTAAGCGCGTCGCTCGAATTCTGCGACGAAAGCGACTGTAGTTTTTTCAAGTTTGAATCATTCGGAGATGCATCCTCGAGCTTCGATTGATCGAGATTCTGGTACAGAATATTTTTCGCGGACGCGGAGATCCGCGTTTTCTGAAGAGTGATCTTCTGCGATATGTCAGCTAGCATGTGCGAATGATCGACGAGGAGCATCCATAGGTAGATGGCCAACGCGCACACGAGGATTAGAATCTTCCAAGAGCTTTTACGCAGTTCCATTTCGTGATTTTTACGAGTCGTCGTATTTTGTCGGCTTCCTGGATGCCATTATATCGTCGCAGCATCCGCCGTCTCGTTCATCGATACTGATTTGCCCGCATCGATACCCTTCGTGATATCCTGATATCCTATGTACACATTATATGTGCGCTATGATAAGGCAAGAATAATCTCTGCACATAAATCACGCGCATAAATGCAACTGGTGTATTCCAATATAGCGGGCGAAAAATCGAATATCGATATGATGACATTAATATCATTCAAACTAGGACACTAGGTGCATATTTTTAGATTTTGTGATTGCATATTCAGTAGAATATAAATTTGGAGATTATATATTCTGAGGGAAAGGCAAGAAATGCATAATTTTCTATTTTTAAATTAAAATATTCAAATAGAAAAATATGAATCGAATAATTTACATCGCTACATATTTTTATCTGGAAATAATAAGATAGAAAATAATTTGGTGCTTATATAACATATTAAAGATATAATTAAACAAATGGAATGTTATTCCTATATTTTGGAAATTTTAAAAATGTTTACCAGGATGTCCAAAGAACGTGTCTTCGAAAAATCCGACCAGTCGCAAAATTATATTTTTCAAATCAAAAATAAAATTGGAAATCAATATATACAAAATCTTTCTAATATAAATAATATTTTCTATGGATTTTCTTTATTTGATAAATAAATTATACAGACACACACTCTTTACTTGAGAATAACAATAAAATAAAAAATAAATTTGCACTGAATTTAATTTAAAAAAAGAATTTCAACGCGAAAAGTGAGATTTTTGTCGTCTCTCTTAAATTTTTGAAAGGTTCGTCAGGACATCCTGGAAAACCCGAAAGATCCGATCACCCTATCAGCCTGAGTAGCTGGAGCAGCCCGGTAATTTGGGTTGCACTTACCCCGAAATAACGTACCGCTGTCGGAGACACGTTAATTTTCATCCCGTGCGCGTTCGTCATCGGGCAACGTGCGACTGGCGCAGCCGGCAGAAGGCTGCGGATGTGGACACACTCTCTCGCGCGCGGAAAGTGCACATTTAGCACGTTATCAAACTGCACTGCATCAGAGCCGTAACTGGACTGCGGACCGTATTGTAGGCGCCATTTTTCTCCCGAGAGAGAGAGAGAGAGCGGTGAATCATGCGTATTACAAATTATTATATATAAAAAGAGAGATAAATGCGTCACATTATGCGTGTGCAAAATGTTCTTCTTAATCTTTGATTTCATGAAATATTTCAAGGGAAATTATAAGAGATACTGATCATATCTAACTACAGTTTCCTATAGCAATTATCAGTCACATTTGTTATTAAAGTTCTTTCAGCATTAGTAATTTTTTCAAGCTTAATAGGAACAAGATATTTTGTCTTTTCTAAAATTTAACGCGAGAATTACATAGAATTAAATATAATGTTTGTCAAAAAACATTGAGAATGATTCGCTGCAGGTGCTATAATTCTAAGTTACGGTTCTGGACACGGTGTTCGTAACAATCGATAACGCCGGGTTGGCCGGGAGAAGGGAGACATCGCCCTATATAATGCGGTGTGTAAGGATAAGATATACCTGTCGACGGACAATCGGGCTAATGAGAACGCGTGAATGACCTTTGCCTGGATCAATTCACCTTGTCATCATATATATGTATCATTACACGTTGTATTGAGGGAGACACATGGTAGATATTACATTGAGCGCATGTATAGGAAAGATTGACTATATGTAGATTCGGGAAAAAAAGAATATAGAGATCGTAATACTAATTCAGGATAATTTTTTAAAAATTCATTATCTTTTCTTATTTTTACGTATAGTTTTTGTAAAAAAATTGGTGATATAACGATTTAAAGTAGATCGTTTAACATTAGATTGCTCATTGTAAAAATTAATGCAGATAAAACATTATCTAGATTTATTCTGGACTTTAAAATTTTGTTATATTTTTTTAGAAAATATAAAAATAATGATTTTTTCCGCGCTCATAAAATAGAAACGACGTCTCTTACTTTCTTCGATTTGATTGTCACATATAATTTTTCGTCACAAAAATATATGCAACATCTTTTTGATCTTGAATTAATATTAAATAAGCTAATTGCAATTTTTTGGAAAAAAAGATTTAATGACTACAAAAAATGATCATACTGTATAATTATTATATATATTGCTTTTACTATAATATATTACCGCACATTACTTGAGAATTGGTTTATTTAACTCATATGAAGTTAAATTATAAACTTTTTTACATATATAATCATGATTGATATAGTTATAATAATTAATATAAAATTAATTACTTTTATTAAATTATTATCGCTCTTATAACAATTGTTAATATTATTATTCTAATAGAGCTTTTTTAAAAAAGAACAAATTAATCTTTAAATAATACAGAAATATAATAGAAAAGATGAACATACATGTTTTGTATGATTGCATAATATCTTAAATTAATTACGTATTATATAAATTAATTCTTATTAGTCGATTAAATTATAATGAAGTTTAACATCAAACACGCTTCGGAATCATAATAATCCCATAAGAACATATTAAAAATTTACAAAAAATCTGTTATTTTTATCACGGAGGAAGCTATGATTCCACCGGAAGACGCATATATCTTTCGTTGATTGGACGCTGGACATCATTTATAAAATTATCACAGTATTGTTTGAACTTATTATACATATATACATGTATTTCCAGAATACGGAAAGAATACGTTATTCTGCATGAAGTAGTAAATGTGTAAAAATGTACAATGCAATAATATATATCATGCATCTCTCTTTCATGCATCATGATTTTAAATAAAGATCTTTAAATACGCTGAGAATACGCTAAATATCGATGTGAGAATATTACTTACAATTAAATATATATTTTTACTTTATCGAAAAATTAAATAAATATTCTTAGATGACAAAAAAATCTATGAGATATTAGAACGATGTCTGAAGACGTTTTGTATAGAACGTCCTGTGCTTTTTAATTTTTCGCACGATTTCTTTCTTATTTTATATCATATCTGTCGTGTAGAATATTTTCAAAATACTCTAATAGTATCTCTCTTTTCGAAGTACATAACATCAGTATCATATCGAAATATAGATATATTCGAGACATACGGTATATTTTTCTGCCTTTCTTCGATTATTAATTCCACTCTGTGCGTGCGAATCTAAACTCTGCTTCGCGTCTCTTTATTAAAGTACACACGTCGAGTTACGTTTTTTTTTTTTTTTCATTTAAACGTAAATTGAGATATAGATCGACGATATTTTCTATGTGCACATTTTTTTTAATATCGATGCTTTCTGTATCATTAGATATCAAGTTACGTGAATCTCCGAGTGTGTAAGACAAAAATAAAATATTTTGTTGACTACAGGAAATTCCCAAAAGTTTTTGCACGTATGAAATATATCGTTGTGAATATTTATATTAAATACAAATAATTTCGCTGTCATGGCGAAAGTAACGTATCAGCCACTTCGAAGTCTATAATCTAGAGTAAAGTCTCTTTGTAATTTTCACGTATTCTCGATAATCGGCTATTGTCGATAGTTTTGCGAGAAATACTGAAAATGTGAGTGCATTGAAAATTCTGGCCATTGCGGCTCTCCATGTCGCTTCTACTTAATTTACTTCGTGTAGCCTTTCTCCTTCAGTAAGTCGTCCAATGTTTCTTGGGTATAATAAACGGTGAAGTCCGTAGGCTCGACGCCTTCGAAGACGGCGTAGACCGATGGTTTTAGGTTGTAGAAGAAGAGCGGCTGGCCCCTCATGGCAAAGTCCTTTGTTAAAATTTCGATGACCGTAGCAGCCGTAAAATCCGCGCCGTAGATGTGCGAACAGTCGATCACTACAGGCGTCGCGACGCTTTCGGCACGTCGGCTGTATTTGGTCACCAAATTGCGCACATAGTCCACCGATGGGAAAATCAAGCAACGATCCGGCGTCAGCATTAAGTACTCGATGCCGTGAAGAGTCTGTCAAATAAGAAGAAGTAAAAAGATCAATGATTATAGTCAAATTGATTGTGAAAATAGAAATCGAAAAAAATAAAAAAGATCGTATTTTTCACATTTTGAAAATTACTATACAAATAATTGTGCATCTCTATGCATACAATTTTCTGTTTTGACAAAAAAAATCATACAAATCTGTAAGAAAGCAAGTTTGGGAGAATCAAGAATACTGAATTAAAGTAAACTCGCTAATAGAAAAAATCGATTTCTTTATTTATTTATTTTTTAAGTAAATTATAGACAATTACCTTGAGTTTCTCCACGGTTATTTTCGGTCTAGCGGCATGATACAGGATGAAGAGAATATTTATTCCGACACCGCAGAGAATTCCTATTTCTAATTGCAGCACCAAACACGCGATGAACGTGCCTACCCCCGGGATTAGATCCGATTCTGAAATACGAAGGAATAATTCATTTGTAATATATCTTAAATTTATTTTGATATTTTTCACATTTATGAAAATGTATTTTCTTACTCTTTGTCCTCCACATCGGTCTCACGACCTTGACTTCAACCATAAAGATGACTGCGGCTATAATGATTGCCGCTAAAGTTGCACGTGGAATGAAACTAAAGTACGGGGTAAGGAACAGCAAAGCTAAAATTACCAATAAACCTGAAAACAAAACATAATAAATATTAATATAATTATTAATATAAATATTAATATAAATATATACACGAGAAACATATTTTACGCATATAAAAATATTAAGAATGCATTACAGCATGAATAATGAAAATTTATGTTAGATAACAATAATTTATCTTATTGTTAAACAGAACGACAAACTTATTTTTGTGCGACAGTGCATATATATCATTTAAAAAGATACGGTAATAATTGAGATATGCAACAAATTTTGATGAATTATCCTCTTTGAATTTCACATCCATCTTAAGAGCGAAGAGAAAAGATGCAATAATTAATTTATATAAAAGCAAAACTTACCAGTATAAATACCGCCTAGCGGTGTCCTGACGCCGGAAGCGTTGTTTACCGCGCTTCTGCTAAGGGATCCTGTACCCGGGAAAGCTTGCACAAAGGAATTTCCAATGTTCGACATACCGATCGCTATTAGTTCCTGCGTAGCGTCTACTGATTTTCCATTAGCTGCAAAAAAGATAGTTCCCATAACAATTTTATCCCGTAATAAGATCTATATAACTTAATTGCGTCGCCGGAAAATTTTTTAAAAAAGTTTATAGTGCAAAGTTACAGTGACAAGCAATTTTTTTCAACTATTTTCTGATAAAATACTTACCAAAGGCTTTACAAATAGCGATATCCTCCATTAGAGAGATGAGCGGTAAAACGAGAACACCACTGCCTAAATTGCCAATCATGTCGATGAACGTGAGCGTCGTGTTGCTATCTTTAATAAATCCAAACGGTGGAATTTGTACAGCGGGCATACCTCCCGGTATATAACCTGTAATTTAAAATTTCAGTCTAGCTTAATTTCTAAAACTGATTATCACACTGGACGTTTGAATTTTTTCCTATTATAATTGATATATTATAAAATCTATTAAAAAATAAATCCGTATTGCATACCGATCAATTTGACAGGCGATTTGTCCTGGAAGCTCCAACCCAATAAGCCACAAACTACTACTAAAAGTGCATTTCGCGAAGTGCCGACCAACCAAATAAATTTATTGACGATGCGATGTTTTGTAGTATGAAGTTCTTCGTTCTTCGGACCAATTTTGCACGCGGCTAATAACTGTAATCAAAATATCGTATTAAGATAAAAGCATTATTATATTATTAAAAAGTATAATATTAAATATTAATATATTAAATTAAACTCTCTTTTAAAATACTTTGTTAAATATTATTATTAATTAATTAAAGAGTTTCTTGTGCGCGCGTGTGTGAGTTAATAACTTAATTGCTTTTTTCAAAATTTGTGAAAATTATGAAAAATTACCCTCAGAATTAACAGCAATGCTATGCAAGATACTCCAAGAGCAGTATCCCAGGCTGATGTATCGTGTATTAATCCACCGATACTTTGCCACATTTCAATAAATTGGGAGCCCTTTGCAGGGATGCCAAGAATGTCTTTGACTTGTGACGTGACGATTATCAAAGCCACCGCCGATGTGAAACCGGAACTTACCGGTCCAGATACGAAATCTATGAGAAACCCTAAAAATAAAATTAATTTTATTTTTTCTATTCATTTTACTACTCTATAAAATAACAATACGAAATATTTTTTTTATGAAAAAATGATATTTTAATATTAAATAGAATTATAAATTTAGTTTGCTCATGTTTAAATATCACAAACAGTTTAAAATGTAATTATTTTTTAAATTATTTAAAAAAATATTTTAATTGTTAATTTAATTTAAAAAAATAGTCAGTAGAAACTAGATAAAATATTTTTAAGTTTATTCTTGGTATACGCTAATGTTTTGTTATATTATACGCTTTATATTTATCAAATTAAATTAATATCATAAAAGTATTGAAGTTGACTTACCGAGGCCAAATATACCCATTAATAACTCTACAATTCCGACTATAAAGCACAACAGAATCGCATGTTGTACCGGAGAGTCCAAATGAGATATCGTTTGATAAGTCAGTAAAGAAATGATGGCAGTAGGTCCCATGGGTATGTCCTTACAGGATCCAAAAATTATGTAAATGAAACAACCCAAAAAACTACCGTACAGACCATACTGAAATAAAAAATGATACATCAAAAAGGGGAATATACGAGAAATTATCATTATATTTATTTTTTTTCTTACAATTAGTGAAAACATCGATAATTATTTTTAAAATTTACAAAATTATATATTATATTACAATATGAAGGTGCGCATCCACCTGCGAATAAAACTCGAGAGTAGCTCTTAAGAGTGATTCTCGCAAATAGACACATATCCTTGAGTATTTATTTTAGATACTCTCGAGAGTTTTATTCTCAGGTGGATACACACCTTTATATTATTCATATAAACTTTATATTATAATCTTAGTAAAATAAAATTTAAATAAAATTAATTTAATTAAAAAGTACAATTTTACATATTAATAATTAATTTCTACTAAAAATTAATTTGTGTAAAACCATTTATTTTAAATCATGCATTTTTTGAGAATTATATTGGCTCTTTGATTTTTTTATCGACTTTAGATTAGTATAAAAAATATCTGATTATGTATTGTACTAATGTGATCTCGACATAATCCTTGCGAACAATAAATATCTCTTTTTTTACGTACTTGTGGCGGTAAACCGGCGACGCTTGAATACGCTAGTGATTGAGGTATAACAGTGAGACCCACGGTAATTCCGGCCACCAGATCTCCGAGTGCATCTTGACTGTTGTACCTTGGTAGCCAGCTCAAGATCGGCAATCTCTTGTAAAGGGTTTTCTTCGTGCATATGGCCCTGGCACGCCGCCTTGTATATTGCAACGCCGATTTTAAAAGACCTTCCTTCTGCTTGACCTCGTCATCCCCCGATTCTTCGATCACTGTGTTTAAGCAAAATTAATTATATGCATATGTATATATGCTTATATATAATAAGTGAAGAATATAGTAGCAAGATGATATATAGTTTCAAATTATTTTCGATATTAAATTAGTAGTCTTATTTTATTTTGAATCTTCGACATTTTTTAAAAATTTAATGTCGATGTAAAAACAATTTAAAAAGAATAAGTTTAATTCTTATCTATATTTTTCTTCAGTATATCTCACACACACGCACACACATAAATCGAAATTTATTTTTGTATATAATAATAAGCTTATATATTAAATCATTATATGTATATTCAATCTCTATTTCGTATATTGAACCATCAAGGTTCTTTAGTCTATTCTGATTTATCATATCATTATTCAATAGTTATTATTTAAATAAAATTCTATATTCTATAAAATTGTATCATGTTAAAAAATATGCTTTTTTCTTAAACGACAGAATGTAATGATGACAGAACGTAAATCTTTTTCATTATCATTTCGGCCATATAATGTTTCATCTCATTTTTAAAGTAAATAAGAATAATCTAAAAAGCAACTGTTTAAATTTTATCACGATTCGCTTTCATGCACTTTAACAGAGGGATTCGTATCTGTCATATCGTTTGTAATCTGTCACGTTAACCCATAAATAATTTCGCATATGTGAAAATGCAACGTGACAAGCGAGTGACAAGGACAGAGTATTCATATGTCTCATGCAGACATTGTGTTAAATTTATTATCTCGCCAAATGAAGGCACGTGAAGAAGAAAAGATAAAATACCATATACTTCCAGGCACGTGCTGCGACACGTATCTTTAAAGTACATCCGCTTTTCCGAAGGCCAATTTTGCGTTCGTCGCACCAAGGAAGGCAAACTAGTTTCGCGGAATAAAATCATTGAAGATATGCATAAATCGTAAGATTTACTTTGCATAATTTTGCCAACGTCACCGAATGTATCTCGCAGCTTCCAAAAATTTGGCGAAAATTCTATAGTAATTTTCTTTTTCTAGATTTTTATATGCATTTTATATTTTCATGCAAGACACGTATGACAAATATTTCTTAAATCAAAAAAACGAAATAAACAGTAAAATTGATAATAATTGACGCTTGATGCGTTTTCGACTCTTGCAAAAAAAATAAGATCGTTAAATATTACATAAACAAAGAACAATCTGATATAATAATTTATCTTTTTATCAATTACTCTTATTTTATTTTTATATTAATTCATATTATAATAAATTTTTATCAAAATTAAAATATTACGAGTAAGCTTGTTTTAAGTTTGTTTAAACTTAAAAATTATCAGTTGAATTTTATCAGGTTTGAAATGTTATTTTATCATTGACTATTAAAAATTGCACAATATATTTGACGAAACACAGAAGTTAATATCGAATAAATAAAGATCGTGTGTATGTGTGTTTTTGTGTGAGAGATAACTTAAAACTTTGAAGCCACGCGATGCCAGAACTGATATCACTAAGTTGTTATAGAAATTTAATCAAATCAATATTTATCGTCGTCTTTGTCACGTAAATATAAAAATTTCACAAAAATATTTTGTAATATTTTGAAATACAATTTTACAATACTATTTTATAATTTGCATTCGAACGTGACTTTTAAAATAAAATAAAACTGACAAAAATGTTTGCATTATTATCACGCGCGGGGTAAATACAAAGTGTTATAAAATTACATGCAGGATTTTTTTAAATCAATTTTATAACATATAGAATTACTAATATATAATTATGCAACAGATCATTGAATTTTGACAAATATTATTTACTTTTACGGGATCCTCGCCGTGAAAGAACCAAATTATTTTATGGAACAATTTTAATTGAATGGAGATAAGTGTTTACTTATAATATACAAACATTTTTTTCACGTGTCTGCTTTATAGTTTAGTTAGTCAAAAATATGATTTCGACACAACATTTGCATTATTTATATCGTCTTGCTTATGTCATGACTTGAAACTTACAGATAAAATCCGAGGAACCCTGTATGTCTCGGTGGTTTCCATGTGAAGTGTGAAGAGATTGATAGGAGTGAATGAGATCCACATTGTTGGTAGATTCACTTAAGCCGTGATTCACGTAGCCCTCCAACCTTTGTCCACTGTCTTTCGAATTGTTACTGTTTTTCATTCTGCACACATAAAATATAAACTAATTTATTAGATACAACATACACATGTAAAGTTTAATAAATCCAAATAACAGCGGTCAAGTGATAGCCGCTGAATGATTAAATTTCTCTACTCGATCGATATATTCAATAATATTCGAACCAGAATAATCCGGAATAAATGATAAAATCATTGATACACGCATTATTTGTAAGAGGAAAAGGATATTAAGATACGATGTTAAGATAAGATTTTAAGCGTAAATAAAAAAGAATTTATTTGTTATAGAAAAAAATTGAGATATTTACGTTTTTCAAACAATTAAAATTTTGAACTAGAAGTTTCTAGATTAATCGTAATCTGTAGTAATGTGATCGTGACACTTCGATTGTTAGTTAAGATGATTGGAGATAATATTTGCGAATGAAAGAGTATATCACGAGTCTATTAAACTTGACTCTGAACCATATATTAATTGCAGTCAAGGCGATGTTATGGTCACGAGAATGTCATCTTTTTAATTTCCCTTCCTTTCCACCGAAGGAATAATACATTATCAAAATATTACTATATTGCAAATATGGGATAAAGATATGATTCATCGCATTTATAGAGCAAATTCAATCTGTTACTATATATAACTATACTAAAAAGAACTGTCTAAAATATAAATGAAATTCTACACTATTTCTATTCTAAATAAATAACGAAATAATCAAAAGTTAATGTAATATATCTTTACATTAATATAATAATTACAAATATTAATTTAAGTCTATCAAGCCTATCTGAGAAAATATAGTACATAAATACATAATTTGTTTATTTATCTCCAATATTAATTTTGTTGAATAAAGTATAATTTCATTTATCTAAGCTGCTTTTCTCAGTACTAAAAAGCTGGTACTTTTTCGCTAACAGCATCGCTTAAATGTAACATAAACTCTCGATTCAGCCCTCGAGTGCGTTACGTGAACGTAGTTATCATAATGGCTAATGTTCCTATTTTATGTAAGAGATATGCAGTTTCATAACTTTTTTAAATTTTATACTGTGTTCCCCGACACAGGTCGATATTTCCAACGACGAAAAGTTGAGGTGTATTCGTGCATTTGGTTATTAAATATTATCTCTCTATTATTAAAAATAAAAACTTTTAACACTCAGTTTTTGAAACCATAAGAAAATTACAATTTCATTATTTATATGCGTTGAATTTTAAAATACGTTCAAGAGATCTTTCGAAATGAGATAAAACATTTATTGTAGTTCGCTTCTTTCTGATTTCATGTTTCCATTTTGATGTTTATTTATTTTTAATTTAACTTCAGTTATAAATTAAATTAAATGTGCATATAGATGATAAAATATGCACATAGAGCGTATTTATAATTTTGTTTTACTTTTGTAAACGAAATTTTCAAAGTAGAATTTTTATGTCATAAAAATTCGAAAAATTTGTTTACTAAAATGAATTTGAGTTATTATCGCACAGAGATATCTATTCGTTTGATTTTATGTAGATTTCCATGAAAACGTGTAATGCGCTTGTATATAGCTTAAGATAACTCGTGTAAATTACTAATCTAAATATACGTTTCAACATTAATCATTACGCACTCTTATATAGACAATCGGCATAAATCTAATTAACCGATAAATTTTATCTTTTAAACAATCTAAATAAAAACGGTAATTACGAGCTGGTACTGTTCACTTTTTATAATTATTTATCTTTTAATGTACTTTTTTATTTCTCGCTTTGTTATACTTCATATTTTGAAATCGATAATCAGTTGAATCAATATCTTCACTTTTATTTATGTAACATATCAATTGAGAGAGAGACTGTATTTAACCGCAGTTTTTTAATAATTTTTTTATACACATTATATAAGCTTATGAAAAATTTTTATTGCTTTAAATTACTTGTGTTGTAAGTAATAGTAATTAGTTTATGGCACAATCTTACTATTATTAGATACACGTTATTATTCTTATTGTTTGTATATTTTCAAATAATTTTTTTCGATAAAGTATGTTCACCAAAATTTAAAAACAAACGCTACGTTTTGTTAAAATAAAATAAGATAAAATGTAAGATTGCATATACGCACAAATAGTTATATTTAATTGTCGAGTGCATTAGCGTATTTTAATGTTAAAAGTTGCATTTACTATAAATGGGTTTGATAGTGGGCATTATTTTATCTTTTTAATTGTTTCGCCGATATCGAATTTGCTTCAAAATTACATTTTTTAAAAGTCAAAAAGTCTATTGCGTATGATCGTGCAATGATATAATATACGTGTATTTATTATTGCAATGATACCTATCGATTTTACAAAAATTTCTTTGCACTTTTTCTTATCTCTTTCTTATCTGATGCATGTAGAAAAATCGCGAGAAAAATAGCGGTTTGCTCAAATATTGTAAATATTGAACAATTTATTAATTCTTGTAATTCCTTTGCACAGACTGCATAGATATCAAATTTTATGACTCACACATAATACATGTGCGTGTATATACTTCAACAATGAGGACAATTTAAAAAGGAAATGATATCTCTTTGTGCTAAATCATTTCTAATAAAAATGATAGTTTTAATTTTTAAAAATCATCTATTAATACATTTTTAATTCAAATTGTTTAATAGTAAAAATACAATTGCATAATGTATACAATACAATTTGGAATGGAAACTGAAATTAGTTAGTTCAAGCTTTTCTTATCTTGATATATTATTTATGGTTTTATTAGTTACGTTTGTACAAAATAATTTTATTGATTTTTTTAAATCATATTTTTTGGTACAAAAATTTCTAAGATTTTTTAGAATAATTGGTGAAAATTACAATAATTGTGGAAGAATTGAGCTTCTACATCTTTTGCTTAAAATCATATGATTTTAACAACAGTATATACAATTATTTGCATATGCATTATTTAAAAAAATTTATAACTCGAAGATGATTATAATTATACTTCGAGCGCTATCGATCGAAGTCGAGAGAGAAGAAATATATCGTATCAAAAAACTAACTTCTTATCATATTAATGATTTATTTATGTCGCTTTACATTTTCCGTTTAAAAGCAGATTTTGTTTAAAATATTTCCAATGATGCAACTGTAATTATATAGTAAACGATACGATAGAAAAACGATGGAAAAATTCCTTTTTCCTCATTTTAGATAGAAAAACGGGTTTCCCCGATATGATAAACACGCATATTTTTGCAAGTTTTTACAAGTCTTAACTCTCAATGTCGATAGCGCTTATTTTAATATTTTGAAATGACATATCGACAGAATACCTTTTGTTTAATAATAAATAAATTACGTATTTTACTTTTTAAACAGATAATCTTCTGCATAAATTATGTTACTGTGAATATACCAATAAATAATAACGTTGATATACGATCAGCAAAATATGCAGTTGCTGTACAAATTTTGAATCACGCATTCAAGTTTGTTTTACAAACATGGTTCGGTTGACACGCTATATCTTCCTAAATGTACATATCTGCATTATCTAGCTTTTGTTGCATTAATGAGCATTAGTCAAATTAGCTTATTTACAAGAGGAAAGATTATCAATTGATAAAAGCATGATGCATGTGTTAGATCGCTTATCATTTTGACAATGACTCCATACCAAGGTTTACCAAACTCTATACAAATCGAAATGAATATTAATGATACCGAAGTGTTAGATAAACGGATTGATTGACTTTAGATTGTACAATTTGATGGAGAATTTATTATCGTTTCTGAATTAATTTTTATCAAAGAAGACACGTGAATTCGTCATAATTCTTAGCAAGACTCAATCAAGAATCTATCAGAAACTGTCACCTAAAATATGATTATTGATCAAGATTTCCTATCGTAAAGAGCAACCTACTGTCGCAAACAAAGAGAGATAATTGATAAATCAGTAAAGCTTGTGAAGAAATTTATTACGAGCAATCAATTCTAACGATATTCGTTAAGTCGAGTTTGAAAATGGAATTAATTTGAGAGTTAGACAAGTGAAGCTATTTAATAAGATCATCTTTGCTTGTAATCTCCACGATTATTGCAATCTCATTAATTTAATCAAACGCTATCAAACATTAAATAGAACGATTTTCTACTCTTTCTTTTTGCGAATTTTGCACCGCATCGATGATTTCACTTACAATACAATACATACATTTATGCCATTATCATAGATTCATAATTATGAAAACTTATTCTACATAATATCTTATTAGTTTCATTTTATTTACATTCATCAAATTTTGCGCACAAAACTTGCACATATTTTTGATTAAATTGTAAATTATAATTTTATAATTACTTTTTTTTATAACAGACATAAATAAGTTTTACATCTTTTTTTTTAGAAAACAATTTTTATATTCAATGCATCTAATAGTTGTAAAAATAGATAAAGATAAAAGAGCTAAAAATAAAAGAGAATATAATAAAATAACACTTACTTAAGTATTTGCTAAGTATTTTCTTTCCGAGAGAAGATCCGTTTTTGTTCTTGAAAATCGTTTTCTCAAGGAGAAGAAAAATCACAAAATGCCAAACGCAAACGTTTCTTTTCTTGAAAAATTTCGAATGTCGCGTTTAATCTCGAGAATACTTTTCTCTACTAGCTTGAAACATCACAATTGCGCCTCGTTAAAGCGCCAATTTTTAACGCTGCTTTGTCAAAGCGGCAAAGAACATTCATCAGCAAAGAAGAAAAGCATTCGCTTCGGATGCTTTATTTTTGCAAATTACGCGAAATTTTCCGTTCTTTCTTTACAACGTTCAATTCTCTTCCCAGCTCTATTATTGCTATTACTAAGTTGTATTCGCGTTAAAATAACAAACTGAGAAAATATAAGAAAGATGTTTTAGGAAGAAAAGTTTCCGGTAAAATATCACGCGGGATTAGGCGAGATTCCAGACCGGTTTTCGCGGTGTAATGTTGAAACTGAGTTGGCGTCGACGCGCGGCCGGCCATTTAAACGCCTCGTGGTTCACGAATGGGGCGAACTCCCTCTCTCTCGAACGACCTCAGCCTCCCCCGCGATGACGCGAGAACACACAGTAATCGTCACATGATGATCCCGTCGATCGCGACTTCGGTCGCCAAGAATTAAATTCGATCACGTGCTAATGTGTCCTCCTGTCAAGAATATATTCTAGCATATATAAACTCCACCGCGCACTTATCCGTGAGAGTTAGTTTTAGAAATTCCCTAACACTTGTCTTATTAAGCCTTACTTAAGTTCGTAACTTCTTCCATCATTCGGACAATCTGTATCTCTGGCTGCATTCGGCGAAGGATAATTATTATTAATACGATGAGAGATAATATGAGCTTCCGATTATAATATCTGTCTTGCTTCTAGCAATTAAAATAATCGCAAAGAATATCGTGATAAGAACGAGTTTCGATATCGATATTCATTTGCAATATCTTACTTTTGATTTCTCGATAATAGTACATGTGATAGTAATCTGTGTATTTTTGAGTGTTACTTGTTATAGAAAATGTTAACTAGTGTCTTATCGCACGCATTTTTCTCGATTCAACAGACGAGATGTTACAGACTTCGTGATGGATTAATATTTCGATACGTGTTTTCTAAATCATGAGAACATACGTGGATGTTAATGAAGAAAGTGACATTATATGGACAATGATAAATCTCTAAGCAAATTAAATTGAATCTTTTCTATTTATCTCGTTTCGTTTCGCTTTTTACTGATTTTCATTAAATTTAAAGCTTCTCTACATTTGTAATCTGTGATATTTAAAGTAAAAAGTATTAGAAAGAATAAAAATATAATTTAAATGCAAATTTTTATATTTAAAAATTGTATCGATTGCAACACGTTGATATTTATTATACAACGTAAAAATGGTTGATATTTATTATATAATAAAACTAGGTCCTATATGATACACATTATCGCCTAAACCTTTTGTTTTCCTGGTTTCGACATCTCGTATCTGTATTAGTCGACGATAACATCGTCGAGATTGTATCATCTTTCTGTTGTTAAATACTAAATCCGACGAGGCAAAAATATATTTGCTTAAGAAATTGTCGCGTAGATGACGCGACAAACATGAAAAATATCGTGTAAATTTAAGTTTAACTAATTAGAGACGCTATTTTTATTCAACATTTTAAGTATTTTATACAACGATACATGGTCTTTACGGTACTATTTTTTGAGCTTTATATCATATATTTATAGCTAAATTGCAAAATATTTCGAAAGCTATCAATACTTAGATAAGACCTCCTTATTCAGGTTTAGCTACTAACGGTAAACCATGAGCAATAAATTGCTGATAATTAAACCAAATACTAATGCTGATGTCATCGATAAAATTAGTTCATAATATAAATAAATTGTTCGGCGATATAACTATACATGATGTTTTTTAAGTGGGCAAAATTTCAGGAATGGATTTCTTATATGCTTAGAGAAGAAAAAAAGTTATATCAACATAGGTTCGGAAAAGATTAGTTTTTGAGTAATTAAGATTCTTGTAATACATTTTTCTCATTTCTCGTCTTACAATTAAAGGAAATATTTAATATGTCCACCTCCTTTAAAATATATAGACCGATGAACTTGAAAAACATCGTTGATATCCTTAAGTGGATTTCTAAGACGAGAAATGAGACAAAAATTTTGTGTTACAAAAATCTTAATAACTCAAAAACTAATTATTTTCGGACTTATGTTGATATAACTTTTTTTTCTTCTCTAAGCATGAAGCGAATCTATTCCTGAAATTTTTCCCATTATTTAAGAAACATCTTGTATATAAATTGTTTTCGCGTTTCTCGCTGTGGGGGATCTCTTAATAAACAAACATATTTTTGTCTTGGCAGATTTAGTATTTAATGCGATAGAGAAGATATATAACCTCAATTAATGTCAGGTATATGAAAAATATAAAGTGTACGTCATAATCAAATAAATAAGAAAGTCGAATGGCTTCTGGTTATCATTATGCAAAAAAATTTAAGGTATAATAAGAGTTTGAAATTATTGTGTCTCTCTTTTTAGAATAATATTTTATATTAATTATAAATATAGTTATTCTTTACAAATTTATTTTATAATTCTATATTAATTATTTACTTTTTACATTTTAATTTATATTAATTATATTTTTTAATTTATTATTTATTTGAGACTCATGAAAATAATTTTGAAATATAATTTTGATTTTTGAAAATATTTCTAAATAGTAATATATCTAAAATTATAATAATATAAATATTTAAATACATATTTTATATATAACATCTATGTGTATCTCCCTTTACTTTAAAATTATATAATTACATTTTTACATAACACCGATTGTCTAAAATGTTTAAATAAATTGAGAATCCCTGACGTAATATATTCGGCGGCGTATTGTTTCAGCAAAATGATTAATCACTCAGTTAACATTTTCCGTATCCCTAATCAACCATTCATTACAATAAATATTGACACTGGCCTCGTAAATCATCGTTATTGATCACGGGTTCCGCGAGATTAACGCCTGTTAAATGCATGTATACTTAATATTTGAATACTGATATTCAATTAAAATATCATTTATAACTTATTTGACGATTTGCCGACTTGTCTCGCCAAAAGCAAACAAAAAGTCGCTGCAAGTTCTCCGAGGGGTGTAAATCAACGTATCAAAAATTCTCATTGAGATGACATCTCGATCTTAGTTGAAGATTTCTCATTCTTATCATTATACAAGAGATATAAAATAGTCTTCGGAAAAAGTTAGCAATTGGAATTCTTTGAAGCTTTTCTCTTTGAAAAATATTTCAAATATTTTTCGAAAAATTATTCTCGTTGACACAAATATCGAATTGAGTTAGAAAATTGAATAGAAAACAATAAAAATTAATAAAAAAATCTAAATTAAGAAATTATAAAAAAGTTGAATATATGTTGAGAACCACTGTTAGCTGCTATATCAATTTCATTAAATATTTACACTTATGTAATTATGTGGATGTCCCGTGACTGGTCCCGTGCGGAGACAGACGTGCTTCAGTCATTTTCGCACGCACACCAGCAATGAGATTTCAAGGTAATCTCGTTGTTTTGCGGCATTTTAATCGGTCACGTGCTTTTAGTTGATCTACCAATCTGATAACACAAGCCGTGCCAGAGTACTTTGCGGTTCGATAATAAATCCATATCGAACCGACCCATTTAGTAGAGAGATACGGAGAATGTTAGACATAGAGCTGATCTGAGCACCAGTTGAATAGAACATATCATCTTCTTCAGATATTTTTCAATCGTAAGGATCAGTGGAATAGAACAGTTCTTCTCCCTCGAAACTTTTTCCATTTTTTCATCATTTATGTCTTTGTTTTATATATTTTCATATCTTATCATTAAAATGTATATAATATTGACATAAATATGTTTTCATATCTTATCATCAATATTATATATATATGTATATATAATATTTACACACATCATTTTAAAAACATAATTAGCATTTAAAAGTGATCAATTCAATAATGATATTAAACTCTTTTTGATATATAAAGGTACATAAAAATTAATAAAATTATTCTCTTTTCCTTCTAGCTTTAATGTATAGGTCGATATGCAACTATCATAAAAAATAATAAAACAAAATTTATTTAAATGTGAAAAATTTTTTATACGAAAGATAGTTGATATAGATTATTTTTTATCGCACGTTTTTAATTTTTAATCAAATTAAAGCAGAATTATATCTGTAACTAAATAAATGTATTTTTAAAATATAAAGATAAAATATTGCACATTAAAATGCGCATATCAATACAACAATCGTTTTTTTCTAATCTTCTTGTCTATAGATTTAATGGATCAATTTACGCAATTATGACCCTGTCGATCATTGTAATTCGTTTATTATTTTATGACTCATCCTTGTCTAACTCGTCGTTTAGCACGAGAAAGTTGACGTAACTAGTACCTCTAAGCGAAAGCACGTGCTCCAAATTTCGCGCATAAACAGCGATTAAGTCGATCGCCTTGGAATCCAATGCGTCATACAAACAATGTAATATACGATCTTCTCGAGGAACTGAATTATTCTGCATAATAATTACGAAAAACTGCTCTATTGACGAATTAAACAATGACATTATCTGTAAACAATGATAACTCATAAATTCGTGAAAAGAATCCTCTTCTAACGTACTTAAAGACAATTACTACTCTGTTGACGAATTCAACAATGACATTATTTGTAAACAATGATATATTACTCATAAATTCATGCAAAAAATCCTCTTCTAACGTTTTTAAAGGCAATTATCGCCTATTGTGACGACTTTTGTCGCGAAAATCTTGCAAGAAATATTTTTGATTTATAATAAACTTTTATTTTACCATGTTATTAAGATTATATCTTATTGGCATTCCATTTTTATTTTTATGCGATGTACATAACATTAATTAATATATCATAGAAAAAACTACACACGTGTTGTTAATTACAGCCTTGGATTCGATGCATCTATATTTCTAGGATATTGTTTCGTTTTCATACGTAACAATTTGTAACCGCAACTTTGCCCAACTCGACGGGAAAAACAATCGTCATCCATCTGTAAATAAATTTTCCTAATGTGGTATAAGCAAACAAAAAACAAACGAAACGTTCTCAATAATTGATTAAAATTAATAAACCGTCTGATTAATTAACTCATATTTTGATGCTATATATTCATTTATCTGTAACAAACGCATCAAGGCGTAAATACCATTTATATAGTTGAGTAATCTCTAAAAGTAATATTGTTTACAAATAATTATTTGATTATTTAATTCGTCAATAGAATAATTTTTTCTATACATTATATACGTCATATTAAAATACTTACATGGAGGAAGACAATAATTTTAATAATAATCATGACATTGAAGATATATATCACATGCATTGCATGTTGGATCTCGTTTATTGTATTATTCGAATGCGAAAATGTCATCATGCAATTATTTTTAATAATACGATTATTTATGAGATATATTTTATCTTTTACATTTAAACATAGTTATTTACTTTTTTTTAAATACATATTACTTTGACAGAGATATAATCTAATTATTATTCGTTTTTTTATATAACTCCTTATTATACTTTAATATTTAAATATTATTCCGTGAATTTTATTTATATTTTTGATAAACCTATTTATACGTTGTTTTTCGCGAAATATTTTGAAGTAATATATTTTTGTTTTGCGATCTATTTTACAATCACGTATCACACACATTTCAACAAAATAAAGTTAAGCGAATAATTTTTTACTAAAAATATGTTTGACATATAGTAGCTTACTAATATACATATTGCCTTTGCATAATATTATGCAGTTTGTAGACAACGTTTTTTTATGACTATGCTGTGGTTGAAATGTCCAATGGTTTTGATAGATTTACAGTATCATTTGATGCTTATTAATGATTTATGATGTGGTCAACACGTTGATAATTTATAGAGTTCTATAAGAATGAATTATCTTGCTAGAGAGATGGTCATATAAAACAATTTCGTATAAAATGTTAACAATCTTTTCTGCTGCTCTGAGTCTAATAATAATGAGGAAATATAAATAAGGAAAAAGTAGATTATATTTTTTATATATTGTACATAAAAATATCTAAATATATATTTAATAATATTATATTTAAAATCTAATGTAAAGTATACTATTATGTATTTTGCATTGATTAAGACTAAAATAAATATTAAAATGACAAATAATCACGATAACATTATACGCATTAAATTATCGCTGAAAATTACATACGTTTAATTGCTCTAAGAATGATCGATTTTCTATCAAAACGTATTTTATGCACAATAATATTTATAATTGAAATATTTTTTTCGATAATCTTATTTTTTTTCTTTAATCTTCTCTAATTCTTTAAATCTATTCTTTCAAACTGTAGAAAATTCAGAGGAATCAATTTTTTCTATCTTACCTATATAGTGGAGTCTCGGTTATTTACAAGTTGCGAAGAAAATAAAATATATTACGTCATTCTGGGATTTTGATATTGATTATTTTTTCTTAGAAGAAATGACGTATAAAAGTAAAATGCACTTGCGTCACTTGCGAATTTCGGCACGATCTACGTACAAAACATTCACTTATTGTTGATTAGAAATGAAACATATATGTCCATACACAACTTTGTAATACGAAATCACGTCGATAACTAACGTGTCTGTTTACATTTTATACCTTATCAATATTTCGAAGCAGGTATATATAGCTGTTCGATTTATATATGTTTGACCTTTATGGTAACATAAATTCTGATAATATATGACAAAGAAATGTCAATTTCTGTGTATTATTATATACTATATTATATGTTAATTTGATATTTTTATTTTTAATCATGATAGTATATAAGAGAGAAATAGAGTCCCTTAAATAACACGAATAAAATAATAATTAAAAATTCAAGATTTTTAATTAAGACAGAATATGTCCGATGTTTTGTCGAATATATTCTTATATCATAATTTTCAATTATGAATAATATAATAATTTGACTTCTTAATTTTTTTATTTTAATAATTATTAACTATTGTAAACTGAAATTTTTTAATGTTTTAATTTAATTATATTCCAAAAAAATTTCGAAAAAAATATATAAATACACTGGTCAAAAAAATTATTGCAACGCACAATTAATATCAAAATTTCGCGGAAATTCAAATAAGCGTATCTCCGCGAAAAATTATCGTATTTGAAAAAAATTTTTTTGTTTTAAAGGGTGAAGTCTCTACTTTAAGAAACTTTTGTTCGACTTTGATTTTATCCTCTCCCCCTCTCTCCACCTTTTTAAAAAGTAAGGTGTTTTTTTCAAAAAATTGCAAAATTTACTCTACGGGGTAAAATAAATTTTTTAATTTGTAGGATAAAGTCTATATTTTACGAAAATTTGGATAAGATTTGCAAAAAAAAATTTATTAGAAAATAAAATCAAAATCGAACAAAAGTTTCTTAAAGTAGAGACTTCACCCTTTAAAACAAAAAAAAATTTTCAAATACGATAATTTTTCGCGGAGATTCGCTTATTTAAATTTACACAAAATTTTGATATTAATTGCGTGTTGCAATAATTTTTTTTATCAGTGTATATCAGAAAATACTATATATATATATATATATATATATATATATATATATATATATATATATAATTCAAAGATGTTTTTATAGATGTGTTTTTACAGTCACACACAACACATCTCCACAATTCTTACATTCTCTTTATATCATATATTATTCAGTATGATTCTTTGGAAGATTTGAATTCTAATTTATAGAAACAAGTTTTATATCAGTTTGCGCGTGTTTCTACACGAGAAGTTTCAAGAACGCGAAGTATTCGCGCACTTACCTTTCTACGAGTTGGGTATTTTATTTTTTCTCCACGGAATTATTTTTCCCGTGATTCTTCGAAGTTGAAATTAATTCGAGGTTGTAAGAGACATAATATATATAGCTTTATATATTTATAGAAATTCCAGCAGCGAATGGAGAAATAAGGCGATTAGAAAAATGTTTTATAATCACTTTTCCTCGATTAAATTTATGTCAGTATAAAGGTAGATTTTCCTCATGCGCTGTGTAATCATTGCTTTTAGAGGATAAGCGACGTCATAAATCGAATGAAAAAAATACGCGCTGAATACGAAAATACCTGTGAGGTAAACGTTCTTCGCGCGTAAAAAATCTTGCTGGAATATAGAACCGACATTTTAGCATCAATTAATATAGATTAAATGCTAATAGCTCCTCGATCATACGTGTCACAAATAAATTATTCATTAAATAATAAAGCAAGTCAACTATAATGAGAATATTATTTATGAAATAATAAAACAAATTGCATCATCACTCATCATCACCACTTGAATCTAATTATATTGAATTGAATCGAATTGTATGAAATAAAATTTAGCAATTTGATCAGTAGAGTGATTTTTTTGTATTTTTTGAGCTGAAAATTATCCTGAAAGAAACAAAAATTAGTTAAAAATTATATAATCTTTGAGCAAAATTCTTGCAAAATAATGCAGTTGTTCTTAGAAATTATATATATAGATTAATTCAAATTTCTATAATTTTTATATCCTTTTGATTGATTCGTTAAATGGCAAACATAATTTTTTGGTAAAATAACAAAAAGTTTTATGGGAAAATATAACATATATTTGTATGATTATCTATATATGTGTATGTATCTTTTGTGTTACAATATGTATAAATAACTTATTATATAATAATTCTCATCACTTTATGTATTACATAATTATCATTATAATATCAGACCTATTGATGTGCCAATTTTGATTTAATTCCTTTGAACTGCTGTTTATTTATATTGGCTTCGTTATATTGCTATTCACTATTGCTCGCAATTAATAAATGAGCCAATGTTCGCACACACATCTTGTATATTATACTTTTATATGAACAGCATTAAAATTGTTTTAAAACTGCTGTGATTAAGCGATCTTGCACATCGCATTAAAGTTTTATCTTTCACGATGCAACGTATATTTTAACAATGATCGTAAATGTATATATAATACAGTTGGTGGAGTTACTGCTTTTTCACCCTGTACAATTCAAAATCTGATGTAGAAAACATTTCAAAATCCTATTTACAATTTCCATGATTTTTTCGGATCAGGATTTCTGAAATACTTTTTAGACGGAAGTCGTTAATATCAATTTTAGAGGATATTGTCGCATTACAAAAGTTTTCCTTAATCGATACTAGGACAATCAATCAAGACCTTAATCAAAATATTAAGATTAAATCTCTTTAAAATAATTATGCAATAATAAACGGCATTCTTATATTAAAAATATAATTCAATAAAGATCTTTATGCTCTTAAGTGGAAAAAACTCTTTTGGTAAAATCCACAGCAAAATGGACAGCCATAGCTTTCGGTGCTTCGTAAGGCACCCTTAAGAAATTGCACAAGTGCTTTGCGATTTGGTGTCCTCCGTAACAGTGAGATTATTATTGTAATTTCCGTGGAATGTCGATTCTTCGACGATCAAGGATGACTCGTGCGAACGCTCTTCTTCGAGCGGAGCTGTATTGGAAGCATGACTGATTGACGAGTGTCTGGAACGGGAGAGAGTGCCGCGTTGATTGCTTCCAGCGGAGGGAGCTGGGCTCGGTGAAGGACTCTCCGGTATCTGTTCTTGTTCCTGCTGTTGTTTAGTTATCACTAGTCTATTCAATAGTGATATTTGGCCTTGGATGTTGGACATAAAAGGACGGTATCCTAGGCTGAAATCAGAATGTCAGATTATTTTAAGGAAACTAAGGTCTCAATTAAGAATATTTTCTAGAAAAAATTTTAAATAGGGACTTTATAAATAACCAAGCAAATAAAAATTTTAAGAACATATTTTTGCGAAGAAAAGATAAGATAAATTATTAAAATAAATACTCTTATTTAAGATTACTTAATGTTTAAAAATTATTGTAGATGGATATTGATGCTGAATACAATATAAGTTTACCATTCCGATTGAGACCACTTGGTCAAGGTAAGCAATCCATCTCGTAGGTTAATTATAGAGTCAAAAGTTTGCATTGGTGCATGTGCTGTCCTGATGGTTCTAGCCATGGCAGCCGCGTCTCGAAGGACGGTAGCTACTACTGCAGCCCATCCTAAACAACTGCCTTCGAGAAACAGCTGCAATAAATACCTGCAAAAATTTAAAAAAAAATAAATATATATATATATATATATATATGAAGCATAGTTATAATGCTTGAAATGACAAATTTTGCATATTCTTAACGTTAATGTTAAAAAATATATATGTGTATTTATTAGTACCTGAGTTGTACTTCCGCCCGGCCGATTGGCGCGGAAGTTGATGCAACCGTATTGAGTTCTGTAGGTCCCACCGATTCTGGCGAAACCCAACATACAGAGCCCACAATAGATTCTGCGTCGTCTCTCCAGATCGTACTAGTATCACTAAGAACGCTGTTGGCATCTGAAATTACAAATTTACATACTCGAATTAACATACATTCATGTTCGATTTTTCGCCTCTCCAACTGAATATAAAGATTCGCAGCTTTACAAAAAAATTTGTTTAAATTAGAAAAAAAGAATAAGACTCACCATTTATTAGATTTGGCGTTAATTTAGCTTCTGCAGTTGGAAACTGCGTCTCCAAACTAGCGACTGGTGAGATCAGCGTTGTATACGGTGGCCTACCACTTGGAAGACTAGTGTACCCGCTGTCAGGTAAATCAATAGCTAAATTCGGAGATAAGGTTTCATCATCGGAAATTACAGAGTGTAGGGAGGTGAGGCTAGATCTTCGAAATTTTTGCAATGTTGGCAATGAAAGTGTCGGATATGGGAACACAAAATCTTCATGAACTGCTTTTAAAGTGCCCACGTAATCATCGATTCTCGCTGCTCTATCACGCTCTCGAGCGAACCATGTCACTAGATGGAAGTCGAGACGTGCCGCGAATCTACCCAAATCGGTTAAGCGACGAGCTGAAAGCAGTCGCCGAGCATGACGTTGTAAAATAACGTCAATAAAGAACTCTTCTGCCGATCCTTCCCTGAAACAAAAAAGTAGAAATTTAATCTAATTTCATTGATAAAAAATATTTTCAATCGGGATTTAAATCATATAGTGTATTTTATTTTTTTTTAGATTAACATATGCATATATTTATTAATGCACAGTATAAAAATATAAGATAATTAAATTAAATAAAAATATATATATTCAAATATAAAAAAAATATATTCAAATATTATTCGTATAATTTTGAAATTTATCTTCGAATATAAAGTATTTAAAAAAGTGATATTTACTTGTTTTCAGTTTTCTCGCTAGTTTTCACTGTTGGAACCGATTTCTTTCGCCTCATAACAACATTCCGGGTTTTTTCGAGCATAGAAGACGGCGCGACATCTTTTTCGGATTGCATTTTGGGCGTAATTGTAGTGCTATAACTGCGGCTTCTTGAAACTTGCATAGTCCCCAAGACTAAGGACAAATCGTCCTCGTGTGGTGAGAGAGGAGGTGTTTGAGGAGGGCCAACTAGTTTCGCACTGCCACCCCATGATGTACGTGGAGACTCTACATCATTCGGATCTAAACAATAAGAAATTAATTTGTAAAAGATTGTGTACTTAATAGTTTTATATAAATCTCTATAGAAGATTATTTACCGATTGCTCTAAGGAATCTCACGAGATCCCTCGATAATTCCCATCTACCTTGCTCTAACGCAGCATCTAACAATAATGTAGCGTGTTGCCTGCTGACGGAAGATGGTTCTAAATTTTGTAAAATGATCAAATAACTGGCAGCAGTATCGAGCTGTTGACGCTGCAGACAATCTTGTAATAGCTGCTTTGGAGGGCCGGCAACGGAAAACAGATACGGCCAAAGCGCGATTTCGGTCTTGCGAGCGCATTGGACGACCGCTCTGGCCCAAACACCGGGAAACTCGCGAATAAACTCCACAACGGACGGCAATTGAGCATCCGGAATAGGATCCTTGCTTGTCGCTTCCTCCTCGAGGACTTCGTGAAGCAGCAGCTCCAACGAATGCGGGAAATACGGCAATGCGGAACACGAACGTGCTATCTCCCACGCGTGATAGCCCAAATTTCGATGTATCAGCTGACGCAGAATCTGATGCAGATATACTTGACTCTGAAATAAAAATCGTTGTCTTTGAATGTGGCGCAGTTAATAAAGATACACAGGTCAATATATAAAAAGAACCAACTTAAAATTTATATATTTTAGAAATTTCAAATATAATTTTATTTTTAAAAAATATATATAATAATCTCTTTAAACAATATGTTACATTTCTGCATGTTAAATGCCAATCATATCTAGAAATAAAAAATAAATAAAATTACCGTAAGCTCCAATAAATTGAAGGGCAGTGAAAAGGGAGAGTTAGTATCCGAAGTGAACAGCACAGTATCGTTTTCGGCTCCGAGCAAAATCGCATCTTCGAAGAGTATCGCTAGTGGATAAATCCGCAAGTGAAAAGGCAACATTATTCGCTTGCTCATGAAGGCGTGCGCCTTCTCTTGATGATTACGGAACAGCGGCAACCAAACTCGCATGCCGTGCGCTCCGCAGAAGAGCCACAGAGCCTCGGTTAAGTGTGGCTTGTCTCTTCTTGAGCGCGACGGCACCCAAACGTTCTCGACGTATGACGCTAACACCGTTGGCGCCCCACATGTAAATCGGACATCCGAGTTGTCGGTACAATGTTCCCGTTGAACCATGAGAAGACGTCCGGAGACGTTTAGCAGGAGGCTCTCGGGATGAGGATGACTGCCAGCAGTTTCTGCACGAATTGTGGTCAACGTAGCGCTGACTACGCAAGCAGGATGTATACACAATCCGCCGATGTCCACCGTCTGTATTCTCGTTAGCTCGATACTGCCAGTTTCTAAAATATATAACAGCATAAGCTATATTTATTTGATAAAGATGCTTGAAAAAATGAAGAGAGCTGAAATTGTTTTCAAACTCAAAAACGCATCTTCTGTTACTTACCGACATCATTTTGCAACTCCATATCGTATATGCTGATCTGAGCATTGGAACAGAATGTTAAGAGCCTGTCTTTCATCGTATTCAGTAATAACACCTGCGAGGGCATCCTAACACTCTTGACATAATTATTATCGAGTCGAGTATCGCGTGGATAAATCCTAATCTCGTCTTTATCATCCAAGATGGAATAACTGCTAGCTATGAGATATCCTTTATGCCACAGCAATCCACCAGTCACTATGAAATCCCGCTCTTGGCTCTCGTTGCCGAACAATTTCCATTTTCTCGAAGGTAGGGAATAATGCGCTAATCCCGTTCGACCGGCCACCGCGAGACTCAAACCTTCACTATCTATTGCGGTATACTGTTACACACACATAAACAAACATGTCAATATTTGATATATAATATATAAGAGATAAAAAGAGAAAACACTTAAAAAACTTTTTCATTAATATAGTTAATAATGTCCAATTTAATTATTGATAATGCTGTACAATTAATAAGAGCTCTCTCATATCAACTAATAAAATTAAATGAATGAAAATATTATATTTACCCGTATTGGCCAATTAGAGCCACTGTATGCAGTTGGAATTGGCACAACGAGCCACTGTTTACAGCCGGCAAGTGTCTGAAGCATACTGTCATTGGGCATTTCGGTAGCGAGATGAAAACCCGAAGCAGTCGAGGATAATCCAGCGCCTAAATTTAAATACAGTCTGTCCTCGCCTTGAAGATATAGATGCCCGTGATGACCCATGCACGGGTTAATAGTCAGAGGGCTTTTAGCGAAATCCAGTTGGATGAGTGAACGACATAAACTGGACGTTTCGTTACCGTTTTCTTCGATAACCAAAGGTCCTGGAGATTCTCGTAACATCCACAATTGATAACCCTCTGCTGACCATTCCATCGTATGAATATGCAGAGGATTATCATGCATCAGATCCACTCGTAGGCCATAATCCCACTTCAAACTACAGAGTAACAGAGCACCAAAGGTACTCCAGAGTGCTAAGCCGCCGCCTTCCCATGCTAGCGCGATAGCGCAACTATCAGGCGTCCATCTAAGACACTTGACGCTACCTGGTCGACCTGGATAATCTTTGGAAGATAGACTCAGAGTGTGTGACATCTCTAAACCTCCTGTTGTTTCATCGACATAATAAACAATGCCTTCGGAGCTGCAAATTAAATGTTAAAATATTAGAGTTATATATTAATTGAATTTATATTATTATATTAATTAAACAATCATTATGACAGACATATATATATATATTAATAAAGAAATATATCTTTTTCTTTTCATAACACAAGTATATTTCCTAGTGTACTTCTAAAAACAATATTGTAAAAATAACACTTACTTTTGCCTACCAACGGCAATTAACCGATATTTATGATTAACAGCAGCACAAGTAGCATCGTCCAAATCTCGAGCCCAGATTCCTTGCACTTGATTAGGATCAAACTTCAAAGATTGAGCAGTAAGAAATGCAGCTTTTCCATTACTAAGCACAATAGCAAAGCCTCCAACAAGAGGCGAATATTCAATATCAGTGACATAGATATTGCTCTCTGTGAGTGGCACAGCCACAGTAGAGATTTGTTGATCAATACTGAATGGTATACGTCTCAAATCCAAAGAATAGTCACGATTCATAGTACCATCCCATTTGTGACGCACTACATGGCTAGTTTTGGTTGCTACCATGAGCTCGTCTCGTATACAAACTAATGAACTGATTCCGCCATCAATCCAAGCTGACTTTTCCTAAATAAATAAATAATTTGAATGAGTTAAATGATTTAATTAGTCATGTAACTAATAATGAATTTTTATCTTAAATTTTCTCATTTATATTTATGTATATTTGACAATCATCAGCAAACTTACAAAACTCAAGACGAGAGATGGAATGACTTCTTTAATAAATAATTCGGCGCTATCTCGTTTCAGACTGGTGACCGGTGAATCTCGCTGTTCGTAAAGTCCCCGGCCTTCTGGACTGCTATCCGAAAGCCGATAGAATAACAGGTAACTGTCTGACGTTGCAATAACCAGCATACTTGAGTCCGGTCTCCATTGTACCAAAACATTTTCACCATGTTTTCGTAAAGAAACTGCAGATCGTCTGCTAAATACAACTGGTACACAGGGCTATAACAAAAATTATTTTATTAATTATTAAATACAAAAATATCTAAAAATTTACAATAAGAATTATGTGTAGTTTAACAATATATAGAAAAATTAATTATGAATAAAAAAAAATAGTAGAATATTATTCAATTTAAACACAATCTCAGTGTATAGAATATTATTATTGCTATTATGGCAAATACATTATTTATAACAAAGAGAATTCTGTATACTTATATACTGAATTTTTAAATCTTAATCAAATGTTGAGTTATTAAGACGATATTAATGAAGAGATTTTAGTGAAGAATAAATCGTTCTGAAATTGAACGATGAAAAGATTCCTTTTGGCCTAAAATACGTGCCTTGCAGTACCAGATGGTGAGAGCATCCGTGGTTAGAACAGCAAAGAGAATTTTGTCTCTATTGCATACTACGGCATTTATTTCACTCGGCTCGCTGGAATTTAGAACCCGCGGCCACCCTACGGGGAAAAACATGATTTCCGCGAGAGCGTCTCGTCACTTCTCCTCAGATCTCTCTCATGTTTCGCCTACGTTTATCCCCGACACTGTCAATTTGACAAGTAAACAGTCTCTAACCTCTCTACGCATAGCGTAATCATAAAGGTTTAACAGGAACTGCAGCGAAATGCATATTATGTACGTTGTAGAACATCCGTCCTTTTCAGCTGCATCTTCCATTTATTTTTTATCTATCAATGTTTTTCTCTCTTTTTCCTTTTAGCTTCTGAATATAAACTCGACGTCATTCGATGCCTTCCAACTTCCGATTTAGGCATTTTCGAGTCCGACATATGTATATATTCGCGCATAACTATTTGAATTTGATTTAAAGTTATATATATATATATATATATATATATATTTAATTAATTTAATATTTTGTACAACGCGTTATATTTTATTTTTCATATTTTTATGTTTAATCTCTTTCGTATGCTAAAGAAATCAAATCTCTATATTAATTGTATAATAGAATTACGAATTCTTGCTAAAATATTACCCGAGTTACAAATCAGCTGATCGGTTGCTGTCAAACACGCAATCTTTCCTATATTCCGCGAAAAAAATACATTTCACGTGAATAATTGAAGATAATTAGAGTATGAATCATACGATGTCGTCTGTAAACACATATTTGATGTAACAAGATTTGATTGGCTACATACCGTATTGAAGTTTTTTTTAATAATATATATATATATATAAAATACTTGCACACATATTTTGAAGATGAATTTTTAATTTTAAAATACTTTCTCGTATTTTCTCTCTTTATTTTCTATTTTCTGCATTCGAATCACAACTGGTCCAATTGCTAAAGTTTTCATTTATACGGAATTTAAAATATTTGGTGATATATCGCGTCATCTTTTAATTTATCGTATGTAATAAATAAATTGCAATTATATATTTAATGCATTTATTGAATAATACAGCGTTTGGAATCTTTGTATGGAAGCGCCTATGTAACACACTTTTATGCGCATTACAAGGAAGATGAGGAATCGGGTTGTATATTGGTGATAGTGAATCACCGGCATCTCGGTTTCCGTAGCTGTTTTATTTTCGCTCTTACTCGTCATCATTGGTATTTATATATGTATATGTACAGAAAACTGTTGTAACCAATGTAATTTGTAGAAGAATCGCGGGATAAAAGATGCCGAGTCATTGCAAAAGTTATGGTTTTTTTTGTTTATGTACGCACTTCTTGACGTTAGTCGATAAAAGAAATATTCCGTAGAAAAAGTGTTTCCAAAGAACTTTGGATTTACCTTATCTATATAATTGCATATATAATAGAAAGATAATTATTAGAAGAAACAACAGGTCCCATATCCCAACAACGAAAACTACTTTTGCCAAGGCCTATTGCCGTTGTCTCTTCTCTATAAGTTTTCCTGAATTAATACAGTCTCTCTGAACGCGATTAATATATAAAAAGCTACCAAGACAAAAGAATATATATGTATACGGAGCATTGTCGCGATGTATTCTAATTTTTGATCGGATCGTGTAGCTACCATAGATGTGAGAGCGATAAATGAGGATTTTTTTTTCTTCAAAAAAGGATGACAAACGTAACTCGAGGTTAATCGAGTGACAATGTCGACGATAAAGTAATAATGTTCTTCTCGAGTATCGGATATACAGAATTTTATTTCCGTATAATTAGAAAATATAATTAAGCCGCGCTAAATTATGTTGATGTTCGTTATGAAGTTATTAGATAGTTCGCGCGAAGTTGCTCTCCCTCCTTGAATGCGATTCCCCCGAGACGAAAGCACGCTCATCATCCCCGATCCGGCTATACATCCCGTCGACCACACGTAGTATGTTCTTTTCCTGCGGAATTCCTTGCGGTGGAAGAAGTGGCGTAACCGTTTCGACAAACGAAATGTCTGCGTGCCGAGGTAGCGCGGCAGCCGCGCGACTTCGCGCACGCGTAGAGCCAATCTTCGCGATTGGATTGCAGTTTCTTCATTCATGCTTGTAGCTGACAGCTGCACAGGTTCAGCTAACGATGGCGGTAACGTTGCAACAGTCGTCTCGCGCGAATCGCACGAGGAGAGAAGGCGTTCACCCGGCGGCATATTCTTCGCACGGGAACTATCGCCATATGCACGGAAACTATTACGATAGTTATTTCTTCTTCTGGGCTTTCTCAGCGGCCTTGGTGACTTTGCCAGCTTGGTCCTTAAAGGTGACGGCCTTGATGACGCCGACAGCTACCGTCTGACGCATGTCGCGGACCGCGAAACGTCCCAGAGGCGGGAACTCTTGGAAAGCCTCCACGCACATGGGCTTGCTGGGCACCAAGACGACGATGGCGGCGTCGCCGGACTTGATGGCTTTTGGATTTTCTTCGGTAGTCTTGCCGGTACGACGGTCGCACTTCTCCTTAATCTCGGCGAACTTGCAGGCAATGTGAGCGGTGTGGCAATCCAACACGGGCGTGTATCCGTTGCTGATCTGACCGGGGTGATTGAGCACGATGACCTGCAATGAAATAATGACGTTAATTATATGCTTAGTTCACATATATTTCGTTTTCAATTTAATGATAAATATAAAAATATAATAAGTTTAAAAATTAGGACACTCAGACGTACGAGCCATCACTAGAATAAATCTTCCGGTGGAAACCGCGAATGAGGTATGTAAGTTCTCATCATAGTGTCAATAATAGAAAAATAGAAAATATAATCAAGTACACTAGATATACCTGTGCGGTGAAGTCAGCGGCACCCTTGGGCGGATTGTTCTTGGAGTCTCCGGCAACGTATCCACGACGCAATTCCTTGACGGAAACGTTCTTAACGTTGAAACCAACGTTGTCGCCGGGCACAGCCTCTGTAAGGGCTTCGTGATGCATCTCGACGGACTTAACTTCAGTGGTTAGTCCAGCTGGTGCGAAGGTAACAACCATACCGGGTTTCAGTACACCAGTCTCGACACGACCGACAGGTACTGTTCCGATACCACCGATCTTGTACACATCCTGCAATTACAAGAAAACAATATTATTATCTCGATTCAGCAAAATTAATTATATTATATATAATATCTTTCGGAATCAGACACTCTCGACCATCAATGGATCAAAGATCCTCTGGTGGAAACTGCGAATGGAATTAATAAAAATATCATCATATACAAATACCATGCCAAAAAATTGAGAATTATAATCAGGACATCAAAGTTACCTGAAGGGGAAGACGAAGAGCCTTGTCGGTCGGCCTGGTGGGTGGCAGGATGGCATCGAGAGCTTCAATAAGGCATTTGCCGTCGGCTTTGCCTTCCTTGCGCTCCACAGCCCATCCCTTGAACCAGGGCATCTTGGAGGACGGCTCTAACATGTTGTCTCCGTGCCAGCCGGAAATGGGAACAAACGCGACTGCAGCCGGGTTGTAGCCGATCTTTTTGATGTACGAGGAAACTTCCTTCTTGATTTCCTCGAATCGGGTCTCGGAGTACGGAGGCTCGGTGGAATCCATCTTGTTAACTCCGACGATGAGTTGTTTGACGCCGAGGGTAAAGGCGAGCAAAGCGTGCTCACGAGTCTGTCCATTCTTCGAGATACCAGCCTCGAATTCGCCAGTACCAGCTGCGACAATGAGTACAGCGCAATCAGCTTGCGAAGTACCAGTGATCATGTTCTTAATAAAATCTCTGTGTCCAGGAGCGTCGATGATGGTGACATAGTATTTGGAGGTTTCGAATTTCCACAGGGCGATATCAATCGTAATACCACGTTCACGCTCAGCCTTCAATTTATCTAACACCCAAGCGTATTTAAATGAACCTTTGCCCATCTAGAACAAAAGAAATTGTTTCTTTAATTTCACATTTTTCTTGTATCTCTTCTATTAGTTACTTTTATCTAATTATTTGTTTTATATTTAATATTTTGCAGAATCAGACACTCTCAGCCATCAACGGATCCAAGATCCTCTGGTGGAAACCACGAATGAATAATGTAAGTATCATCATATAAAATTATTCATGTCAATCAAATTGAGAATCAAGACATCAAAATCTATTGCATAATCTTGCAACAGTTTCTTTCTAAGTATCATCATATAAAATTATTCATCCCAAACAAATTGAGACTCAATCAAGACATCAGAATCTATTGCATAATCTCTTGTAATAGTTTCTTTTCTTACAAATGTGTTTCAAAATTAAACAAAATTTTTAAATAAAATAACATTTTCTATTATCAATAGACTCGATGATAATGTTTCTTATTAAATATTATAAGAGAAAAGTTATCATTATACCATAATGCATATGCATCCACATTACATAAGAGATTATGTACGCCTTTATATCTTGTCAAAGTTATTACCTCCTGGGCTTCCTTCTCGAATTTCTCGATGGTACGTTTATCGATGCCACCGCATTTGTATATCAAATGGCCAGTCGTAGTCGATTTTCCAGAATCGACGTGTCCAATGACAACGATATTGATATGAGTCTTCTCTTTACCCATTTTGTAGTTTTAGGCAAATTAGTTTCTCCTGTACAGAGTTTATACTGAGGAAAAAAAAATATTAAATTAAGATATTATATTAATCAAAGTAAAAGATATAAGGAATAATTTTTAAATCTCAACACCAGAAGCTATCCGACAAATTCGTTTGAAATTATAATCGACGACGGGACGATGCAATATGGAATCGAGCGATGGTCGGAGCAAGTGAGGGAAAAAAGTCTCGCGATTCATATTTAAAGGACGTCTCGCCTGATCGGCCGTAAACGTCACTCGTAAAGTCCAGATTGCACAACATGATGCAACTGTCCCTGGACGCGGATCGGAATCTCTACTCTCGAATTTTATCTCGACGGTGTCTTTGTCCGCCGTCCACGTGGCTGACGTGAACATTCGAGAACGGCATCCGGCGGCGGCCATTTTGTAAATGACGAGGAGGAGCGGCGCGCTGTTGCCGCTAACTTCACGACGCTCGGCATCGGGCATCGCGATGCCACGTTATTACGGAATTTTTTCCACGAGAGATTCGTCCGAGAAAAAATATTAAATCGTACGTGTCGCCGTCCGCAGCCCTTGGACGAAAAATCGCGGAACTCGGAGCGACGTTTTTAACTAGTCACGTCGAATCAGGTGGTCAAATATGCTCATATATATTCATCTTCCAGGGACGCACGCGGCCCGAAACGTGTGTGGAAAATTACGCGGATCGAAAATTCCGATGCATGATTAATAAATTACAGCCGGAACACGCAGAGATTAAATTCCACGATTTTTTTTTTTACGAAATTGATTATTATATATTATCCAAATTCCTCTCGCGGTTCATAAAAAAAAATGAATGAACATCCGCCCAGATTTTTTCCATTGAATTGGAATTTTCCCTGACGATATATCAATTTTTATTCCAATGCGATTCTTGCAACTTTGGCTCGAGGAATTTTTTTTATCGTTCGACGTTCGCGAAAAATTCCCGAAGATCATTCCGATAATTTTCGTATCCTGATAAATAACATTCCGGGGGCCGACGTGCAAGGTCGTCGTGTTGCACACGGCCTCCAGGCCGCGGAGAGAGAGAAAGCTCGCGACTTTGCGAAGGAGGAACTTTAACCTCGCGCTTCCGGTTTCCGAGAAGTTCGCACGTGTTGCAAATTTCGCGGATCTTTTTCCGCGATAATCGAGGGACGCCGCGTCCCTCCGGAATCTTCCCGGACGACAGACGAACTCGTGATCGCCGGAACTCCAGCGCTCTGACAAGCGCGCGGCCGCCATAGCGCATCCGGTCTCGCTCTCGTGCGGTCCTGGACGCGTCGTCCATCGCCGGCGCGATCCGCCCGGCGTATTATCTCTCGCGATCGCCCGGATCCTTCGTCTCCTTGACGAGGAGTCCACGCCCCGTCGTCGATGCGCCGGTTTATTAAACGCGGTTTCCCGACCAGCCTCGCCGGCTGGATCGAAGAACGGAAGAGGCACCGAGAAAAGACCGGCCATGCGGCCGTCGGACGAAACCGCGGAATTTCCCGGGAAATCGCGATGAGATCGAAAAACTGTTTGCACAACACAACACGCCGTAGCCCCGACCGTCGTTCTATTCCATACCCGTCGTCCGATGCTACGTCCTCGGTGCGAGATTCGTCGGATAGCAAGCCGATGCTAGCACGCGAAGCAAGACACATCCACTCACCTCCAGTAGCCACGACAGAAAGAGACCGGACAACGGAGTGCATGCGCATACGGCTCTTCTCGGCTCGCAGCCAGCGCCGTCGCCAAGGCGACGCCAGCGCCACCGTCGCGCTCGTCGCTTCGCGGGAGATTGCTTTAAATTAAATTTTCATTGTCGATTGAAAGCTCAGGAAACGCGAAATAATTTTTTCTCATTTTTTCCGATTTTTTTCGTTATTTTCAATAAGGGATTGACGCGTTTTTCCACTTTGACAGTTCGGCGAGCGCGTCTGGGTTCGAGGCTAGTCGCGCATGCGCAGGCGTGCGTGCACACTGATACGCGACTACTTTCATGCGGCAGATGCCTGTATCGCGCACGTCGCTCTTGCGTTTATATATATATAGGTGCGGTCCTAAGATACGCGCGCGTGTGTGCGTGCTCGGCGGAGGTTGCAGGAAGGAGGGAAGAGGACGGGCGCGAGTGAGATGACACGCTTCGTAATCGGTATGTATGTATATATATATATATATATATATACTTTGTACGATTCATGCGTTCGTGCGCAACGCGCGATGGTTCGATGTCACGACCCTGCCATATCGAATCGCGAGATATTTGATTTTGTAAGAGACGTCAACTCGCCGCGCTTACAATTTCTCCTCTTCGTGGTTCAGCAATGAAATTAGGAATGGGCAATATTAAAAAAATTAATCGATTTAAAAAAATCACGAACGTATATCGATTGTATTAATAAAAAGAATTGAAAAATCGATTAATCGGTTTATACATACATTATTGTCAGAAAGAACTGGAACGCAGACTTTTATATAAAATATGATGCACAAGACATAAGGGATTTAAGATTCAATTAATCAGAGTTCTTCATTTCTCTTCTGGGGATAGAAATGAAGGACTTTGATTAATTGAATCTCTTATCTTTTATGCATTATGCGTTATGCAAAAGTCTATGCTCCGGTCATTTCTGTCAGTGTATGTAAAAAAAATGTAGTGTTATATATAAAATTATATAAAGTTTTTCATTTGCTGATATTAAATTTAAAAAAATCGAATATTGAGATTAATCAAAAGAAAAATTTATTGGTTGAAAATATCGATTAATTAAAAAAATAACTATCGGTTATTTCGATTAATCGAGGAACATCGCCCATCTCTAAACAAAGTTGGAGTTGAATGCGATCTCTGCATCGAATATGTCTTTTGATATGTGTGCATCATCTGCGTTGAGATATTGTCGTTGATTGTTGACATAAATTAATATCGCAGGGGTATTATGTCATATCTTTGTACTTTGAAGATGAAATGCAAACTTAAGCTCTTGGCATTTCTCGATTGAATTACGTGTAGATTCTTTTCTTTCTTGAATTCCGTGATATTTTCTCTTTTTTTATTTGTTTCTTATATGTATTAGTGAATATTTTGTTGGAAATAGAAAATGCAATATTTCTTGATAACTACATATTTATAATATCATTAAAAAACACTGTCATTAGGCAGAGATATTTGAAAATAAATTATGAAATCATTGTCAAGAATAGCTTTAAATTATTAAGAAATAGTTAAATATAAATAAGTATTAATTAAACTTTGAATATTATCTTTTATTTCAAAAATGAAGTTTAACTTAATAATGAAATCGGTTTGACTAACAGTTAGAATATTTAATATTATTTAAATGGAACAAGTAATATTTTATTTTCTCATCGTTAATTCTTTAGGTAATATTGTATATTACTGCTGTTAGTTTTGTTATAAAATTTTTCGGTATATCATATTTTTTCAATTAAAATTCAATCAAAGTCTTATCTAACAAGAACTGATTCTATGGAATTTTTTCTATGGAATTTCTTTCTTACATTTGAAAGTTTTGCGTTATGAAATGTCAAAAGAAGCCTAAGCATTATAAAATCATTTTCTTAGAACGCTTATTAATATAATAAAAAATTGCAACATATACTATATTTTAATAACGCTAAGTTTGCTCTTATATATACACATTTTATAAATTCTTACTTATTAAAATTGCGCGGATATTACCTTAAATTAATTAATTTTATTGAAGAAAAGAAAAGCTGTAATTTAAAATGTTGAGTTTTATATCGAATCTTTAAACAAGATAAATGAAAAGATATGCCTTACAACGCATTCATGCTCGCTCTATTTACGAGATATATCAACGCGATCGATAATTCGGTCATCGAGATGAACGGTGAAAGGTAAAGAAAGGAGATTATGCGCTTGGGGCATTAACGGTATCCGTTACAGGTCTGTATCTCTCGCCATTACAATGTGGACTTATCTACCTATACACAGATTTAATTAAAGATGATAACGACGATACTTTTCCATGAAACTGAAACCTTATTTTCAGAATTTTGCTCATCTAAACACATAAAATTGCGAGATTTTTTTCAATTTCTCGTTGTATTCGACTTTTAAAAATAATAAAAATAATTGTTAAAAAATCTTGGAAAAGCTATATTTATAACTATAAAAGATCACGATAGATTTTCAAAATGTGTTCATAAACGTAAGTATGCTGACTTTACAGAAATAACGATATCTTGCTCACATGAACTTTTACGTTTGCATTCATTATTCTGGAATGCATTACCATTTGTAACGTGGCTTCTAATTTATATACGAATTGTTTTGCCGACCGCTTCTACAATGTTGATGAATTTATTATTTTATGATTCGAAATCACAATCTGGTACACACATATAATTTATTATTAAATTGAAATTAAAAATTCAAATTTAAATCTCACAGCAAATAATTTACTTTTTAAAGAAAAGTTGATAAATTGGAATGATAAATTTAATTTGATAGATTTAATTTGATGGTTTAATACGATTATAAAAAAAGTAATCAAGAATTATTATTTATCACTGTATAATAATTTAAGGGGTTATTGAATTATTTGACTTATTTAATAATATTTTAATAATGAGATAAAGTTGCCAATTTTGTCTGATTCTATAATAAAATTCTTTCTGTCTCTTATTGTTAGATATATTTTTTAGAGATAATTTGCAACTTGAGATTCGCGGTTTTCATTATTATATTTATAAGACCTTTTTTTAATATTTGTATACTCCACTTATCTGCAGTCTCTCATTACAATCCTATTTGTGGCTAATAAAATATAGTTCTAATATGTTTATTGGTAGGCAACTAAATGTACTTCCATGAATGAGAAGCCATAAAACGCGTCATACGTGCGTTATCACACGGACGTTGTACGATCACGTTGCTTGTGTAGGAATGAATGACTCATTGGGAACTATGAATGAATAACATACGTACACATGTGTAAGATATATATATATATATATATGCTAGAACTGCACTTTCGTAATTTCCGCCAATGGAATCTAAGCGGAAGCATGATCTTTAATTATTTGGGCGGGTGTATAAAACTTAAAAATCTCTTACCATGATTTTAATGACTAATATAATTTCAAATGAATATAGGAATTTTTAATTAAATATCCTCAATATTATCCTGGGATATTTAATATCTAATATTTGATCTTTAAAGAGAAAAAAAGATATTTTGTAAATTTCTTTCTCTAAAAATTTGCTTCAACAAAATCTGATAATTTGGTTAAATATATATATATATACATATGTATGTTTTAAAATTATTACATAAATATCATAAGATATATTTATTAATCTCAGTCAGTCGTTTTCTTTTAAATTTATTGTTTAGTGTTTTTCAATTTTTCTTCTTGTATAAATTCGTCAAAATGCTTTAGGAAAACGCTAGCTCATTAAATTTTAGCGTTAACATTTTTGCTTTGACAGCACTGACTTAGCAAGTATTTTTTAAGAGTATTCTTCCAAAATGTTTTTGTAAATCGCAGCAGTACGATATAATCACGATGATACATTTTCGCTGAAACATGCTTTTCAATGGCCAAAATGTTGATTTTGGATAGATACGATCTGACTGGAATAAATTTTCCAACTTCTTTCGAAACTTCGTATTGATCGTATTCTGACTGCAACCTAGATTTTATTGGTCTCTATTCTTTGGAGTTGCCAGAAACGAACAAAGAAGGATCAGCTCGAACCAATCGCACCCTTTGTTTGTCTACCTACCAGAAGAAACCGGATTTCAATGATTTTACGTACTACTGTAATTCAAAAAGTAACATTATAGTTGTAACGAACATCGCAATTTAATTGATAAATGTTTTTGAATTATATTTTTAGAATTATCAATTTATTATACTTTTCAAGAGTTAAAATTGCTAAAGGAAAACCTAGAAAGATAAAATAAGATTTTAAGATTTTTTTCGTATTATATGTCAAGAAATATGTTTCGTTATAAATTATATCTTTCATTACCATCTTTCTTAGAGCAAAATAAATTTTTGTTAGGAGCGAAAATATTTTAAAAGTATCTTAAAATTAAAAAAAATGTCTGGATGCTGCGCGTAGGAGTTGAGGGAGAGGTAAGAATTATATCGATCGCGAGAAAAAGGAAAAGTCCGTATACAATCTCCTCTTCAATCGTCTATTTATATTTCAGGATTCCTACTGACATCCGATCGTACAGACACTCGCACGCGGGCTTGCGGCACAGCTAAGAGTTTCGAAAATTTAAAAATAACCTTCTATGTCGTCGCGCGTAGGAGAGAACAGATATACGTGTAGAAATGGACAAAAATGCGTGGTATACATAATCACGCACGTACGCAACGCACCGGGATACGCGGCCGTCATACATTTTCATATCTTCGAGGGTCGGTGATACCTTCCCTTAATCTTGTTTTTAACCCGAAGAACCCATCAGAAATTTCGCCGAGTCGGATCCTCGATCAGTCGTAGTCACGGAAGGGCAGATCTTTCTCGTTCGATCAGCTACCTGCATCTCTTTGTCCTTTCGAGATGGAGATACAGAGAGCTCCGTTTCACGTGTCTACGGCAAATTTAGAGAATCGAACTCGTCGAAATTATACCGAATTTAATC